TGAATAAACCAAGGTCTGCAAGGCATTTGAAAAAGGAAAGACAAACATCTTCCACGGATATTAGCACTATGTGAAACTTTTGTGGATCTTAAAAATTTGCAATGCATGGATAAATGTCCTGTGCTTCTTAAGTTGCAAACATTTCCACCTCACAACAAAGTCGTAAATGTGTGGTAAATTGTACCTTGTTGCAGATAATTTACAGTTTTTCCAAAACCATTGACATCCCAGGCTCTCCGTATGGACAGGTTCTCATAGTCTTATGGTGTTGTTTTACGGAATAAATAGAGCACGTTCAGGTGTTAAGATTCGAGCCACACTCACTACACTGATGATTAAAGCACCACTCTTCTCGGCTCAAATCAAACTCGAAGTCAGCAATGCCAGTTTGGTACAATCATCAATTAGCTTGAATTATTATTTGCAAACTGGGTTTGATTTGAATCGCGATTCGGCTCTCACGTACTTTTAATCAAAGTTGGTGCGATTAATTTTGAGCTGAAGCAGGCGCAATTCTGGTTTCGGCCTTCGGTCTGAAATATGTGATGTGTCCATCCCTGCATTTGTTGTGCTAAAATCAACAGCAACGCCATTCGTTTTGTTTTCTAACAACACCGAATGTGAGTCTCATCTTCATTAATTTGGCTCCTGGGACTTTTCATTTCCTTCACGAATGCGATCAATTTTTCGCGAGGAAGCATCTTGGCTGAAGCACGTGCGTTGAGATATCAAGTCTACTCGTGATAAAGCGATGGCCACGTGATTTGGAGGTGTGGCATGATTAAGGCATAATACACGCTTGCAAATATAACAGTAGCTTTGCAATCCTTAGTAAAAGGATTTAACAACAGCAAGAGCGATTTGGATTTCGTGAAGTTTAATAGTTTGTGTTTTGATCAAAGTTGATTGGCTCAATAAACCTCTCAATTTTGTGATCACGCTTAGAGCCAGCTGCTTTTATTGCCGTTATTAAAGTGGTTCCGCTGACCGCCCATGACTAAAGCCGCCTCTTTGGTGAGTAAGCATCGATTTTTTCGCAATAATGGAACCTTGAAGCGCAAAATGATTTACTTGCTACTCGTAGCAGCCAGTTGGGGTCCGAAATAAATCCTCTCATTTGTAGCGCGATCCTGCACGATCATTTCCAATGGGATATGACCTTAAGTGGTTTACGGCTCTGCAGACCCATTATATCGGTGCAGGTCCTGTGGCAATGCCTCATCAATTCATGCCATAGTGAATCTAGTGTTGTTATGAAGGACTGATGTACGGGGCTGGAGCCGCTGCAGGGCTCTCCCAGGGGACACCTGACGGCGTATGTTGCCGTGTCCCTACAGGACCTTTGACTATTACTGGAGCCGCTGCAGGGCTCTCCCGAGGGCACTTGATGGTGTATGTTGCCGTGTCCCTACAGGACCTTTGACTGTTACTGGAGCCGCTGCAGGGCTCTCCCGAGGGCACTTGATGGTGTATGTTGCCGGGTCCCTACAGGACCCTTGACTATTACTGGAGCCGCTGCAGGGCTCTCCCGAGGGCACTTGACGGCGTATGTTGCCGTGTCCCTACAGGACCTTTGACTATTACTGGAGCCGCTGCAGGGCTCTCCCGAGGGCACTTGATGGTGCATGTTGCCGTGTCCCTACAGGACCTTTGACTATTACTGGAGCCGCTGCAGGGCTCTCCCGAGGGCACTTGACGGCGTATGTTGCCGTGTCCCTACAGGACCTTTGACTATTACTGGAGCCGCTGCAGGGCTCTCCCGAGGGCACTTGACGGCGTATGTTGCCGGGTCCCTACAGGACCTTTGACTGTTACTGGAGCCGCTGCAGGGCTCTCCCGAGGGCACTTGATGGTGCATGTTGCCGGGTCCCTACAGGACCCTTGGCTGTTGCTGGAGCCGCTGCAGGGCTCTCCCGAGGATACTTGATGGTGTATGTTGCCGTGTCCCTACAGGACCTTTGACTATTACCGGAGCCGCTGCAGGGCTCTCCCGAGGGCACTTGACGGCGTATGTTGCCGTGTCCCTACAGGACCTTTGACTATTACCGGAGCCGCTGCAGGGCTCTCCCGAGGGCACTTGACGGCGTATGTTACCGTGTCCCTACAGGACCTTTGACTATTACCGGCCAGCCCGCTGCAGGGCTCTCCCGAGGGCTACTTGACGGCGTATGTTTGCCGTGTCCCTTACAGGACCTTTGACTATTACCGGAGCCGCTGCCAGGGCTCTGCCGAGGGCACTTGACGGCGTATGTTACCGTGTCCCTACAGGACCCTTGGCTGTTACCGGAGCCGCTGCAGGGCTCTCCCGAGGGCACTTGATGGTGTATGTTACCGTCTCCCTACAGGACCTTTGACTATTACTGGAGCCGCTGCAGGGCTCTCCCGAGGGCACTTGATGGTGTATGTTGCCGCTGTCCTACAGGACCTCTGGACTATTACTGGAGCCGCTGCAGGGCGTCTCACCGAGGGCACTTGACGGCGTATGTTACCGTGTCCCTACAGGACCTTTGACTATTACTGGAGCCGCTGCAGGGCTCTCCCGAGGGCACTTGACGGCGTATGTTACCGTGTCCCTACAGGACCCTTGGCTGTTACCGACCCTTGGCTGTTGCCGGAGCCGCTGCAGGGCTCTCCCGAGGGCATTGTGGTGTCCGGTCCCTAAGGACCTTGATACGGACGTGCAGGCTCTCCCGGGCATTATGTTGCCGTGTCCCTACAGGACCCTTGGCTGTTGCTGGAGCCGCTGCAGGGCTCCATGGCCTCTCATTCCTGTCGCTCTCCGACTAGCGCATTTGTCCTTGTTCCTGCTGTGGTGAGGGACTCTTGCCTGTGACTGCTGTCGCTGCGGGACTGATGACGGTGGCCGGCGTCCCTACAGGATTCCCTGGCGCCACCTTGTCGCGCACGCGGCTATGTATTTACGTTGGTATAAGACTCGATGACTATGGTTTATGTCCGTGCAGATCAGACGATCGCGACTGACGTCCTTGCCCAACCAGTGACCGACTGGCAGAGCCGCATGACTTCCTGATCCCTTGCAAAACCGATGACTGTGACTGGCAGCGCTGCAGGACTCTGAATTGCCTACAGAGGTAATGACTGCGGCAGCGCTGCAGGACTCTGGATTGCCTACAGAAACAATGACTGCGACTGGCAACAGGACTGACTGCAGGACTCTGGACTGCCTGCAGGAGCAATGACTGTGGCAGGCAGCGCTGTGGAACCCACTGATATTTCAACCCTGATGCAGGCCGGTCGCCACACGAACCGTACCATGGCAGTTCAGTATTTCTGCCTGTGGTTGCTGCCTGGGCGCCCTTTATGACTGTGTCCGGCTGTGACTGCTGTGCCCACGCGCCCTCACGAGTGTGTCCGGCTGTGACCGCTGTGCCCGCGCACCCTCACGAGTGTGTCCGGCTGTGACCGCTGTGCTCGCGCGCGCCTCACGAGTGTGCCCGGCTGTGACCGCTGTGCTCGCGCGCCCTCACGAGTGTGTCCGGCTGTGACTGCTGTGCCCACGCGCCCTCACGAGTGTGCCCGGATGTGACCGCTGTGCTCGCGCGCCCTCACGAGTGTGTCCGGCTGTGACTGCTGTGCCCGCGCGCCCTCACGAGTGTGCCCGGCTGTGACCGCTGTGCCCGCGCGCGCCTCACAAGCGTCCCCGGCGCACCGGCAGGACTCGCTGATGCCGCCTGATCAGCGGACAGCCTACCGGTGCGATAAGTCGGCCACCGGGCCGCTCAACCGGAAGAAGCTGATCGACCACATCAACGAGCAGGCGACCAGCGAGCCGGACCGGCCGGAGCAGGTGCCCTTCGAAGCCGGCATCATCAGAGGCAAGAAGGTAACGCTGCCGGCCGCGTACTCCGGCTCTTCAGGGCATCAAGTGGCGGGTGCGCGGGGGTCAGCCGGGCAGGACCTGCTGAAGCTGCGCTCGCGACTTTTGAATGGGGGACGGGGATGCTGTGTTGCGATTTTAGCGGAAGGAGCACTGAAGCTCTCTTTTCACTAAAATTTATGTGAAGGATTCGTCTTAAAAGCGTTACGAGGGTTTGACATCTGGAAGTCAAACCGATAATATGGGGGTCAAAACTGCTGTTTTCCGGTAGCCGCCAAGTGGGTTTTAGGCTGCAATCGTTAACACAGCGCGAATCAATATAGGCTAAAATAATATCGGTGTTGTCTCAAGGTAAGAAGCGGGCCCTGGGGCCATGCACTTTCGTCCTCTCCTCACCCGTCAAGCCCTTTTTACACCACTCTTATTGGTGACACTTGTGGTTAAGCTGGTTTGCAATGCAGCTTTGTTAAACAAGTCTATAATGCAGTGGCATAGTGGTTTAAGCCACGTAATATTTGAATACTATCTCTCTATAAGTATGTATCTATCTCGACACCGAAAGAGCTTGAAGCAGTTCTGGAAATACTCAAGTTGTAGGCTTCTTACCATATATTGTTTGGACATGCTCTGAGAATCCTTTTTAATGGGATTTATTGAATTCTACCGTTAATGTCATGAAGGGATAAGGATACCACCGCTTGACATTTGTCCTTGGGCTGGTTTTCGCTACTGTCATGCTGGCCTGAATCAGTATGACCTCGGTCCGTGCGGTTTGACATCAAAGGCAAAGTAGCCTGAGGGTTAATGACCCCCAAAACCATAATCCAGATTGCCTACGCAATCATTCTGTGGATTAATGTGTCGCAACGTATTTTCTACTTTAGCGGAAACTTTGGGATCGGGAGTATTTAAGTCGTCACTATAATATCATGCGACTACGCACAGTACTTGCTGGAGGATGGCAATATTTGACTCCCCAGATTACGACGGAAATAGTTGTGATGAACCGGAGATATCCGACGAAACGGACTGCGAGGGGGTTTTGTGCCGTCTATTGCCTTCAACAGCTTTTCCGCTGATGATTAGAGATGCATTGACCTGCATTCGTTGACCTCCAGTGCTTTAAGTCTTGAAATCTCGTACCCTCACCAGCGGGAGGCAGTTTAAATTAATGAATAATTTTTCCACTATTAGACATTATATCACATTAGTGCAATTCCACATTGCATAAGTGGCTACTCGGGCCGATCGCTTAAAGATAAAACACGATGAAACAAGACAGAGGTAACTGTTGGAGACATCTGCATATAGATGTAAGACCTATGTGTAAGTGTGTGCTGTTCTAGATCACCATGCACGTTGCACAGCCGTGCTCAGCCTAAAGGCTGCCGAACAGATATACTCAGTCCTAAAATGCGACTATTTCCCCGCCATGCGAGCAACACGATTTGTGAAAAATTCACCAGCACCCGATCTACATAGATACACAGATATACAAGCAATGCTTAACTGCATGCACAAATGCGTACGTAGTATGACGGAAGTGACCAGACTTTTTCCAGGCTGGCGCTCTTAAGCTCGTTAGACGACAGGGACTACGAGCCGACTCAGCTCCGATGCAGCAGCCCATTGCACAGAGCGGCCGGCCGCCACCTGGAAGCGCTGTGTTTCGGTATCTGTCCGTGATCTTGTCAAGTGGAGGTTTCCGTCCTGTCCCATATTTCGTTCGGGAGGCTCTGACGTTCAACAACGGGCTCGCCCAGGGGAGGCACTTCGTGCGCCGGCGTGCAGTATGACAACGCACCACTCTTCCAGCGGTGAGACGCCCGTCTTGAAACAGCAGGGCCACACTTTCTGTGACCAATTATGACTCACTAGCGTCGCTAGGTGACCTTTTGCAGTGTACATGAATTGCCTGGGGCACCATTCCCGTAAACAGAGATGCATAACGCAGCTGTGGAAGAGTCCTCAACTGTTTGTAGTGTTTCCAATAGCCTTTGCGAAACACAGATACGGAAGTTCCAATTTTAGCCACGTCAACTTGACAGCGGGCTCTAGTGCCCCATTGGTTCCACACTCTACGCGGTAAAGAGATCTTTGCTCGTCAGTGGGGAGATGCTACCAAGGCTGGGAACGTGCGGTAAACTGTAAAAAAATAGCGACGCGGGGTATCTCGACAGTTGTGAGCGCCGATGTAGCAAATAAAAAACCGAACGTACGGCTCTTGGCGAGAAATGTTGCAAGCTGTCGAAAGATCCACCTCTTTCTTTTTAACGGAAGCCCTCGACCATAAATCTCATGTAGTCTTACGGGTTTCATCTGGTACAGTGCCTATGAGAGAGATCAAAAGGCTGAGACTCGCAGCACTGGCTGGCCACACTACCACGGACCGTAACTTTCGCAATCGCATCCCTGGATAACCCTGGCCGTACAAGACCGCGCTATGAGCTGATGGTCCTGGACAACGAACTGGGTATGACCAACCGCAACACAGGAAGCCGCGGCGGTCTGAGATAGTGACGCCACGTGTAATCAACAGCAAACGCAACGACCTACTCGTGTCCTTACGGTCACGGGGTTTCACATTCCAGTCACGAACAGCCGGTCGCCTCCATTCCGACAGTAGCGGTCGGCCGAGAGGGACGCGTTGCGCGTTACCGTCCCCCGTGCTGGGACCAGCGGCTGCCGTGCTGGGGCCAGCGGCCGCCGCGGCTCGACTCCGCCCCGAGGGCCCCGCGGCCACCGGCTGAGCTCCGCTCCGAAGGCCCCGCGGCCTCCGTCTGAGCTCCGCTCCGAAGGCCCCGCGGCCACCGGCTGAGCTCCGCTCCGAAGGCCCCGCGGCCTCCGGCTGAGCTCCGCTCCGAAGGCCCCACGGCCACCGGCTGAGCTCCGCCCCGAGGGCCCCGCGGTCTCCGGCTGAGCTCCGCTACGAAGGCCCCGCGGCCTCCGACTGAGCTCCGCCCGGAAGGCCCCGCCACCGCCTGCCGTACTCCTCATCCCTCGCAGCGGGGCCCCGGGAGCGCACGACTCCCGGGAACCGGACTTCCCGTTGCCACGGCCAGCTCTGATTGCGTCGTCCCCAGGCCCAGAAGGGCAATAACGACCGTCATCAGTCAATATCCCCCGGTCTTGGGAGGGATTCCGGGAGGCAGTGCGTTGGTGGTGCTAAAGCTTTCGTTAGGTTATTACGCTGTGTGAACGGTGTGTGGGAGGGAGGATACTGAGCCGGAGCTCCTAGTTTACAGCAGCCGTCCCAGTGGTTGCCAGTGGGAAATGTTCTAAACGTTCTAGATTTTTCGGGAAGCCTTCATTGGATATACGGGTTCGAAGTGGTTGCGGCCCAATACCCATTGATTTCAACATCTGATTCCAGTTGGATAGCCCTGTGCTGTAAAGCATATCTGCTTTGACCTCATCAGAATACCACATAATTTTACCTGAATTCCCGGAACATTTTGCATTGCTTCAAATGTTTGAGCTGATGCCAATTCATTCATGAAACGGCTATCGTCCTAAGGTTTGTGTTTCCATTGCTATGCTTCCTTTAGTAAAACCGCTGATAAATCCAAGGAGTCGCATATGTCACAATTTCAATGTTGTAAAAGTGTGCAATAACAACGACAGCAGTTTTTGAAGCTTTCTGTTTCGAATTTAAGTTTGCTATCACCTTTAGAATTTGTCTTTCGAAGGATGATTACTTCGATGAGGCAACGGAGTTTAAAATTCGGTTTGCTTTTGTTTTTATTGTTATTACCACTATTTTCGCAACTCCAAGTTGCGGTAGTTTTGGTCCTGGAAATGACGTATTCAAAACCGGAACAAATCAGCTTCAATTCCACGACGCCCTAAAAAGTTTTAAGTATGGATAAAGATCAAGCCAACAAAACGCTGAGAATATTTGGAAAACAAGCTGCTACCCCCTGTCACCCGTGAAGGCGCTCTTACGCTGTTCAAACACAGTTAACAGCCGCGGCGTTGTGCGGACTCCTAATTGTACAAGACTAGCATACAGTGGCCCACTGTTGGGCTGGCGACATTAGGCCCTTTGCCTCCCTGCCTGGAATTTGGCAAGCAATCTCCGTGGGTGATCGCTGTGTCTATTTCTAACACACCGCGTGTTGTTGACGTGGAGCGCTTGGTGCGCCTGTTTAAAGGTGTCTGGAGCTCTTCGTCAGCATTTTTGCCTCGCCTTATGAGGTTATCGAGATCATGGCACAAATGTGGGACTGAATATCATTGATTGAACTCAATTAATTTTGGAGGTTTGATAAAGTCTTGAAAGAAACTTTTGTAGTGACGTTCTTGTCCACCTGCCCAAAATATTGGTTCACGCATTTGGCTATGCCAGCCATGCATTGCACAGCAGCATATAAACTTGATCGGTGGGTCTCCTTACAACAATATGTAGAACTACTTTCGCGGTTTTTCCGTATTCGCTGCAAGAACTGAAATGTTCACATGGTTGGTACCAAGCCTACAACAATGCCTTGGTTTGAACATCATTTCCCTTTGTGCTGTGTTCTGCTTGCCATAATCAGTAAATAGGGGCGGATCCAGAGCATTGGTTAGAGCGCAAGTGTAAAAGGTGTCTTTATTTTCAAAAGTTCGACAGATTCCGTCTGGTTTTACCTGTTCTGAAACAAGTTTATTCGATGAAAGTTCCATAGATCGTCCTCAAATTCCAGAGCTGTGTCATGGTGTCAAATGTGACAAAAATATGTAAAGATGGTCAATACCGTGAATATCCTTCAATGTCGTCACATTCACTGTCCTTCAATGTCGTTAATGTTCTTCTAAAACTGCTAGAATTATCTTGTTTGAGTCAAAAGCGGTCTTTTGCCAGTCAAACTCACAACAAATAGATGTGTTCGGCGGTGAGAGTAAACATAAACAGGCTGGCAATAACTTCGCTTGTCATCTCAAATGATTGTAACGTCCCATTTCGCTCAAGTCAGTGGAAACAGTTGATAGGAGCTGAAAGATGACGCGAAGGGCTGAAACTATTTGCATGTGTCTTCAATGCCCGCTGAATAATCTCAGAGAATTGGTCTTAGCTGAAAGCAATATTTATGTATTCAGCTAGCTCGTGAATTGGCACCGGTTCGAATCTCTGATGATATCATGGAAATGTCTCGCGCTAAATCATTCATTACCATCAAGCCACGTGGGTCGTGGTGGGAACCTAAACGCTTCGAAGACCCAATGACAGAGGAGAACCGTCTTCCATGTGCGCGTCAAGAAAGGTGTACTGATCTCCCGATGCCCTACCGTGTGATTCCCTAATATGCGCTGATGCCCATAACCCAGAAACCGCTTGCACGTCAGCACACACAGTGCATCCATAAAGGACACACGATTGGTGTCCAGTGTCCAGATTAAAAGGGCCGCGATATTAACGCTAACAGCCATATTACGTTACTCTCAGTGAAATGACGTTGCATAGCATTTTCGTAGTTGCTTCCGGGTGGACCACAGTTTTGTCTTAGCAGAGTCGTAAGCAGGATTTTTGCAGGTACAGGTCTAGAAAAGCGTGGAAATGTTTTACTTGATATATTTTTTCCAAAGCCGCTGGCAAATTTTAATACGGCTAACCGGGTAATTTGGGATTTCTGGAAGCATGGATATCGGTTACACCTGTTTCCATTTCACATCAAGTACTATGCATCGTGCACACTGAGAGATCTACCGGAAGCTTTGCCTTTTGTCATCTATGGTACAAGTGAATGGTTTATGCGGCTATATTTTCTAACAAAAATATTCCAATACAAATAATGAAAAGATACCAATTACAATTTTAGCTCCTTTCAGTAGGATATATACGAACCAATCGTAGATTTGAACTCAACGTAAGCAAAGCTCTGTTCACCATAAATATTCAGCGCCGGTCCGCGCCATTCAGTGGAACACCACCGTCCGCAGACATGGTAAATCTCGTCTGAGACGCAGGTAATGGCCGGCAACCTTACATCCACCAATAGCAAAATTCCCAATCAACCCATCATGATTTTTCCTGACCGGCTGATCCTTTTCTAGCTCTCATTTGCACGGCATTTCTCCAGCACCATCGTGGCATGATGCATTAGGTTTCATTCGTTCAATAAAAACCAGATGTCTTTTCCGCGAGCCTGATCCTCACGGCTTTATGATGGTGCCGATGGTTGCGTAAGCTCTTGACACCAGTGCGGCAAATGTTTCGACTGATCGTACTTTCATCGTCGCTACACAAAATAGCGGGTCGGGAAAACAGCGCAAACTGTTATCATGTCAAATTGGAAACAACGAACGTATTGCGTTGTTAGTACTCAGTATCATTAGAATGCTAATGGTAGCGTGGGACGGCTTTAAGTAAGAACAGAAACAACAAAAAAGTGATCTTAAATTCAACTTTAGAAGTTACAACGAATAGCTGCCTCCGTTGTTACTATGTGTCAGTCTGTGTACAAGTTCGCCGAATGTGACCCATTGCTACTCATTGTCCTTGCAATTGCCTTAGGTAATGACTACATCATTGCCGATACCAACGATGGCGCCTCTTTATGCGGCGAAGCATATTAGACAATCTCCCTTTGGTATCTTTCGGAGATGGGGAGCGGATGGTCTGACCTCAAATGTCTGCCTCGGCATGCATCACTTCAACCAAATGACCTCGGAACTAGAAAGCCTCCAACTGCAAAAACCTCATACATTGCTGAAGAACCTGGTCCGCATAACTGTTGGAAGCCGCAAATGACCAAAGAAGTTCACGTTGAGCACGCGATTTTTAAGCGTCCGGAGGGGACTTTGGGGAGGTCCACGTCAGAATGCTTGACGCGTGTCCACAGTGGACGGATGTCCACATTGTCCCACGTCAGAATCCCTGACCTCTGTCCACAGTGGACGGAAGTTCGGAGTGATCCACGTCAGAGCGTCTGACTCGTGTCCACAATGGACGGATGTCCGCATTGTCCCACGTCAAAACCCCCGACACCTATCCACAGTGGACGGAGGCTCAGAGTAGTCCACGTCAGTGTCCGACCCGTGTCCACAGTGGACGCCGGCGCCGGCGCCACAGGAGCAGCAGCGGGCCGACGAGCAGATCGCCCTGGACCTGGGCGACGAGTACGAGTCGGCGCTCACCGACGCCTCCGAGAACGAGCTGGTGGACCTGGCAGGTGGGCTGCGCGTGGCGGTGGGGGAACGGCTGGGGTTTGACAGACATTTCCGCGACAGAAAGGCCAGCAGCCTGAGGGAATGATCCTCCGACTCAACAAGCTTTGGAAACTCGGCTATTGTAAAAAGTTCGTGCATAAAGACAACGGTAGTTGTATGTCTTCTAGAAACTATTCTGTGAGTCTTTCGCTTCGAGGGCCTTTAGAGCCCTTCAATACTTAACACTGCATTTCAGCGCATAGAACTGCAAATTGTGCCCGAAATAAATCTGCAAACTTCCGTCCTTTCGCGCTTGGATGACACCCAAGACTTTTCCTGACGTCGTATCGTGTGTCGCCGGTCTCGCAACATTTATACCAGTTGTGCTAGGTATCAACAGAATGGCTGAGAGACAGTTGGTGTAAGGCGATGATTAGACAACCATAAACACATAAGACAATTGTTATTAAATTTATTAAAAGTAGTTACAAAAGTATCGCGCTAAAGTCGGTACATTGTACGTGACTGAAAAATTAAGTATTACATAATTTTAATATCAAGTCACGAAGCGACGCTCAGCGATTTCTACATTTGAACCACATGGTTTGTTTATAACTGATCATCTGTTCTCCGTTTTTGCTGTGCAACTGCCTCTAGTAGCTTCAATATACGTAAGTTGTTTAGTGCATTTTCGAGGAACATTATTCACGTAGATAAGACAGTAGCAATAGCCTTATACCTCCGAGAAAAACCATGGTAATGGAGATGTAGATGCGTTACATTTACGCATTTATATGCGTATCTATATCTCCATTCTCCTGTTTTCCCCGAGGAATACGGCTATTGCTACTGTCTTAGTTTCAGTTTTGATTGTTCTGGTGTTTCAGCTCTTGTCAAACAGCTTCGGAAATGTCATAGGTTCGAAAATTTAGCTGTAAATATCCCTTGCTTCCAGACAGCCTTTGACCTCCAGCTGTTGTGAAGCAGGATCGATCGGCCAAAACCTACTGCCTGTCTCCGATGCGTCACAGCTAAATAGAACTAACCTGTAGCAGGCCGAAATGCACATTTGTTCCTGTCACGCCTGCCCCGTGTACCGGCAATTGTCCCCCCCTGGGATTCCACGCCGTGGTATCCATGGAATCCCAGTGTGGATCAGTACCCTCCCTGAACAGGATTAGCACCCTGCCGTGTGTTCCTCGTAAGGCACTATTCCTGCGTACCGGCAGTAACCTTCTGTTGCCATTCGATGGTGGACCACAGGTAGTGCCCTGATGCCCAGGCACAGCCAGCCCACTCCCCTGTAACGTCGTTCCTGATGCTGGACAGGACCGGCACCCCTGGCACGTGACTCGGTTGTGACGTCGTCCCGTGCGCCGCAGCGATCCTCGGCTTCCACTCGATGATGAACCAGGACCAGTACCACGCGTCGCTGCTGGGCAAGAAGCTGGACACGGAGGAGGTGGGCTGGAGCGGCATCACGCGCGCCTCGCGGCCCAAGCCGATGGCGCCCGAGCCGCCCAACACCACCGACCCCGAACAGTCGATCGAGAGCGTCAAGCGGGACGACCCCGAAGTGCGCCAGCTTAACCTCAACAACATCAAGGTCAGTCAGCGTTAGCGGGCCTGCGCTGAGCTGGCGCAGCCGTCGCCGCGCGATCGCTGGCTACGTCGCGCTGGCGATGTTTGCCGCGGGCCGCTGATTGCAGTTGCCTGATGGACCCGGCCTGGTTTGCCAACGTTCTGACGCTGCGGGGCACGCGCGCCAAGGACGCGCGCTTCAAATGTTTGCGTTACGCAAGAACCTGGCTGATCTGGTTAATCTGGCCGTTCAGGTAACTGCAGCATGGATCCTATGGGCAGTCCTGCATCTCACGGGTGCTGCACGCCGGCGATCGGGGCTGGTCGGCACAGTGAGTGCACCTGCACCATAACCCTGCACGCCAGGGTCTGTCATGGGGGGATCGCTAGCTACGCACCGCATAGTTCGAAAGAGAAGAAGAGATGTCAGGGTGGCTGTCACCGCATACCTTAGGCGGCACGGGGTGCAGCGTACAGTTTCCTGAGCGTCGAAGTTGACTGTGAGGTGCAAGCTTGCGCCCCCGGTCGTCCACTCCGTCTGCTGCCGACTGAGTCACCGCTCGGGTAGGCCAGCGGTCGCAGCCGAGCCCCGGGGTCCATGTCGTGCCGGCCCGGGGCTCAGCGCGCGCCAGGACACCGGACGGCGCGCCGGCCAAGGGCGCCGCCTGGTACGAGGGCCAACAGAAACAGACTACGGTCAGCGCAGCGGCTCACAATTCGCGATCTTTTCCAGGAGGAACACATCTTTTACTGGTCCTTCACATCACCCTCTTACAGATTCGCTACGTGGTGTCACTCGACATGTGAAATCGTACACCCGCAGTAAACCAAAATAGATGCGAACAAACCCGAAAAGATGTGCAATGAACTCTTACGAACTTGCTGTCCTCGTGGGTCATAAGCTCTTTTCTGCTATGTTGACTTTGCACATTGCACCTAGCCATCATGAATTGGTTGAAGTGAAACTAAGGAAGGCTCCGGTGTAAGTATGTGTGTCTAATGCACAAATATTCGTCCTGTAACGATCAACAAAGAGCACACGCATGGGAACGGAGCCCGAGAGGGTGAGAGAGAGAGAACAAAAATATAGGGTGGGAAAGATAGAGAGAGGGAGAGAGAAAAAAAGAGAGAGGGAAAGAGAGAAAGGGAGAGAGAGGGAGAGAGGGAGAAAGGGAGAGAAAAAGGGAGGGAGAGGGAGAAAGAGGGGAGAGAGATAAGGAGAGAGAGAGGAAGAGAGAGAAGGAGAGAGAGAGAGAGAGAGGGAGAGAGGAGAGGAGAGGAGAGGCTCACAGAAAGAGAGGGAGGGAGGAGAGGAGAGGAGAGGAGAGGCTCACAGAGAGAGGGGGAGAGAGGAGAGGAGAGGAGAGGGGAGGCTCACAGAGACTGTAGGTACGTGCCGGTAGTATGTCATTAACGGCCCAACGCAGGAATGGTATCACCAGACGTACTTTTCTTTGCGTCGACACCAGGATGCATTCACGACGAGATGCGCTAGCTGTCATGTGATCCTTCTCTGAACATGGTCAACAACATTTTTCTGGTATTCACGACTTCCTCACGTGGGACCAAGCAACTATATAAAACGCTTAATTTGAAGGTTTTTTTCGATCTGCGCGTGGACATCCGTGGAAAATCGAGCTACGTGTCATAAACTGCGACGTATTCTTCTGCAAGAAATAACTGTCATAGATGTCTTGATCTGGCTAAAAAGCAACAGCTGTTTGTTTTTCTGTTAGCGGCTCGGAGATGCTGCTACCTGAGACGTGGGTCTTGGCCTCTGCCGAGCGCCCGTGTTCATCATTACGTTGGTGGTGCGTCTACGATTCGTCTCGTCCGGCTCAGCGCTCCTGACGAGGCCATCTCGCTCCTGACGGTGATGAGCCGCATGGCTAATTTCCCATGGGACGGCCCGGAACGGATTGTTTGTCGCGGATTGACGACTGTCGCCATCCAAAGTAGCTGACGGCACGAGCGCTCGATAAAGCGTGCTGCGGCTCAACACCATTGGGAGTTGGCCGCGCAGCAGCAGAAGACTTGTGTCTGTACGCCAGCTAAGAGTGGCTCTTGTAAATTCCATTTGATTTCCTTGTGCTACGTTGCGCATTATGGTGACGCTTAGGTTCAGAAAGGCAGATACGACCTAAAACATCCGACCTTGATAGGCCAGCTGAGCAATGCCATGTTTGCTAATACTTTTGAATGATGTAGACAAACCGGTTTCCACGCAGTGAAGCTGTCAACATCGTCAACATGTTATACAATTGTAAAATTGGGTAGTGGGCGTTTCAGTCTATACTTAAGGTGGCGTGGTTAGTCTCATTTCTCTGATGCAAAAAAAACATTTTCTGGACCCAAAAACATATTTTCGGACACAGTTGTTGTTCCCTATCATGCTTATTCACCATGCATTACAACCAATTTAGCTTGTCTAAGTATGAGCAGCTTTTTGCTCGTCAGTATGTGTTGAAATCAGAGTGCAGATTTTGCCATCCTGTGATCTCGCAATTTAGTAGTATTTCGCATCCCAAACGCATTTCACGACTCATATTTACCCATATGCCAGGTTTGCCATTGCCACGAGCTCATGCGTGCGCCATGCAATATAGTAAGGTTATTTCAAGGAACTATATATGCCTGTTATAGTATGCCATAAAAACAGCATAAAACAGCTGTATTTTGCCGTATGCTGCGATATGTTGCCCAAACGCGGACGAACTGTAAACATGACACCTATTTGCCTGGCCTTCTCAAATTTGTCGCAGATTTTGTGTCCAATAACCCGCTGATTGCAAAGCTTCGTTTCCCTGGTCTGATTTGTCACACTGCTTATTAGTCACTTTAGTGACATGCGTGCTAAAATATCGTGAGTGTAAGTCAAATTTGTCTCTAACCCATTCACGATAAATAAACAAACAGCTTCAAGGTGCAGTGTATGATCACAGAAGGGTGTAACAGTCTAGCAATGGACATAAGATTACACGGCTACAACCACTGTTTTCTCATCGTTCGAAGGCGCAAGAGGCACGCGTCATAAGCCAACCCTAAAGGCTGCGGCTGCTCTTCGGGTTCAGCACACAGCGGCAAATTAAACCGAGCTTACACTGCCGTTATCTGTTCACACCAGCCTACTGCTTACTACCGCTAGTTGGATGAACAGGATTGCAGCAGACCCATTCGCTGGGGGCCTAACAGAATTACCAATCTTGGGAAGCGATCTAATACACAAAACTTCAACGTTTGTCGTTGGCGAGACGATGTCGACCCCGGTCTGGCCGGGGACGGAGCGATGTGACGACAAAGTGCTAAGGCAAAAACTCCCACCGTCAGGAATGCTGCATCATTTATAAGCGGCCAAAAAGTTATACATACTTAACTTATGCTCCACATTACTTCTACTGCAAAGGGTTATACGCGAGTGTTACACGGAAACATGAATACTTCAAAACTTATGCACTTATTGTAAAACTTATTACATCCGCTGTCGAAACCTCAAAAGTCTTTATTTACTTATGCGCGACATTACTTCTACTGCAGAAAACTCATACACGACATGAGTGTTACACGATAAAACTTATGCCGCGAAACTTGTGTCCGTCATGGTTTCTAAAGTAAATAATTTGCAATCTTTGCTTACATATAGGCGACGTTATTTATTTTGCGAAAGCTCGTACACGACATGAGTGCTACACAACAAAACTCGCGCTGCAAAACTTGAGGCCGTTAGTACTTCTACAGCGTGAATATATCCTGTATTTACTTATACGGGACATAACGTCTGCCACAATGACTTATAAGTGACATTGGTTCTACACAACAAAATTTGAAAAGCAATAAAAACCTCTATTTAAAGGGCTCATGATCGTCATTACATCTACCATAAAACCTATATGGTCTTTACTTATCATTGTAATATTACTTCTTTGGCCGATACCTATATGCGAAATTTTTACAAAACAATGCAGGCCATAGTCGACAAATTATTACTGTCAGTACTCCACGCCATAGGCTAAGCCTCACCAATATCCTACGAATGGAACGAACGCATGGAACATTTGGCTGTGTGAAATCAGGCTGCTGGTGCACACTCAGTAGTGTCGATACGTTACTGCTGTTGTAAATATTACGATTGCCATGCGCAGTCGTAGAGCTGTAAAACAAGTTTGGAGGCTAAGCAGGAAAAAGCGGCCAAGCCTGCTTCGAAATGTTTGAAACATGGGGTTGGCCCCGAACGTGACACACCTTTCTATCACAGATGAGGGACGAATGGGGCCTCCTACAGAATGCGAAACTACACCCCTGGCTTAATGTTCACTGAAACGCGACATATTTTTTACTGCAGTGACTTATGTAAGGCTCTAGTGCTACGCGGGAAAACTAGCACTTCAAAACCTTACGCCAGTCGTTGGTATTTTCCTACCCGAACTACAGCCGTTGCTCATACGCCAAGCACTGCAAATCGACAAAATCACGCAACATTATGAATATATATTTTTTCGCATCAGCCCCACAATTAATTGTTCCGGGCTGAGATACCCTCTGACCCTGTGAGTAATTCCTAAAACCTTGCTAGGCGTACACGCATTTTGCCCTCCACGGCAAGCATCAGCAGTAGAAGTATGTAATGTTGCACATACGTTAAGTACTTAAAAGTTTTTGCTCAGTGATATATTTTTGAAGCATAAGTGTTGTCGTGTAGCACAAAAAGACTATAAGACAAAGACTAATGCACAACTAATGTTGCACATTAGTCTTTGCAGTGGAAGTAATGTCTTGCATAAGTAATGGCTGCATACGTTTTTGCAGTGAAGGTAATGACAGATTTAAGTTTGTGTAGTATACATTTTGTCATCTAGCAGAACCGTCGTGTAAGTCTTTCCAGTGGAAGTAGTGCCGTGTATATGTAATGATTGTATAAGGTTTTTAAGTAAATGTAATGAAGGGCAACAATTTGTGCAGTAAAGGTATTGTCGCGTTGCGTTATCGTCAGATCTAAGCATTGGCGGTAGAAGTAAGGCCGTAGCAATCCTGTCGGTGGGAGTTTTCGCTGTAGCACTAATGTGGAACCGGACGGGGCATGGGTGAAAGGGTTGCGACGACACGTGGGTTTTCCCGAGGTCATCGCAGAAAAAGTGTTATTAACAAGGCTTTTCAGGTCGAGAACGTGGCATCATGTTCACCTTTTATCGCCAAAGCCTGGTAGATCGTGGAAACGCACGTTAGTAACTTGCTGCACCGGAAATACCGTATAACGCCTTTGATTCCGTACATGAAAAGTACACACCCCCAGAAAAAGTGTGGGGATTTTTGGTGCAATTCGGAAAGCTGTTGCGCTACGTTTTTGTCCATGAATGCCGCTAAAACTAAGCGTGTGCTCGTGTCCGTGCGGACTTCCAATCACCACACAGCTTAGACTCGAATGTCTTGGGTATAAACACAACGTTTAGCGTGTTTTCGTGCCCTAATTCCGCTTCGTGTTTGCCGCAGTACATCTAAAACATCGTTTGCGGCATTTCTGCGTAAAGGCATAACTGACAAAGCACAAATTGCCCGTTGGCCAAGGCTCGGCAGCACGCCCCAAGGCCTACCTACGGCCGCCGCTCGGTGTGCAGCACATGGCTTGTTACTTGGGCAAGACGGCGTTGATTCCGGTGCGGAAGGGGGAACGTGCGGGGAAGGGGGAGGGGCTCGCCGTCGGCCGACTCCAGCCGCCGCAGCCGCCGCAGGCCGAGCGACGCTGTCTGTCGGGTGCCGGTCTCATCCAAATATGGCGCGTCGGCGCGGCGCCGCCTGGCCCGTCGCCAGGCTCAACGGAGCGCTGGCAGCGGCCGGCTGGACGGAGCGGCGCGGCGAGGTCGGAGCTCGTGACCTCGGCTCGGTCCATCAGCGGCCAGCTGGGGGTCCGGGCCGCGGGTCCGGAGAGGGGACAGCGGCTAGTCACGTGCTCGGATCGTCGCTCGCCAGAGACAGGAGCGTCCAGTTAGGAACGCGCCGCCATTGGAGGGAGCTGGGCGCCGTTTCCCATCTATGATGAGCTTCGCCTTCGGTATCGAGGTGCAAAGATCTCAGCAAGATAATGGGTTCTGTCCGCCAAATGGTGGTGAGCGACTGCACCTTCCCCCCCCCCCCCCCCGCGGCATGTGAGACGCCACGCGCTGGAACCAGTCAGCTCCCATACGTGTATGGAGTCGATTAATCTATTCACCAGCGTGAGAATGACCCCTCGAGCATGTGCATGTAATGCGAACCTTCTGACCGGCGCTGCTCTGTTCCAGACGATTTCTGCCGAGCAGTTCGGTCGGCTGTGTCAGGCCGCCACCACCAACACTCGGCTGGAGGGCCTGCTCGTCTCCAACACGGCCATGGGCGATGCCTACGCCGAGAAGCTGGTCCAGCTGATCGAGACCAATCCTAACATCAAGGAGATCAGGTCAGCCTGAGAGCGCGCCTCCTGGTGTGGACACAAGCAGCCATTGGCTGACGCATTTTCACCCTTCCGGTGTGAATACCAACAGCCATTGACCGACCCATTCTCATCCTTTTGGTGTGAACACAAGCAGTTATTAGCCGGCCCATTCTCACCTTTCTGGTGTGAGCACAGACAGCCATTGGCTGGCCTATTCTCATCCCTCTGGTGTGAATACGGTCATTGGCCAGCCCACTCTCATCGTACTTATTCATCTTGCCGACGGCTTCTCTGAATATTAAGAGCCCCTCATCTGCGTCGCTCATTACGACATGCATGCTACTTAGTCAGCATGACGCACGCATGCGCCGGCTTTTGGAATTAGCTGGTGGGTGCGCGACCGGAGCTTTCGTTGCCGCGGCAACCAACCGTAACACTTCCAGGCGGCTTTTGAATGTTGAGAAGATTCCAATTCAGTAAATTGCCCATTTTTCAACACGATAGCATAATGTGCGCCTGTCTGATCTTGTATCTCATAACGCAGACCCCCAACGGAGTACGCATTAATCGTCCGAAGAGGAAGTAGCTTGAATCATGCTTCTGGGCACGAGTGATACTTTTGGACACTGTCCGAGACAGGCCGCTGCAATGTCTACTCTTGGGGGCGGCGATTACACAGGAGACAGCGCACTTCGCACAGCGAGGCACGCATGCAAAAGTATTCCTTTACGTGCATCGAGAGTCAGAAGCTAAGACAGCGACAGTAGCGCCGCTCGCCAAGCGGCAAATCATGGAACTTTCACTCGCTAGCAGGTCATCTCGTTGAAAATATTTAAACGAGATAGATGTGGATGCCAAAAATCGGTAACGTCATTCTTTGCGTTTTCAGTGCTGCCTGTATTTCATTTGAGCCAGAGGAGGTGACCTGAAATAAAGAAAGCAACGACGATTTGTTCTGTTTGCTACAGGCGGTGTTTAAACAGACGCCTTCAGATGTACGACAGAAAGCGTAACAGATTTAATTTGAAAAGTTATCACCGAAGACTTACCAAATTTAATTGGTGCTGGTAGGAGGTTCTTTATTTTATGAACCTCAAGCGGCACAATGCCGCACAATTCTTACATGCTTACATTCGACAGTGCTTATTGTATTTTACAAGATCAATGCAAGGGATCTGGGGTTATTTGGGTTTTCAAGAGATGAATAGCAAGTGAGCACCCAAAACTTCCCAAAACAGGCGAGCCCTTATTAAGCCTTTCCTTCCACGCGTCAACGCAGGGTTCATGTTAATATTCCCCAGAACGGAACAGTAATGCCCCACTGCCCTGTTTCCATAAGCAATCAGCGAACTATGATTGCATGCCTTAATATATATTAACATAATATAAATTTCAAAAAGTTGCCAATCTTTGCTGTCTTGACCATTGCGCTGCGCGTCAGCGCATTCCCCGAACGAGCGCACGACGTGAGCCGCTGACATTCATTATGCGGCCCGGTCCGTGGCGCGTCCGGGGCCGCCCTTATTGCGCCGCGGAGGTCAGCTTCCCGGTACGCCAGCCGCCGTCTCCTCCCTGCCAGGCCGGTATTTGTCTCCACAGCGGCGGCGCGCCTCCTCGGCTCTTCCACGGCGCGGGAATGGCATCGCAGTAGGTGGCGCGCGCGGGCGCTCACGCGACCAAGTTGCAGATTTAATCGGATTAATCTAATCTTGACGGTGAGCTCGGTCAGGGATGTGTGGCAAATTTGCACAGCATGGTGGCGACTTGGGCACTGGAGCAGCGGTCGTTTGGGGCAATTTCAGGTGTCGCCAACTGGAATTGGATGTAAAATGCAATACGTTTGCGTTACTCACCCGACCGCAGCACCTTGGTGGGATACACGCTCCGGCGGGGAGATTTTGGCTGCAATTGCGTAGATATATTTGCATTGTTATCGTGCTAACAAAAAATAAAGAACCAAAGAAAACGTTAAATATTCCTTGGTTTCGTGCGCATTTTTACTGGAAACTATCGTTTTCACCATCCCGTATGAGCGCTTTAGACGCTCCGTTTGGCGTGCTTTCCACAAGGACAGCACTTCACATGAGGTAAATGTAAAAAACTTCACACCATCTTAAAAGTTTGTGAAGAAAATTCTCGCAGTCTCAAAATTCACCTGTCATGCATTTTAAATGGCATTCCCTACACAATTCCCGAGAAACCGCTTCACAGCATTCAATGCACCACGAATTGTAAGAGATGTGAAGTATACCAAAGCATCGCTGTTGGTTCCATGAGGTTTAAAGCGTAGATCCGATCTATGCTAAACATTTAGCATCATGAAACAAAGGCAGGTGACCCACCCTGCATTGCATGTTAGGATGCAAACCATAATTTTTCTTGGAGATTGCCATTTTAGAGAAATCTTGCGTGACATGTCATCAGCAATAGACAGCAGGTATATCTTGAGATACGCATGTAGTTTCGATAGCTGTAGATTTTCCAGGTCAGCTTCTTGGATTTGTTATCAATCCACACAACTTTTAAAACATTTCCACGCCTATGTGCTTACCTACGACTTGTTGCGCATTTTGAGTGAAATGATTGCGCCAGAAATGGCCCCGGACAGATATCACACACTCTGCGGAGGTCGGCCTGAGCTCACGACTATCTGTACTGCTCGTCATAATTATCTGACACCGAGACGCAGCTTTTGATCCTGCATTTGGATTTAGATTTATAATTTGGTTTTAGATTTGGCACAGCACAGATCCTGGATTGACATTTGGCTGTTCGCAACAACTACGGCCTATACAATGATATTCTCCTTTAGCAGCCTTTGCCTGTAGTTTTTTGCAGATGTGTTCCATACGGAGGATCTAGCAGTCTGAGATTGTCTGTCCTCTCCAAAGCATATAAGTTCTAGCAGTCTGTAACTTAAAGCAGCAGACCTTGGCCCTAGCACTCTGAGCTCGTCGACTGTTTCTAAGCCGATTTAATTAGTACGTGGCACTGCCAGATACGTTCTTGTCTTACTTTTCCCATTTTGAGTGAGGCATTGAATATATTTGCAACGATATGAATGACTAAAGGTATGACCATCCGCAGTCGATGCCTCCTCAAAACTCCAAATCATCTTCAGCAGCAGCGGCCTATGTTCTGACTGCAATTATGATCCCTCAGACGGCGGCGGCGGCCCAAATCTTAGTGATTAAATTGACCCTCGCAAAAAATCCAATCCACTTTGGTGTTGAAAGCTGGGTCGAGCTGGAACTCTAATTGCATGAATTTATATCAACATGGGATCACGGCTTGCGCGGTCTGAATCTTCTGGAAAATGCAGTGTTTTTGTTCTTCTCCGTAGTGTGATGGGAAAATATGGTACATCGGGTGCGAGAGATCACATGGACTTGCATTGAAATTTTCTTGCCTTGACTCGTCCTCTTCTCGTCAAAAATGAACATGAACTCTAAGGCGACGCACGACAAAATCGCCATCGATAGTTTGGTTACATGTGGTTTGGCTTTCTCAGTTTTAGAGATACTCCACGCCGCTTCGCTGAAATGTTCTGGTTCCGCTCGCTTTGGTTTTCGAGGTTCTCTCGGCGTTTTCCATCCAAGAGTGATGCTAGTTGTTTTTGCCTTGTTCGTTTGCATACATATCATTCGAAATTCTCCCATCGTTTCGGCAGCACGGAGCAGGCATCCAATGTCGCCGAATCACCAAATCGGTCTCCAAGTGTAGCCGAAATAAGGCCTCATCGATCCTCAGCATGCAGAGATTTCGTCTTCGTGTATGAGGAGCCACAATTCTTCCAGGAGCAAGCTTCTTTCATGACCATTAGCAAGCTTCTTTCATGACCCACTGCATAACCCATGTACCATTACCATTGTACCCATGACCACTCTCACGTTGCTGATGCATTTGCGGATTTTGCGGTGACAACATTGTATTTCTGTACAGCCTCACTGTTTCAGCTTCCCCACATCGGTATGACAAGCGTGTCACTACATCTAGGCCATACGCGTGACGTTCAATTTGGATTTACTCTGTTTCAGCATCGAATCCAATTTCATCAGCCCTCCTATGATCGCCCGGCTGGTGAAGGCCCTACTCAAGCATAAAAGCGTCGAAACATTTCGAGCCGCAAACCAGGTAAGAGCTCAGTTGGCCGGGGCTGCTCTCGATGCAGGTCATAGCAGCTACAGCAGACGCATTGCCAGCCATTTTTCGTTGAATTCATGGTTAAGATTGCCCCACTTAAAAATATACGTAGGTGTGGCGGTGTTTGAGGAGAACACAACTTATGGCGCCAACGGTGCTGCCAGCAGTTTATTTCCCGATTATGCAACGGTTTTCGCGGAATTCAGCGACAGTAACAGGGCGCTCTTGTTTGTAGAGATCTCAAGTCCTCGGAAACAAGATTGAAATGGAGATTACAAAGTACGTGGAGCAGAACCCCAACCTCCTCCAACTGGGACTGAACTTCGACTTCAATGACGCCCGCGCCAGGGTGTCTGCGCAGCTGCAGAAGAACAGGGACCGGTGTAAGTTTGCGCCACATGATCCTATCCATACATTAGCGCCTTACCAACCATGTTATGTAGATCTGTGATCTCAAATGTCTACTGATGAGCCTGCATTGTCCAAAATATCTCGCACAGCAGTTCGGCGCAAGGGCTTTAATAAAGTTGACCAATCGCTTCTGAAAATGAGGCTTAAATTGTACGACATAGAATCCTGAACCAACGTGATGGCTATCCGTCACTAGCTGGTGGCTATTTTGCCAATGGATAGTTGTGTTGCTAGCTAGCAGCACAATCAGGCCAGACTCATTCACAACCTTTGATATTGGTCAGTGAACGACACCACTTGATTCGGCACCACATCACCTGTCCTTGATTGCGCTGTGATGGCCCGTGCGGCTCAAGCCCGTCGCGCAGACAGTGCAGTTTGTGAAATCTACTCCGACACAGCCTAAAACATGGAAATAAATGAAGTTGAAGCGTTTCGTGCGCAGCTGTCTCAGAAATTCGTATCTCGCACGCATCGCTGACTGACAAAAGCCGTTGACCGTTTGGCCGAGTCTGTTGGCATTATCACCCTCGAGCCTAGCCACAGCGACGCCGGCCACATTTCCGCGATGCTGAAGCGTAGGAGTAAGCCGCTCCGACTCAACAGACGTTTTGAATACTAAAAGACGGAGCAACGCATTTTCTCAAACTCTATCTGCAATATCCTCGTGAGGCATTCGGAAAGTTTTAGGCAAATCAGCATACCGACTTGTGACAATTAAACGTTTTCAAGAACTTTCCCAGCAAATCGTCTAGAACCTCCGTGACATAAATATTGAGCTGGTTGTCCGGTGGATTCATGCCGTTGGTGAATTTCTGCGGGGTGCTGTATGAAGTTTCATTTGAGATTCACATTCATTCGTCGTTCAGAATTGACGTTTTATCGACGAGTGTATTTGATTTAAGGCATCGATGCCCCTCTATTGAATAATTGTCATACCCTACATGTGCACCAATATTTTATGCAAATGAAGCACACCAGGAGCCTGAGACATGTTTGAGTAATACCACACAAGCTTTATGTTAATCGTGCTGTACATTTTGCAGCCTTATTTTCAGTGCAATGACGTGGTCTATATGGGAACAACGTGTATCCCGGTTGTGTGCAATATGAGTTTTCTTCCCCGCTCTACAACTGACAGCTGAACTCTGGGCTGAGAGACAGGATTTGGACGGAATATGTTGCAATGCCGGTTGGTGTAATCATTGGAACTTCACCAGCTACATAGCAGTGCATACTGATGCATACATACAGCTACATAAACGGTGCAATGTGCGCACGTCTCTCCGCCTTTGTTGATTTACTCGCAGCGTCTGTCTGTCCGCGTGCATTAGCCTAACGGAAAATGTGTCCCGGGGTTGTGGCGGATGCTCTTTGTCGACGCTCGTGACGCACAACGCGTGTTTGTGCGGTGGGAGTCGCGAGTCGGAAGCCCTTTGCAGCTTCGTACGTACTGCGGGTCTAGCACCGCTGGACTCGTTTCCGTTGTTTATTTTCCACGTTGTGTAATTTTCTCACATATTTGAGTGTTTTTATCTGTGCCGCTACTCCGCTTCGCTTTTAGAAGTTGGCAAGTTTGCTAGTGCGAGCGTTTTCTGATTGATCGCCCCACATGTGCGCCAAGAGAGCAGATGGTGCTGGTCGTTTGCGATGCCTACAGTAAGGTTGGGAGGTCAGTGAGGTCAGTGAGGTCGTGGTCTCCCCACAGCGCGTGAACTCCGACTCCGAAACCAGACCTCGGACATGTCCAGTGACTTTTCCATTCAACTGCCGGCCTCCGGGTCGCTGCCCGCACGGTCAGGGGGCCTCACCGAGACAAGCCGGGGTCAGACGACCGGCAGCGGGGTCGCAGAGGCCACGGACGGCTCGCGCGGCCTGGCCGACGACATCAAAGGCACCGCGGACGACGTGGCTGCGCGTGCTGCCAGGGCGGCCGCGGACGCGACGCGTGGTCTGAAAACTGTGTCCGAAGATACACAGCGCGTTGCGCAGGACGTGAACACCGTGGCGCAAGACGTTGGTCAGCTGGTAGAAGACGTGGATAAACTGGCAGAAGACGTGAAGGGCGCCGTGGGTGACTTCGAGACGACTGCGGCGCGGGTCGAAAGAGACTTTCTGGACGGCGACGGTCGCTGAAGTAGAGGGCAGAGGTAGATGAGGTAGATGATATGGATCGAGAACCAGCCGCGGCGCGCACGGTCATGACCGCGAAGCCAACGTTTGTATGTTGGACCCACATACGACAGACAAGCATGCACGCTTTCATAGTTCGCGAGCGATTGACAGAGTATACCGGCTTTCGCAGCGAACGCCTGGGTGTTAATCGTGTGGCATCCGCTGCTTGTATTTTCAGGCGTTCCTTCTGCTGACCTGGCCTCGCTTCCGCGGAGGCGAATCTCAGATTCGTCTGCTGGAGTGTGGGCCTTAGTTAGTTGCGTATCGTGTTGGCTTCTTCACCCACAGGAACTGATCATCTAGCCTGAGAATAGCCACCTTTTCGTCCATAGAGTCGGTCATGTAGTCACCGTCTGTGGCCGCCTCTTTGAGGCCGGTTTTTGCCATTATCAGCTGCATCGCTCGGCGCTAAGCAGAAGCGTGCGCGTGCTCGTCTCGGTGCGTGTCGCTGGGACATGACGCTCCCGCCGCCATGTGACGTCAGTGCCGTCTCTGCACTTTCAGTCCGGACGGGCAAGCGGTCCAGGCTGAGCTGCAGGCTATTCCGTGACCTTATATGGAAGAAAGTAGCATAACCAAGGTAGTGTAGGAGCCCGTGGTCACGTTGCCAGCGCCGCTACAGCTGCTTCTGTCTGGTCCGCGGCATGCCTGCTCTCTGCTGTTGGCCAGGTTTGAGTCGCGTTACCGGCTGCTTCGAACGGCCGTCTGCTTTTTAATGCGCGCCACGTTCTGAGCGGCACCCTGTCTTCCGTCTGCCTGTCTTCTGCTCTGTTATATCACGCAGCATGTCCCACCGTTCTCTTGTTGGCGCTGCCGCTCTATCCCTCGCTGCTGCCGCGTTTGTAGCCGCTCTCCTGGGTCTGCGCTGCTGGTTCTCTTCTCCGGCATACGCTCTGTTTTCCCCGTTGCACTGTGAACGCCAGCAGCCGTTACTCTGCTGACGCCGCCCGACCACAGCTGGCCCCGCTTCTGCAATGGTGTGCGCCAGGTTTGCATCTTCCGACGTGCCGCTACTTGCTATCTATGAACGTCGCACCACTATTCCTCAGCCGTAGTTGCGGATCTGAAGGAATGCACTGCAACGCTCGCCCTGCTGCTGCTTTTTGTGTCAGTGTATCTTAGCATGTTCTGCACATTTGCTTGCCGAGCAGATTTGTTCTGCGAGTGTACTCGGGCTGCGCTGGTACCAAGGGCTCACGTGTTGTCTTGTTCCAGCGCGCCTGGCACGCCAGGAGGCGCCTCCCACATCTAAATGAACGTGTATGCGTCTCTGCTTGAGGTATCTACACTAACCAAGTTGATCGTGTTTGATTTTGTTTGTCTGTTTTCCATGCCCTGCGTTTCTTCCATAAATTATGACACTGAAAAGTTTTGGTATGTCTTCGGAGTAAGTTGGCCTGCTTCTTTCAGAAGAGGCCTTGCAGTGCCAACTAGTGCGTTTGACTATCTTTTAACAGTTATAGATTATATTTTGCTCTCCCACCCTTCGTAACCCATGAAAACGTAATAATTAATGACGAGGTGTAGACGATGTACAGGCAAGAATGCTGTATGCTATGATAGTTATTAGAATTAACTTAGCTGCCATTTGCTGCTTATTAGTCATTTGAGTCAGTCGCAGCTTATGTTGTAATATATATATTTATGCTATTCCGTCTAATACGTCCCATTTAAAATGTGAACGCGACACACGTCGCAAACCGTTTTGTGGAGTGCAAGCCACTGCAGAGGTCACATGAATTTTCAGGGACCATGGTGCAACCGGGATTCATACCCCCCTCCCCCCTCACATGGGAATCGTGACGGCAACCACCTGGCCATTACGCCTCATGCTTCGTTCCCTTATAAGAATCTTTACAATTAAAGGAAATGCTTCATATTGGAAGATATTAAAGCAAGCATCAGATGTGATGAAATAAGCTTACTTATAACTCTTGGTATGCTTTTTATGTCGAAAAATCTGCTTCAGAAAACACAGTTCTCTGTTAAGTAGATATATTTCACAATGCGTCATGGTTTGGTTACGTCATCATACCTTGCGCGACACTGATTGAGCGCTAATTGACGGTCAATAAATCAGGAAATGGCGCTCATGGTCGCCAGATATGAACGCATCGACAGTTATATCTTTATTTGCCTTGATCGCCACATGGCTTATGGAATGGCAGGATTTGAATGCCGTTATTATTATGTCATGAATGCCAAGGTGACTGCAGTAGTACTCTCTCCGGTATACCTTTCCCCATTTTTCGCGGGCATGTAGCTTTGAAACTAGAGAGGCTTAGGTCTTAAGATGGGCAGGATTGTGAACAGCGCCGAAAGGTCTTCAGGATGGCTATTTCAGTTCAAAACTTCAGACAAATGTGAAACACTACATCACTTCTCATGTACAACATTTTCTCGCTGATAAGTACTGTTCTCCTTTCACATTGAAAAAGTGTCAATGAACGGCATGAATTACCGATGAAATGCGTTGAACCGAACAAGCTTATCAATTCTTTATTTTCAAATGCATGCTGGATTTGGGGCAGGTAACTATGTCCGCCCCAAATCAAAGCTATCAGCCAACCCATCAATGTTTGATGATATCATTACTTTTTTTGTTCTCGAGGTGTCCCAGGCAGCGTGATGGCGGTGCGACCACTGGATCGTAATTGGTATGCCACTGACCATTAAGCCAAGCCTGCGGCATCCAATGACCGCATTGCCGCCGCTGAATTTAACTGGCCCACCAGTGATGAGATTACAGACTGCTGACGTCACATCTCCTGTTGTCCACGTGTCCTCACGTGCCCAAGAGGCACGGGGTGCGCCAGTCATCATGTCATAAGCTCAAGTTCTGCTCGGTAGTTGAAATATTCCTAGTTCCGATAAGTTGTCAAACGCGTTCAGTTGTCCGTCTATCCAACGTTGGATGGTCGTCCTCCAAAGCTCTGATTGAAGGATTTGTGCTACATCTAAGCGTGAGCAATGAGCACCATCAGTGAAACATGTAAACAATGAACTTACCCATGTTGTGATCGTTGGTTTCGCCGGTGGTATATCGGACACGCATACCTTGAACATCACGAGCTTTCAAGGCTTGGTTTTTGAACCCATTATTTCATGATGTTTGCACCAGGTAAATAACTAAGTTCCGGGGTGATAACCCAAGGTCCCAGATTTGAGCCTTGGGAGCTGTGACAAAAGATTAGTTAGTGACGTCAGATTCGATGTTATGTGAACGCAGCATTCTGTTCAAGTGTCTTTTAGTCTGAGTTGGAACTTTATCCATTTTGGTCTGAGGCCGAGTCTTGTTCTTTTGGCTTGGCCTCGAGTCTAAGTCCGAGGCAGAATCCATCATGTTTTCGTCTGACAATGCGAGCTCATTTTTCAAATTGAAGTGTCCAGATCTCATTTACCTGCAAATTTACGTAATGCATTGTTCGACTTCCGAAAGTCAGTCCCAAAAATGCATCCAAATCGCAAACGCTGACGCGAGCCTGAGTTCAGCAGGGGTCTGACCCATGCCCGGCGGCGAGACAACTGTCAGCTGGGCGGTCGCGGCGTAGGCCGACCATCATCCGAGCGGTCGCGACGTAGGCCGACCATCTCGGCGCGATTGCTTCTGTCCGTCAGCGGCGGCGCCGCGACGCCAGGCCAGGCCTCTTCCATCACACGATCCCTGGCCGGTCGACGGGCCGGTGCGGGTCGACAAAGGTCGCAGAGGTCGCCGAGAGTCGGGCTGACCGGCGTAGCCCCGGGACGTCGGGTCATCGGGCTGGCGATCCGGTGGTCGGGCCGAGGAACACCTTGGTCTGGGACTGACTGACTGGCGGGCTCCGGCGTGTCGGAAGTTGGGAGGTGTGCGATTTGCGGTGCGTTCCATCCATTCAGCACCCATAGGGTCAATGCTACATTGCACTAAGCCAGGTAGCATGATCCCCTTCCTCTGATATCCCGCGGCGGAACCCGTGGCTAAGTATTGCAATGAAATTGGAAAAATACTGTTCGTCTTTGTCCGTCTATAGCAAAGCTTTCCAACTGATCCAACTGTATTGCCACACCGACCGAAGTACAAGTGGTAGTCATACTCAGTCGTCTTTAGCTATCAATTTTTATCACGCTGCACGACGAGCAGAAATCCGGTTGCCAGAGGAAATTTCCGCGCATACTGTTTTCTTTGTACCGCCAAGATTGCAATATCCGCAAGATATATGAAGGTCCTAAAAACGCTCCAGTCCGCTGCATCCATTCCCACCTGTCAGCAACAGCGTTCAACGGTCCAATGCCTGCTGAAGAGCGATACGTTTGAGTCGCTGCAGCAGTGTCAGGCGATGTTTTTTTCGAACCCTTCGTGTCGGTAGCGAATGAGGCCGAATTGTACGTCCGCTGTCCTGAGCACAAAACCTGCCGAGTGGGGAACTAAAGAGCGGCACCGTGGCAATAACGAGCTCCATAGCGCTGTTGGCTTTTGTGGCAAGCCAGAGGAATCGAAGGAGCCGATCGGCTTTGTCAATCTGGACACCGCGTCGCCTGTATATAGGGGTCTGTTGGTTTTATATTAGAAGATCTGAAGATCCAAATGCCGATGAAGTGCCGCCGAACACGGAAAGCTGGAAGGAACTAACCTTCGTTTGTTGTCCTCAGCGCACTCTCAGTGGGCACAGCTGGTGGATTGGTATGCGGGCTGCCCATGCAATTAACCCAATACCAGACTGATCAGCTTTTGTTTCTGGTCTTTGGGGTGGATTGTTAACCCCTTGAAGTATTTCTTAGCTTCATGTAAAGATAGGCTAAATTATATTTAAGTGGATCGTACCTCAGCGGGCAACCCTTCGCTACAAACAGGATTTAACTCCTGTCATGAACCCTGTTCGGAGTGGTGGACTGCAATCATAATTACAATCCTGCTCGTGAGCATCCTTTAGTCCAAAGAAATCATGGTTGCATGAAAACATTGAAAGAGCTATGATACCGGAGTTGATATGATGTGATACTGCATACGATATGAGGTGATGCACGATCCGGTATGGATTATATAAACACGTCATCACGAGTGGTCTTTAGGCACCCATTCTGTCCTCATTTGGTGGGGGTGCCTCTGGATAGCCTCTGCTTGAGAGGAGTTCTCAGTTTCAGAGCATCGTGCCTTGGCCATGTAACGATTTCCTAAGTCTGCTGCGAAATTTAGAGCCGCCGTTGGTACTGCGTGAATAGCCAACTGCAACCGCGAACCAGTTTGTGACGCGTCATTGAGCGAGGAAAAGGTTGTGAAAATGTGCCGGACGGAAGAAAAAAAATTGATGAATCGTTTTCTGGGCCCTGTTGGGACCAGAGACGTCGTTAAGCTTACCTTGTTGCGTGAACGCTGACCCCCGTCACTCGAGGAGTCCGAACTACGGGGAAATTTGTGTCGCCAGCCTGCTGTCAAGAGCGAGTGGGTAATTTAAGAGCCATGCAATATCATGACCCGGCCGCCCGGTGGTGAAGTAAGTAGCTGTCGGAGATAGGCAGCGCGTCAAGTGGGATGCGAACACGTTTGGCCGTTGTGGCCCGATCCTACTGCGTCTGCGGGTGGGATGCGAACACGTTTAGCTGTTGTGGCCAGATCCTACTACGTCTGCAGGCGTGATGCTAACACCCTTAGCTGTTGTGGCCCGATCCTACTGCGTCTGCAGGTGGGATGCGAACACGTTTTTCTGTTGTGGCCCGATCCTACTGCGTCTGCGGGTGGTATGCGAACACGTTTGGCTGTTGTGGCCCGATCCTACTACGTCTGCAGGTGGGATGCGAACATGTTTAGCTGTTGTGACCTGATCCTACTGCGTCTGCGGGCGGGATGCGAACACGTTTATCAGTTGAGGCCCGATCCTAATGCGTCTGCAGGTGGGATGCGAACACGTTTAGCTGTTGTGGCCCGATCCTATTACGTCTGCAGGTGGGATGCGAACACATTTATCTGTTGTGGCCCGATCCTACTACGTCTGCAGGTGGGATGCAAACACGTTTAGCTGTTGTGGCCCGATCCTTCTACGTCTGCAGGTGGGATGCGAACATGTTTAGCTGTTGTGGCCCGATCCTGCTGCGTCTGCAGGTGGGATGCAAACACGTTTATCTGTTGTGGCCCGATCCTACTGTGTCTGCAGGTGGGATGCTAGCACCCTTAGCTGTTGTGGCCCGATCCTACCGCGTCTGCGGGTGGGATGCGAACACGTTCAGCTGTTGTGGCCCGATCCTACTACGTCGGCAGGTGTAGTAGGTGTAGATCTGACTTGTGTTTAATTTCGATGCGAACACGTTCAGCTGTTGTGGCCCGACCCCATTGTGTCTGTCACTCGTTGCGCATGGATATCGACGATTAGATAAACAGGAGAGTAAGAGCGAGACTACGAACTCAGAACTAAATAAGGGAAAACAGGTATGATTGTGCGGTATCGAGGACGCTCACACTTCATAGTTGGATTTTGCGCGCGCTCTGGTGCTTGAGACACCAGAAATCGGAATTAAAAACTACGCCCTACGACTTTGTGTTGTTCATCCAGTGTTTTTTATCAGTGTTGTTGGGTTCAGCATGATTCAGTCAGATCAGTCATCATAATTGTGTACTTGACCATTGCTATCGAGGTCAGTTAGCAAAAAGTACATGTGATGAGCCTCTGTAGTAAATGTAAAATACAATTCAGACTGCATTTTAAAGGCCTTATAACTTCCACTTGTTACGCAATGTCATCTTGATAGAATGCATGAATGATAAATGCATGTTTGAGCTTTCAAAAGTAACTGCGACCCGGTATTGCACCCCAATGCCGCCCATTCCTGGTAACAGCAGACGCGAGCGGTGGTTGTGATCAGGCAGGGGAATCCAAAACGAGGGCCATACTGCCGCGAGCAAGCGTGATGTTTTGTTCACGACTCACTGCTCATTATGCTGACGCCATTGCTGCGACTCGCGCCCCGCTGTTCCCGTCGATCCGGCACACTTCGCCAACGTGTGATGTGGGTTCAAGTTTGTCTTTCATTCCTCCTTCCCGCAAAGTATTGTCACATCTAATGCATGTGGGTACTGACATCATGGCAAACGCAATCTGATCCTTGAAAATTCACAGATGTCAGTTTGATTCATTTTCCTGCCGCCTAACCGCCATGATCACTGCAGGCGCCCAGGAGAGTTGCTGCTCCCAGCCACCGCAGCTCTAAGAACCGTGCGTTGACGCCCACATGGTCACGCAATGCCCAGTTACGGCAACCCTTGCCCTGAAATGTGAAGGAAGGTTGAGAAAACGAGAGCATACTATACAAGTAGTGACCGAAACCAGATTAGAAGGAGTGGGTGGTAGTGGTTTCCAGTATTTATGAGAAGTAGGTTATAGTGAGCATATGAAGTGCGCGATAGTTTAAGTAGTCAGTGTCAATGATGGGGGCTGGTAGCGCGCTTACAAGCGTGCAGAGGTATCAGATTATGCACATGACTGTTTATTTAGTATATAAGGTATGTCCACTGGCAAAACAAGGCCCAGATGGCCCTAGGCGCCCATGCCGACACCACTATCACCCACCGGCTGAGCAAGCCTGCTGTCAAGAGGTCACGGAAGCGGCGACGGCGTGCCTTTCAGCGATTACATGCAGGCATCAGTGTACGGTGTGGGGTCCGCTGGGACCGAACCCTCCCAACGGACCTACAGCTTGTCTGGAGGGGAAGACTCCGAAACAAATCAGCGTAAACACACGATCACAAGTCGTCATTGAAGGTCATACTTCGGGCACAAAGGAAGGCCACGTGACGCAGGGCCTGTATTTACGCATTTGGCTCGCTAAATAGGCTCAATTTTACAATAGACTTACCAATGCTGATCGTTTAGGCTAAATTGCACAATCAATGAGACTACCGAACAGCATCTTTCTCGTCGGTTCCCCGGCCGCCACACTCCATTAACGCCGCGCCATCTGTCCGCAGTGCGTGCAACCCGATCAGTGGTACGTTTGTCGGCGCCACCTCCCACTTCGTCCGGCGGCAACACCTCCGGGAAGGTGGCGGTGACCTCAGGCCGGGCGGCCGACCTCGGGGCGCTGACTGCCGCCGGTTGACTGTCACGTGACACCGCCAGCACGGCCGCTGCCACCGGCAGGGCCTGACCACCCCCGGCCTGACCGGGGCGAGGCCCGGCCGGTCATGAGTACGCCCGGGCAGCGAACATTGGTCGGCGTGTGCGCCATAGCAGGGCGACTGTAGGTCGCCGGTGACTGTGTTCTGTCCGTCACCGCACACGTGAGGTGCCAGGCAGCCGCCGGCGTCGAGTCGCTGCACGCTGTCGCCCGCGGAAATTAGGCTGCTTCGCATGGCGTCATGTCTCCTCCGCTTCATCTCAGCCCCCGCGGTCCCACCACACCTCCAGCAGGCTCCCACACTCGCCCCCGCAGTGTCTCTGCCTGCTCTACCCCTCGCTCCTCAGACGTCACGACCTCGTACCCGCGCTCCGCCGGTCGGTCTCGCGGCCGCCCGAGCGCTCGTTCGAGGGCCTGACTAGCCCGTCACCTTGCCTCCCGGCGGGCCCGCGCTCCCGGACCGTGCGCGGTGGGTGTGCTAGAGGGCGCGGGCCGCCCGGGCCGTGGCCGCCCGAGCGGCGAACCCTGCGCGACCCCGCCGACGCAGGCTCATATTTTTGTTTGCCAAACCCGGTTCTGTATTGTCACTGAGAGTCCGAGTGGAAGTGTATTTATGAAATCACATGTTACAAATAAAACCGAAATCCCCGGGCTTGGTGCGTTTCGCCGGAGGCCAGAAACACGTGGGGTGGCTCACTATATTTGCCTCCAGAAGTGATTCCCTAGCGCGCATTCGAGCCTATGAATGACATCAGCGCTTTGGTAATCGAGTGGTGTGGCGAGAATTTCCAGTCGGTAGGCAAAAACAGACATGTCAGCATCGAAGGAAATGAATGCGCTCTTCCCGCCTGCACTCCTTTATTCGCAATCATTCGCGCCATTACGCGTAATTTCGATGAAAGAACATATGCCTTAGCGGAAAACGATAGCATTGCCGCGTCCATAACAGTACGCCCTAAACATGGAATCCCCAGAGGACTCACCTTCACTATCCAGACGGCTGCATGGTTTGTTTGCAGCTGGCCGAGTGACCTCATACTCACGTAACGTTCCGTGAAATACACACCACCAGGCGGCGCTCCGTCCTCGCCTCTGATTGCGATGCTGGGGCCTTCCGTCGGCGCGAGATTCACCATAGGGATCGCACCGATGAGTCGCCACCGGAAGCGATGACGTAAGGTTCCCATGAGGTCTGGCGAAGGCCGTTGGTTCGGCAAAGCTAAAGCGGCCGTTTTGTCTTGTGATCATAGATCGCGCTAGGTAATGTATACATTGGGTGCACTCACGGCGCATTAAGAATGTTCTGTTCTTCGTGACGTCACGTGGAATCTTTGTCGTCCGGTTCGCTGCGGACACCAAAGCGCGCAAAATCCATGGGAGATAAGGTCATGATGGCGTCGACAGCATATATTCTTTGTCGTCCCGGTCGCTCCGAAAGCACCTTTGTTGGCACACTGCTAGGGCGTTCTGTGATGCACCAGCGCATCTGCAATATTAACGTGTTCAAAGTGGGTAACAAACACTGCGGGTGATAAACGGTGGGCAGAATAGCAGCCTCTCCATTTGAAGCCCAGTTCCCAGTGAATTCGTTTATGTGCAGACAGATATGTGGAAGCCGGAAAAGCCCTGACCCCTTAACATTATTCGCCTGTTTCGGAATGTCCCAGTCCAGTATGATACCTTGACCAACAGGAAGTCATCATATGAATTGAGCCCCCCAGTTGGGCCCGGCGGCCCCAACTGGGCGCCCAAAGTTATTCATCCTCCAGTGATTCAAGCGCCGAAGTGATTCAGGTGTCCAGTGATTCCAGCGCCCAAAATGCTTCAGCCTCCAGGGATTCAAGCGTCCCAAGGGATGCACGGGCGCCAGTGATTCAAGCACCAGAGGTGATTCAGCGCTCCAGTGATTCCAGCGCCCAAAATGCCTCAGGCCTCCAGGGATTCAAGCGTCCCAAGGGATTCACGGGCGCCAGTGATTCAAGCACCCGAAGTGCTTTAGGGCGCCAGTGATTCCAGCGCCCCAAGTGATTCAGGGGCACTGCGCTCGAAGCGATTCGGCTTCCAGTGGTTCAAACACCCTTAGTGATTCAGGGGTGCCAGTGATTCCAGCGCCCGAAGTGATTCAGGGACGCCAGTTATTCCAGCGCCCGACATGATTTAGCCTCCAGTGATTTAAAGACTCCCCAAGTCATCAAGGAGAACGACTGTCCCCTCCGCCCGCTTCCCCTCGGCTTCGTCTTTGTCGCTAGGCATTTGTCGCAAGTCACCAGCAGCCTCAAAGCGACTGAGCCTGCCCAAAAGCTCTTTAGTTTTATTTGCATGTGGCAGGCAGAAGTAACGATCTGCTGGATCAAATTTCAACCCCAGCAAATTCCGAACACCCCAAACATTGTCACATCTGAGTCTCGCTTTCGGCCGTAGCGCCACGGAGTAAAACCGAATCATAATGGCAGCTACCAAATCAATGTTAGCATCTAGTGATCACTCAAAGGGATGACATGGCTTCCTTCTTGAAATGGTATGCAGCCTTACGCATTGATTTCAGCTCTAAATGAGTCCAAACACTATCAAAGTTACACCCTTCCTTATGAAGGCATCAAATTAAGAGCAGTCACGTTTGTTTTGTTGACTTGATGTCAGCTTTTTCTGCAGAAATACGCAGTTACAGCACCAAGCATTTCTGACCATTTGTTTTGCACTGAGCCTACTTCCCGCAGAATGGTACTACTCTTGAGGTGCTGCCACTTCGATCTAGCAGTCGCGGAGATAACCAAGTTTTTTTTCTAGGAAAAAACGTGGTCTTTTTAAAGCGTAGAATGGTAATGGCGGGTATGACGATGTCCCCTACATGTGCTGGAATCCGCTAGTTGAATGGGTTTCCAAAAGCCGACAACCAAAGCCCTTTGATTGCGCATAACAATTGCGTCATAGCATATCGCTGATGACAGGTGCAAAGTGCAGATACCAGAAGCAGGGTTCGCCTCCCGCATGGTCTGCGTTGCAGTCAAAACTTCGCAGAATTAGCGCGGTGTCAACATGAAATTCGTAGGAAACGGAATGATACGAGATGAGAAGAGAGAGAGCGTGCCGCAACTTCAAAGCTATTTAGCCCTACATCTCGGCAGACCCACCTTTCAATGCATGTCGCAGGAAACGATGGATGCGCGAAAACGCGAAAAACGAACGTTGAAAGCCCACAATGCTAACATTCGTCTGCAAACAGTGTCTAGCACGTCTCCGGTCCTCCAGACAGCGCCCAACACATCTCCGCCCCCCCCCCCCCCCCGCCCTCGACGATGCCCAGCACAGCTCCGGTCCCCAGACAGTGCCCAGCACAGCTCTACCTCCCCCCCCCCCCCCCGCCCCCCCCCGAAGACAGCGCCCAGCACAGCTCCGCCCCCTCCCCCCCCCAGACAGCACCCAGTACAGCTCCGCCCCCCCCCCCCAGACAGCGCCCAGCACGGCTCTGGCCCCCCAGACAGCGCCCAGCACGGCTCCGGTCACCAGCACACTGACCAGCGGCCGATATTGCCCTGACCAGTGGGGCGCTGGAGGCGAGGGAGGGAGGGGTGAGGGTCGACGCCGGCCAGCCGGGGGCGGCGCGCGGCGCGGCGGCGCGGCTAGCTCGGACCGGCAGCGCTCGGCGCGCCTTACTCGACGGCGGCGACGCACCACGACAGGGAGCGCCCGCTCACCGGACATCTCACCGGACAGCTCACCGGACAGCTCACTGGACAGCGGCAGGTGAGCGGCGCTCCGAATTGCCATCCAGGTAGCCGAGGAATGATGGAGGAGCTGCTGCTGACTTGCGGCTTGTCGGGCCGTTTCGGAAAGCTCTCTACATTAGTGTACGCGTTTGTTGTGGCTTATGCGGATACCGTAACGTTTTATTACTACCAATGCAGTCGGTCAGTGCACTGTCTGTTCCATCGTTTTACCAACCTGTTATTTTGCATTTTCTCGTCATCAAAGTTGTTATCAAGTGCCTGTGACAGAATCGGTATCAGGCTCTATTCAGATCCCAATGCGTTTCTGGCGATGGTTTGGGAAAATGTTGAGCGAGCCGCTACTGGAGCGTTTCGAGTGATTACACTCGAAACATTCGAGGAAATTAAGGCAGTCTTTCATTGGGGAACAAGTTCATTTTTCATTCACAAGGGAGTCAAGTTCATTTCACTGACGAATCACTCCAGCAAGTGGCTTATTGCTTTGATTCGGTATAAGTACAATGGTAACGTAGGTAGAATAAGTACAATGATAGTATAGTTAATAAAAGTATAATAGCAGTACAAGAAGAAAAGCTTTAAACTGACAAAACGTATCAATATTCGCACATACGCAGCGTTGCTCCATTTAGGGGATTGGAAACTGAACGCACCAGAATGCATTACCGAAATTGCGATATTGTCAAAGCTATCGGTTTGAGCATTGCAACAATAAATCTTCCCCCAAGACTGACTTTGTTGTTAACTTAACCAAAACTTCAACACTATGATCAACTTGTTCCCCTGGCTTTCCTGGTCGCTGACACGGGCACTGGTCGGTTCCATGGGCTCTGCGTCTGGAAGCCTGCCTTGTACCGCTAACGGGCTGCTTTCAGGTGCGGCGTGGAATTAGGCCATTTACAGAAGTCAGTTTTGTGCCCCAGCTCGGTGCTGCCGCTCAGCGACCTCCGAGGTGAATTGCCATTTGATTCTGATGTTCAGTTGGTTGAGCAGCAGCGGTAAAGCACCCGCCAAAGTTGCAGCTGTGGTTAAAGACACGTCAGGTCAAATCTTCGAATCCGCGCTAATTATCAGCACTTGACCCGTCTTAATGCATAGCTCTCATCACCGTGCACCACGGTGTTAAGTGTGAGCACTCTTGTATCACATTGATGCTGATACGGAAAGATGAGAAAGGACTATTCTCACCTGGCTTGACCAAACCTAACAGGTCATCTGTACTCTAAAGATTGTCTAAGTAAAATATGAAGCCTAGTACATGGTTGTCGCTCCTTGCAAACTTTTGCTGGGGCTTATAGTGTGTGAAATTGACAAGGGATCGTACCCTTATTTGCGTTACACTGTCACAAAACTGGACAAAATAACGAAGGTGTAGCCTACACAGACGAGTCAACCCGCCTGGCACAGATGCTGCACAATCTTACTACTTGCTTTAGACACATTCGTCCTCGCTGTGCACTGACGTAAAGTCACCACCCCTGTTAGACCCCTGAGAGATATTTCACAGCGGATACCCAGCGTGACTCTCGGAAACGTCGGCCCGGTTTGCTAAGACCCCTTGCTTCCGGCGATAGTCTGACCGCAGCCGAGCCTGTTGCCACATTCTGAGTCTGCGTCACATTTCCAGGCATGCGGTCCACGCCGCAGCTGGTCACCCTGCTGACAATCTGCTGCTCGTCCGCCCTGTCGGCGCTGGTGCCGCACGTGGTAAGCACCGCGACCGGCCCCTCCCGCCACCGGCTCTGCACTGTTCCGCAGAATGCATAGCAGCTCAGTGTGTAGGAGGACGCAGAAGTGTTGTTCTTTGTAGGCTACGTCGCAGCGCCAGTGGTCTTCTCGGTTAGATGGGTAGTTCAGCCGCACACTACAGACATAATACGTGACACGGCAGCGGGTTGATGGATGGTGTAGTGTTTTGTGTCCGGTCTTGTGAGTTAAATGGTGTAGAAGTGAAGCAGTGAGACACAAATTTGGAGACAGAGCGGGTGCCTGCTTTTGCTGAATGTGGCATGTTTGCCTGTATAGAACATGCTGGATGCTCAATATCGAAAGACCTGTGAAAATTCCAGGCCGTGGACAGGGTGACAATGCGGTGACGGAATAAAACGCTTCAAATAGGCATGATGAACGTAAACTTACAGGCCTTGGTCGCTCAATCAGCTGCTTTGGGTCGAAAACCGTGAACGGGTAGGCGGCCTAATCATTTCCGACATACAGCTGCTAGCATGTTTCACATGATGTCTTGGGATTACGCATGCCGGCGCACACTGCAGTTTTAAACGTTTCTCTACAGAGCCATGATTTGTCTCTCCGAAATACCCTCGGTGCAGCCGGCGCTGAACTTTACTGTGAAGTCACCCGCGCCATCTGACTCCTCTGACGACCTGATTCAATCGTGTCGGTTGACTGCGCCGTACCAGCAAGACGATACTGAACCATGAATGGCAGCTTTGCAGTTCGCTGACCTGGAGGAATTCAACTGTTCTCAGGAGGAAAATAGAAATCCAGATATAAAATCTGCCTTTCAATCAACAATAGCAGCGGTAACTGCCACTCTTTTCAGGATTATTGATCCGAAATGAAAATAGAAGAGCTAACCCATATTTCCATCTAGAAATGTTTTCAGAGTCTGCAGCCATTTCAAACCAGTCCCGTGAATTGTGTTGAAAAGAAAGCAAGTCTGTTCGTTGTTTTGAGTTCTATATTTTGCCTCCCCACTCGGTCGGATGGTGTCCGTATCCGTACCAGTATCCACTCTAAACAAAACACATGACACATGTCTTGAACTGTTGAGGGTTCAAATCAGTGCTCATCTCCTTTCGGTTCCAAAAATAAGTTACTTGCAGCAGTGCATTCAATGGGAAGAGGAGACAAGACCGAGTGTCCATCCCTCCCTTTATCAAAATTTATACTGGTCCAATGTGCGTGTGTTTGAATGTTGACGGTTGTAAAGATAAGGTGCATACATGACAAATTATGTGGCAAAATTTTGTAATGAAATAATAATTTGATTGGCAAAAATCAAACAATTACATACATATATATATATATATATATATATATTATATATATATATATATATATATATATAAATTATGTAAAATTAAAACTGATTAATTATATGTGATGTCATGCGCCAGGCAAAAAACGGGAGAAAAAAAGTGAGAGCGCTGAGCTTTTTGTTGTCAAATATATAATTGCCCCCACCCACATTGCGAGGTCCTACATGCATTCCTATCCATGCGCCCATAAAAGTGAGTGATTACAATAGCCTATGAATGGTGCTAGTCGGGGGCATCACTTTATATGCTTTCAGGAGGGCATGAGCCTACCAATGCTGCCTTGAGACTGCCACCCAATGCTCTTCTAAGCTTTTTCTGAGCTCTCGGAGAGAAGAGGGAATACTGGCCAAATAAATACAAAACAATTACCTTAACTGTTGGCATTCTAGGTATTCGGTACTTAGACACACCACTGTTGGTATCATGTTTATTTTGTAGGAAACAGAATCCTGTATGTGCTCAATGTTATTGTCCCGCTTACTCCTTTGTATGTTAAGTCAGTCTGCAAATTTTGTTCAAGTTTTGTTTAAAATGATAGCGCCCGGATAAGGATAAGAAACAACCATGTGTAATATGTGGCAGCTTTCAAAAGCAGAGTGGCTCTGATATAAGTTAAAGGGTGTTTTTTCCCAACAGTGGCAAGTGTGTTTGTCACATAATTGTTGTTGTGGTAGTCAAGAATGCGCTCAGCGACAGCGGTAATCACCAGTGATCCCTTACTATGGTTTACTAAGACGTTTTTCCATGAATTTTACCCCATTGTAAGCTTTTCACAAACAGGCAGCTCTCATCAACTTGAAATGGGAAGCTATTTCTCCGCAGCAAAACAATTTGTAATCTGTCAAACATTAAAGCTCTGCATTTTCACATCGAGGAAGCAATTTCAAGTGGCCGAGATCCGGAAAGAAATCAGCTTTGGCAGGTGGGTGAAGTCAACCTTTTCTGCCAAGCCCCCCCCCCCCCGCCTTCCAACTGATTTTAGGAAGTGACGCCCCTAGTGCTAGTGACTTCCTTCATTTAAGCAATGTCTACTTATTTACCAGGCAGTGTGAAGCATACTTGAATAAAATTGGGTGCCTTTGGACTCATACGTTTCAGTGGAAATCTCAATGGCTACACTTCTATTTGACGTCAACAAATTGAGGGTCAGGCATAGAGTTCAGGTTGAATGTAGTTTTGAGAGCACGTTCAGAGCTCGTAATGAGGCACGCCTTTCATCTTTCCTCTGTGATACCCAAGTTTCATAGCAATTCAAGCAGCAAAGACTGAAACTTTTCTTAATGGACTTCGATCCCCGTTGACTTTTCAGCATGGCCAGAACACTTATAAGTCATTCACAAGCTTGATTTAAGCTTGATAGCCCTTTGAAACGTTTGTTTTGCCATGGAATGATGTTTTCCTTGCAACTAATACAATTAGTAAACCGCATAGCTTTAAAGCCATTCACTTGAGCTTGTGCTAACTCGTGCACCCCGAGCGAAGACTTGTAGAGTTCTCTAGAACTTCAGGAATCACGAGGCAAGAGCTAGAGGCATAGCTCAGTGCATGGCCTAACTGAACGCGCCGGTAAGCAGAGTTCTTTCACCTTCGTTTTCTCTGTGCTGAGACACCATAGACGAGATTCCTTTCGCGGTTAGCCCTTTGTAGAACAAGATGGGCGATCTCCTTGGGTTGTCTCTCAACTCAGCTCACAAGTGGTCTTGCAGTGTTCTCACCGCAACATTATGGACCTTACTGGCCTTGCGAGGCTTACGCGACTGTGCCCTATGGCAGAAACAGCTGCTGGAAGCCCCTCCCTTGCCCACTTAAGCTTAGGCTGGGAGCGGAGAGAGAAATGACTTGAAAGACAGAAGGAACGCAACGAACAACACAATATTGCAGAACTCTCACCCAAACACATATGGGTTGTGACAGACAGATATGTTTTGAACAGAGATACTGACGATAGCATCAGCCGAGCATCATATTAGGCGGGGTTTGGACACCTACCACTATCGTGATCTCCACCAATGCGACAATCCCCCACTCCTCGCTTCGGATTTCCAACAAAGTGACTAGATTTATGATGGAGAGGCTTGACTCAGCCTTAAAGGAGAGGCACGCCCACACGCTAACCGGAAGTGGAAAGTAAATGGAGCGGACGTGAATGCTTACCGGATTGTGAAATGTTGGCGCTTTGATATTATTGCTGCTATTCACTTACGGAAACATTATCGGTGAAAAACATCATGACCCGAAAATTCAAAACGGTCCCTACTCGGTGGCAAGCCCGGTGGCAAGTCCAAGGGCCATGCTTGGCATGCTCACCCTAAAGAGCAAACAGAAAAGGCAAACTTGAAGCCCAAAAAACTGATTTGGTGTAAGGAGAGGCCAAAATCGTCCTCTGCCACGTGCTCCCATCGACCGATGAATCGTAAGTTACGAACAAAAACCCGTTTTACCTACTAGCATAACGACATGTAGCACCTTGTCAAAATAAAGGAATTCGTTTTACCCATCTGCAGCAATCTTGATTGATACCGTGCCCCGCCCTTGTAACACTTACACACACACACAGGCGGTGCGTGGTAGGTAGTGCGTGGGTAGGCAGCGCGCGAATGTGCTCTTTTGAGAATATAGTCCCTACACCAAAAATGACATTTAACCTTCATTCAAGTGACTGACGCGTTCTTGGACGTGGAGAGCAGTCTTTCAAAGACGTGGAGATTAGATTTATCTAGCCCCAAAGACGCACAGCGGAAGAGCCGGGTCATACTTAGCTTATACTCAGAAGCCCACTTTCTAGAGACATGCAAATTAGAGCAAACATTTTTTCAGAAAGATAAGGAAATCAACATTTCAAAAGAGCTGTCATTTTTCAGCCGTGACAGACATAGTTTGCCCCAGCGTTGGCTACGTAGTGGGGAAAAGGCAGACGAGTGAGCGAGTCACGCTTAGCTGGCCGCCACCGGTATACATTAGCACCTGGGAACCTTGCGTTCGTACGCAGGAAGGAACTGTGCGTAGCTTGGGCCATGTGCGCTTTCGGCTGGAATCAAGCTTCCATAGAATCAATGTTAAAGGTAGACTTTGAAAAAGCATTAAAGCGTATAGAGCACCTTGCGGAAGTAATGCACATGGCAGGCAAAAAAGAAAATGCCGCAAGTTCTACGCATATCGTACCCCGTGTAGGCTTAACTGCCTTGAAATCTCAATGCGCCGTCTTCTAGTTCCAGAAAGCATAATTTCTTGACGCTTTTTCAGCAACGTCGTCGGTGCTAAAACAAACCAAGTTAGGGCTCGCATCAGCGAATGGTTAGCTTTGAGAGCTTTTCGGGTCGCCTTAATGTTACGGACACCAACGCTGGAGCTGCCCAACTGGCTCGCGGCACGGGTCCTGACGCTTATTCTGAACGCGAGACCCTTGAACCACTTAAGCATGTATTTCGTGCGGCAGACATGTCTGCACCCAAGACGAGTAGACTACTCCAGATTATATCAGGCACAGATTCTGGGATATGGTATTCGTGTAAAATTCGCGGAGGCTGTTATCCCGCGGATTCGACGAAACGTGGCACTATAGCTTTGGTTTCTCCCCTATGGCATTAACCAAAGTGGTTCTTTTCGAGGCGCACGTTAGCTTTGGGAATGAGAATATCACATAATCCATGTAACGCACTGGTTCAAACTTCAAATGTCCGTCAACCAACCAACTTCTCAGTAACAGGCCCTTCTCGCTGGGCCAACCACGTCCGTTAACGTTTTTGTAATCGCACCAATAGAGGTGCACAGGGTGGTTGTTATGACGACAGTGGTCGCACGTACAGGGAGGATGTGTAGTGCTGATGTAAAGCGTTGATGGCGTAATTTGGACTGAAAATCAAACTTGATTTTATAATTATGGCTTCACGGTGCTGCATTGGCACCACCCAGTGTTATTATTAGACGCAACTAGTCCTGAGGTTTCACTAGGTTACGTTTTTGAAATATGGCCCAAAGGTGGGACAGTTCAAGGGAAGAGCGAAAGATGGGAAGGAAGGGCGCCTAAATTTTCAGGTGCTAATGCAGACTACGCCCTTACCCTCTCCCCATCTCGTTGGTGTGCTGCCGATCTCTACGGCAGCATCCCTCCCCACTCCCTTGCAGTAGGGCCCTAGAGCCGGTCATGGCGGCCCCTACCTGCCTTTGAGGCGGCCGTTCCGCCCGGGGCCCGCGTCCAGCGGCGGTGACGTTGGCCTCCGCTGGGGACGGCGCCATCGGGGCGGCGGGCGTCTCTCCATGCGGCCTCTACAGCAGTCCGTCTGTCCCAGCCCCCTTGGTATTTCCTGAGTCGTCAGGGTTTTTGGGAGACGAGCAGAGAAAGAGCGGATAGAAACAACGAAGTAAGAGGAAGAAAGAGGGAGGCAGAGATTGAGTGAGAGATAGAGGGAGTGTGTGTGTGTGTGTGTGTGTGTGGTGTGTGTGTGAGAGAGAGAGAGAGAGAGAGAGAGAGAGAGAGAGAGAGAGAGAGAGAGAGAGAGAGAGAGAGAGAGAGAGAGAGAGAGAGAGAGAGAGAGAGAGAGAGAGAGAGAGAGAGAGAGAGAGAGAGAGAGAGAGAGAGAGAGAGAGAGAGAGAGAGAGAGAAAGAGAGAGAGAGAGAGACAGACAGACAGACAGACAGACAGACAGACAGAGAGAGAAAGGGAGAGAGAGGGAGAGATATAAGAAGAGGAGAGGGAAAAGATGTAGATGTAGATGTGGGGTGTGGCATACACATAGAGGTAGCAAGTGGCATCCGCTTGCTCTCCCGTGATACTGCACCTGGACCCAATTCGCCCGTTAATGCTAACAAATGACGCCCCCCGGCCCTGTCTGTTCGCGAACGCTGCAGACCTCGTCTGTTCAAAACGACACTCAGCGGCCTCGTTACACACCAATTGTATCGGCACTGAAACAGTTATCGACTGAATCCAATCAGTTTTTTAAATACAATTTTTCAATTGGGGCGAGTCAGTGTTTCAAAATGTCCGAACAGTTTGGCAGTGGGTGATTTGGTGGCTCCTCGTTCCGACCACCGTGGCATACACCTTTAACTTATTTGTCCACCAAGGCAAGCACCAATAATTTGTTCATTACGACAGAGTCATTGCGAGTGTTGCGTGATGTGCACTGCCTGATTACGATGGCTCGCGTTGACATGCGGCGTTAATAGAATACAAGCTATGGCATTGATCATTTCATAACTGCAAAAAAATCGGACCACTTAAAATCAATAATGAAAGTGATATGAAATAAACAGTGCTTTAGCATACACTCTCACGTACTCGTTCTGGTTCGAATGAGATGTATAAGGCTCGAAATTTACGTGCAATTGTAAACTGCACTTTTGTATTTTCACTGTTCCGTTGCAAGTAAAATTACTGCACCGTGAAACTAGCATTTGGGAACATGGCTGCCTCACAGCTGCAGAATCACCACTCTATTCTAAATCTGACTCTATGTCTGTACATGTCACGGTATGTATTGACCTTACGCCTCTGCGACGACCTGCTGTTGAAATGACTTGTGTTTCATTGTAGACAAATCAGGAAGAGAATGTGGTTCTGGAGGACGACGATTCCATCCTGTCGCCGCTGAAGCCGTTTCACGTCATTCATGGTAAGCAATGTAGCACAAGACCGGGAAGGGCCTGCTGGACAGCCGGACGGCCGGATCGGCGCGTGACAGGCATGGGTCACGGGCAAATGACAGCTGTATACACACGATAGGCAAACTTCCGTCGCGTCGAAGCTGTGTGATCACGACAGCGCAATGTGATTCGGTTCGGTTTGAAAACATCAAAAGGTACGATGTGAGTAGATACGTAGCGCCTTTGCAGGCTGCGCCGAATGCAAAGGCGTTGCTCCGGGGCATGGAAGGATAATTGTGCATGGAGCGTAAGGTGGGTAATTAAGCATGGGGCTTCTTTGATACGGTTCATCATAGGATAACGCCACCTAACACGATTCTGCGCGGCCAAAGTGTGCTTGAATACAAAGTCTGTACGCCGAGCGGGGTTCTTGGGCCTAAGTGCCCCACGGCGATGGCGTTTCAGCGTATGCTCAATGGTGTGTGTACTGAGGTACATGGCGCCTAACACTCCATGTTTCCAGAGTGCATAAACACAACGTCAGTCGATGGAGTGTTCTACATCAAGTCCCCAGGCCGGGAAGAGACGTGCGGTCTCTACCTATTTTCGGCTGTCAATACCGTTATCGAAATCGAGCTAGAATATGTCAACGTGCCCTGCCATACGGGCGGCCTCATTGCGGTAAGTGGACGCTGATCGCGTGGGTTGTGCTGGGGCACTCGCGCCAAAGCCCTTCCGTGGAGGAATGCCGTACCGACCGTATTTGAGCCCCATCTGGATGCGCCGTAGTCCCTGAAGCTGACACTTCGCCACTCATTATGGCGCGGCCGTGTCGATCGGTACGGACGCGTTTAACAAGCTTTAGTGGAAATTTGTTGCCATTTCATTATGTTACGTAAGTGCCGCCGCCGTATTGTACCCGGATCCTGTGCCGCGCTCCTGTTGACCTCGTGTTGCACCCCTCGAACACCGTTCTCCCGCTTGCTTCAAGCTGCTCTTCATGTTTCCTCGCCGACCTCATGGGTCATTCCTGCTGACCTCGCCCGTCCCCTGCTGACCCCGCGCTGTGTCCGCTGACCTCACTCTCTGCACCGCTGACGCCGTTCCCCGCTGAGCTCGTGCTGTGCATCGCTGACGCCGTTCCCCGCTGACCTCACGCTCTGCACCGCTGACATCGTTCCTCGCTGAGCTCGTGCTGCGTCCCTGTACCCGTGATGCGCTCGGATCGCGCCCTGCTGACCGCGCGCCTCGCCCAGCTGGTGGACGGCTGGGAGATGAACGGCCAGCTCTTCCCGGGCCCAGCGGACCACCCGCTGCCGGTGCGCGAGCGGTACCTGGAGCACTGCGGTACCACGACCACCCTGCAGCCGGTGCGCAGCGCGCAGAACGCCGCCCTGCTGCAGTACCGCCTTCCGGTCGCCGGCTCGGCCATCTCCCTCCGCGTCCGCCACCTGCCCAACCCAGCACGTGAGTGGCACCGGCTACCATTGCGGCCGGGCCCGCAGTGGGGGGAGGGAGGCGGGAGAGAGGCGAAGCGAGGTTGACGAGAGAGAGTGGAGCGGGTCGGTCGCAAAAGGGACGGTGCGGTGTTGTCGAAATATGCCGCTTCTTTGGGTTTGTTTTTGGACTGTTGTTCAGAGCTGTGCTAAGTCGATTATATACGAAACAAACGCGGTGTCAAGAGAACGAATTTGGAGTCTTCATCGTGTGATTCGAATTTCTGTGCAAGTTATGTAGTGAGATTGTCTTTGATATCACACATGTTTTTAGGAACTAGCTAAGACTGGGACGAAAATGCCTGAAAAGCTCAATTTAGACAGCTTTATATCCGTCAGTTATGCGCGTGTCTTCAGCGCTGTCGTACAGATATCAGCCGTCAAAAGAGGGACCAGCCGAGCTCCGTCGCTGCGCCGTGTCGTGTCGTGTCGCGTGGTATCATGTCGTGCTCGGGCCCGGCTCGGCCACTTCAGAGTCAACGCCCAACTTATTTGACAAAATTAGTTCGTCCTGATACTATTCTCGTCAGAGATATGAGCCAAAACACTGAATGGCTGATGCTTGCGAAACTTTAAGCATTGTAAGTTCATATTCTTAAATTTTTCATCACACTCGTGTAATTTTAGTCCAGACGTGAAGCGAACTGTGTCCAAGTGAGAGACGATCTCGGCTCACCACACAGGACACGTTGCACGTGGCTGATCGTGCCCTGTGTAGGAAGCGGATTGCACGTCTCCCCAACGGCGCACCAGAGACCGGTTCCAAACCGGCAGATTAAAGGAGCGTAAACATTTCGCCTCACGTCTTTTCTCAGCGTTACAGCTCTTTACCTCCCGTGCTCTGAACTGTTTAAACAGTTGATACTAATATTTCAGAAAAGCGCAAAGCTTTTGGAAATATTACGATCGGTTATGAAAATGGCTAGTGCCCCAAGGTAGGCTGTTATCTACATATGGCAATTAACCTCCTCTACTTATGCAGTTATGGACTCTTGTCTACTTATCAAAATCCTTCGTGAGCGCAGCTAATGCGTTAAGCAGATGATCTCGGTCACGAAATGGACGATGTCGTGTTGCGTATATTAATCGGGTGTCATAGCAGTAGCTGAAAGCATCGGGACGGGCTACCCGCATTATTTGACCCCTTCCCGAGTGCTCTCGGTTACCTGCTGACCTTTTGACCTGCGGGACTAAGCTTCATCAGCGGAAATAGGGTATGAGCAGTTATATCAACTTCAAAACATGCAGCACGCTTCGAGACCAGTAATGTGGCGCCGCGATCCCCAACAGGCCAGGGAGATTGCAATGTGACGAGAAGCTTTTACCAAATTTTTCCTGGGTCAAATAGGATCGAAGCGGACGGTCGGACTGGCAGGCATTGGTATTTCAGTTTGCCTCTCAGCTAAGGGGTATTATAGCGGCACGTGCCAGATGATAAGGCATTGCTGAAACTCCAAATACGCAACCGGAAGGCTGAAATCAGTGCTGTTTGTTAGCCAGCGTCGTGAGCTGCCGTGCCCTCCACCACTTCAGTATTATTTGTTGGCCAGCGTCGCGGGCTGCCGTACCTTTTGCCAGTACAGTGTTATTTGTTGGTCAGCGTCGTGAGCTGCCGTTCCTGCCACCAGCGCAGTGCTGTTTGCTGGTCAGCGTCTCGAGCTGCTTTACATGCCGCCACTTCGGTGTTTTTGCTGGCCAGCGTCACGAGCTTCTGTACCTGCCGCCATTACAGCGTTCTCAGTTGGTTAGCGTGGCAGGCTGCTGTACCTGCCGCCAATACAGTGTTGATTGCTGGCCAGCGTCGTGAGCTGCTGTACTTGCCGCTGCTATATTCTTCTTTTTTTGGCAAGTTGGCCAGTTTTCCGCATCACCCAACAGAAGCACGGCGAAACAAGCTTTCTGCGACTTCATGTGCCCATGAGTTGAACACTCACCCCGTCCCAGACCAGCTCCGGCCGGTCCGTGGCGGCTAACCCTCTCCCTCTCCGCAGCCTGCAGTCAGCTGGTGGAGGGCTCGGAGATCTTCACCCTGCGCAGTGTCGGCCGGCGCAACAACTGCACCCTGCTCAGCCTGAACCCGGTGGAGTTCCGGGTGCTCTCCTACCGCGTCGGCGTGCCACCCCCAGGCATTATGCCCGAGGCGCTCACTGGACCCCTCCTCAAGGCAAGGCGGCGGGGCGTTATCCTGGCTGTTGGCCCGTCAGGAGCATGCGCGTTGGGATGGACTTGGGCGAAGGTGAAGTGCTTTGCTATTTAAAGTTGGTGAGAGCCAGGCGGTGGGGTGGAACTCTCAGCGGCCGGAATGTATGAATGAATCTCGCATGAATAGACCCGAATGCGTCATTATGAGTTTCGATATTTGGCTTAACATCGCCACACAGAATGGAACAGTGGTTCGTACTGTTATAAAGCGAGCCTAGTGTTTGCCCAGAATATGAGTAGGCAAACACATGCTGTCACTGCTGTGTGGGATACCATGTCTAAGGCAGCGTGCTGTTGCTGAGGTGCGCGTGGTGCCCGGCTAATGTGCGCCGTCCGGATGGATGTGCTGCTCTCCTTGCGTTATGTCACTGCAGTGGGTATTCCCGGCTCCCACGCCGTTCTCGTGGTGGCTCCGGCTCCCATGCCGTTCAGTGGCTCCCGTGTGGCACGTGTGGTTTTGTGTTGTCCACCTTGCGTGCTGTCCCTGAAGAGTCAGTTGCCCTCGGGAGAAACGGGATGGCCTCCTCCCTTTTCCCCTGAGAAATTGTGACTGTCCTGGATCCACCAAGGGGTTACCCAAGGGCCTATTCCAAACGCCGCATTGTGCCTTAACTTGTTCTTCATGAATACGTATTTTCAGAACTGAGTATACGAAATGGTGCATTAGCTTTTTACGCTTTCTCAGAGGCATAGAGGGATTCTGGATTGGTCGAGAGGCCCTTACTGCCCTGAAATAGGGTCCCTTTGTACAAAACTGACCTAATCCGATACCTATGCAAATTTTGAGTCCTAAGCTAAATCATGCGGTTTTCTCAGGTGGAAAGTCTCTCTGGCAAACTATCGCGCTTTCGTGCCGTGGGTGCTGCTGTGCTGCGCTCACGTGCCGTACCTGCAGTGTGTGCTGCCCGGCTCACGTGTCGTACCGTAGTGTGTGCTGCTGTTCTCACGTGCCGTACCTGCAGCGTGTGTTGCGCGGCTCACGTGCTGTACCGTAGTGTGTGCTGCCGTCCTCACGTGCTGTACCGACGTTTGTGCTGCCCGGCTCACGTGCTATACCGTAGTGTGTGCTGCTGTCCTCACGTGCCGTACCTGCAGTGTGTAGCCTGGCCCACGTACTGCACCGTAGTGTGTGCTGCCGTCCTCAAGTGCTGTACCGACGTTTGTGCTGCCCGGCTCACGTGCTGCACCGTAGTGTGTGCTGCCGTCCTCACGTGCCGTGCCTGCAGTCTGTGCTGCCTGGCTCACGTGCTGTACCGTGGTGTGTGCTGCTGTCCTCACGTGCCGTACCTGCAATGTGTGTTGCCCGACTCACATGTCGCACCGTAGTGTGTGCTACTGTCCTCACGTGCCACACCTGCAGTGTGTGCTGCCAGGCTCACGTGTCGTGCGCCCCTCCGCAGTGCGACCAGCGTGCCTGGCAGGACCTGGTGGAGGTGGGGGAGGCCGCTGGACTGGACGCGACCCTGTCGTTGGTAACCACTCGTCTCTGCGGCCGCAGTTTGACCCCAGGTCAGATGACTGCTGGCGTACTCACCTGGACGTATTATGACTCATCGTGGAATTCTCAGTGTCCTGGTCGGGAGAGGTAGCCGTATGGACTGAATGTTAGATGGTGGAATGGTGGACTGAGGGAATTTAAGCCACATGAAAATGTGAGTGAAGTGACGGACCTTATTATGGTTTATAGCGTAACGCTTGGTTTTTGGTTAAGAAAATGTGCTTTAATTCACTTTGAAATATCATCGCTAGACATTAGCCAATAGGTGTACGTCCGAAGGCCTCCTGTTTCAATACCTCAAAATAGCTCCGCGACATCACAACTACCATAAAACGCATACCGACAGAATTGCTGTGACATTACTTCTACAGTCAATACTTAAACACGACATAATGTTACGCGACGAAACGTTGCTGCAAACTTCTTCTTGCTCCTCAAAACAAGGCTTACACCAGTCATTACTTCTAATGCAAAAACGCGTGCAGTTACTTCTTACACAAGACATTCTTTTGTCGCAAAAACCAATATGTGACATCAATGCCACGCGACAAAACTTATACTTCATAGATTCATACCTGGCATTACTTCTACTGGAAACACGCATGCATTATACAAGTATACGCGGCATTACTTTTACCGTCGATGTTTATGATGATAATAAGCAGTGGAGTGCGAAATGCCTCGACATCTGTCAGGGAAGTGGGAGCAATTTCCAGCTTAGAAGGGAACCACGACTGCATAATACTGCAATTAAAAGTTCGCGGTGCGCGTGTGAAAAAAAGATTCATTGCATGACGTATTCTTACCAATTCGTTATGGTTGGCAAACAAGCACAGGCTATAGTTTTGGTAGCAAAATCGCAATGACGGGTTTGACTTTTGGATGCCCCGGTCTCGCATTTAAAAGTACACCAAGCCACGTGCGTAGTATTCAGTCAGAGACCTTATCTACCCTTCTCCCTCGGTGGGAAGATTTGTCACACGCGGAGTAAACGCCGTGTTTTATGTATTTTTGAGCAGGCTTGCCATTTTCCCTACTTAGCCACCTACATGGTTTTGAAACACTACGATAGTACACTGATATGTTTGGTAGCGCACGATAGAGGAAATGTGACGCAGAACTACTCCTGTCGTGGTTCGGTCGATCGTCACCGCCGGGTGGGCACATTTAGTCCGATTTTAGCCGGCCATGTGCTCCCATGGGTTCACTTCCTCCTGTCTTTTCGTTGGTGCAGCGTATGGCCGGTGTCGTATAAAACCAACGGCAGGTATAAGCACTGGCAATAAAAGCTATACGCTAATGAATAAAGACTATACAGGTTTCTGCAGTGGATATAATGACGGTATAAGTTTTTGAACCTAAGCTTTGTATCGCCTTTCAAGGTTTGTCATACAGCACTAATGACGCTTAAAACTCGAAATAGAAGTAATGTCCCCTGTGGTAAAGATTGCAAGCCTTTGCAGTAAGAACAATGATGGGTATGGGCTTGTGGCATAAACTTTGCTGTGTTGCACTCATATCGCGTATGTGTTTTTGCAGTAGAATTAACGTCGCACATAAGTAAAGGCTGCACAAGTCTTTGCAGTATATGTTCTGTGGTGTAGCTCTCATGTCGTGTGTGAGTTTTTAAAGCGCAAATAACTTCGTGTGTGCTTATAGGCTGTATAAGCTTTTTGGCGGTAGAAGAAATGGCAGTATAATTTTTCGAAGCATATCCTTTTCGTTTATCAATCATGTTGTATGTAAGTTTGCAGTAGAAGTAATGTCGCGTAATTTTTACAGTAGAAGTATTATTGTGTATGGTTAATGTCCGTAAAATAGAAATTTGCAGTACAAGTAATGTCGCGTAAAACTGATGCCGTAGCACTCCTGTCAGCAAGATTTTTGCATGGCACTAATGTCGTGACGCCCTTCATAACCGTTTATTGAAAAAGTGATCACTGTTTCAGGACCCATTCAAAACACCTGCAGCGGCATGTTCGTGACGAGACTGATCTCTAGCGGCTTTTTCAACAACGTGGTCAACGTCAAAGCCAGGCTGCTTACCACCGAGGAAATGATTACGCGCTGTTTTAGCCAGTACGACATCCCGCAGGATTTAGGTGACGCACTCGAAGATTACGGCTGGTAAACGCGGCCATGCATCGAACAGCTGTGTAATATTAACCTTCAGTGATTGGCTCGATCAAGTCATGAAATACAATCCTGGTGTACATTTGGCGTTTCCTGTTTCCAAGTCCTTATAGGGCCAGGATGCATTCGTCCAACAGCACGCTGGAATGGGTAACACCTGCGGTTGCGGAGTGTGGTGGAGGGATGCATTTTAGACAAGTGTTTCGCAGGCCGTGAAACAGTGGCTCATTAGCTTACAGCTTGGCGTATCAAAGATAGCGGAAGAAAGACAGAAAATGCCAAAATTTGTGTACTTTCCCATGCAGCTTACAGCTGAATGGCTGCGGGCAATGTGTCTAGGTACCAGCATAAGATATTTCTCAGGAAATTCAACAAAGTATGAGAAAGGTATGTTGTCTCCACTCTTTTTCTTCCCCAGGCCCTCTGGATTATTATGAGCAAAGGGCTAAAACGCTCTTTAAATATCCTTCCACAATTTATTTCCAATGTGATGGAATCGGTGGCTTGCGGTACAAGGAATGGTATCGCTACAGTGATTCCTTGATAGAGAAGAAAACTGCATCCTGTTCAGGTTTTTGGTCAAGATGACACTTTAAACTATTGGATTTCAGACGTAGTAATGTGACTGACAGCGTTCTAAAAAGCGTTGTTGGAAAGCTTTTGTTGAAATGCACGTAATATAAGCAAACAAAGCCTTTGATGTAGCCATATGTATGACACCGGAGTTACCACGAAAGGTCTCAGTCGCTGAACAGCTCAAGCAACCATTGCACCGGGCAGGATTCTCGGTAGTTACACGCACTCGGGTGGGGGTCAGTTTCGCTACCCTCCAAAGGATTTTCCAGAATAACCTTGAATGGTGCGGCGTACTTGTATGTGCAGAGCCTGTGAGGAATTAAATGGCCGATCTTTCGGCACCGAAACTGAGTTATATCTTGTAACATTGCTGACCTACTGTCAGGTCAACTTCAGGCCATGCCAAATGAGTTTAGGATTATGACTAATGACATTGACCTTCGGTCACGCAGGCAAGTTAGTTCAATGTCAAACACAAACCACTTTACTGAATAGAAATATGATTTATGGAGTAGTTCTAACCCTCATTTTGAATTTCTAGGCCACAAGGGCGTTAACAAACATCTTAGTCAGACATCACGAAGGTCAGGAGCCACCTAAACGTACCCCGACCAACCTTCTGTTTTGTGAAACATGGCACGTAGCGTCGGTAGTAGTACCGTAGTACTTACGCTACTTTTTTCTATGCCGTTACCCAGGAACAGGTAACCAGGAGTGCCCCTTCCCTCAATCCCAGCGACGCAGTAAACTGTACGTTAACACCAGAAAACACAAAATCAAGTCGCGGCACTTCCAGCTAGGAAGATGGAACAAACGTAAAGAAGCAGGCGAAGAGGCGGTGCAGACCCGAAGGGAATTATGTTATGTAATAGGCAGGGGAAAGATCCTATATGAGAAGGCTTAAAGTAGTCATTAGCCAAAGTCAGCTAATGACAGCCCGCTATAACCACCCATTAAGCTACAACCACTCAATTCACCATGTAAGTAAGGGTTATACAGTCACACAAGTTGCAGGGGGCAATTACGTGGTCATTTTGGTGCTGGTTTTTTTAGCTGGATGTCCAGAGAGTCCACCCAGCTAAGCGGAGCTTGTTGCTTTTGAATACAAATGTAAAAGCAATCTAAGGTTTTTAGTCTCCTAGACCTTTTTAAAATCAAATGATATCACTTACCTGATAAAACCAAAACCAGTGACATTTTTAGAAAAGGTATTGAGGTGAAAGCTAATCGCGAGGTGAGGTCTTGCGGTTTGGCCTTGTTGACCTTGTTTTGCCCACTAGCTAGGGACCTCAAAATTTGACACAAATGCGTGCAGATGTATGTCTACCTGCTGGTTAAATTTCGTGTGTCTAGTTTCTTAGTTTTTGAGATCCTAGGGTGCGCCAAATTGACCCCCTACCCCGACCCGAGCGTATCGCATTCAGCTGACCACCCCAACGCTTATTAAAAGGTAATCCTCCCCATCTGAAGACAATGAGCCAAGCACCAGATGAAATGGAAAGAGGTCACTTGTAACTATTAGTATGCCTTTAAGTGCACAAAACTGCTCTGGCTTTCACAATTTTACTATTTTGTAAATACACTCCACAAACGTCATCATTTCGTTACGTCGTGGCACGCTTTTACGGCGTCAAGAGTCACTGCCAGACTGGCCGTGTCATAATTGTCACGCCAGCGGATGGGCTAACTCACTTCAAGTACTTAACATCGCCGCGAAATGGTTTGGTAATTTTTGCGCGTGTGATCAGCCCCAGGACTTTTCCATAAGTCGGACTTTTGCCGCTGTGCACTGGACGGTGACGTCACTGGTGCCAGACTTCAACGCGGCGCGCGGCCGCTAGCCGTGATGCGTAAAGCCGCGGGGCAGTTGGGACATCGCAAATATTTGTGCAGGTAATAAACAAGCTGCAAACAGGGAGTGCGCATGAACAGCGAGCCGATTGAGTTTAATTTCATGGCGAGTATGATGGTGTGCTTCTCAAGCCTGTGTCGCCAGCCATACGAATACAATAGCATGCCAAGTGAAATACGTCCAGACGAGAATTATACGAGATAGGACACCTAAAGCGTCGAGTTCTCATCGTAGCGGTAATGAGCAAACTGTTGGTGGCAGGTGCGCATGACAAGCGAGCAAATCGCGAAGAATTCAGTGTCGACTATCATTATGTGCTTCGCAAGGTCATGCGGCCAACCATTACAATGATATCGGCGCGGAAATTGAGCTTTCTTATGCGCGATTAGCTGCAGAGGTGGGCGGCCTTGATGTCGGACTGCTTTCGTACCGATATTGAACAAATTTTTAATGACGGGTGCATTTAACAGAGACCTGAATGCGTAGAATCTAATTGAGAATATGATGACGTGCTAACTGTAGGTTGATATGGCAAAAGGTTCAAATTCAATCAGTGTGAAAAGCAAATATGTTCACAGGTGGGCTGTTGGGGATAGGCAGCCTGATCATCGCGCTATCTAGTACCTTCTTACCAGTGAGGTAGCAAGTATGCACATATCCGCGAACCGATCACGTGGAATGTAATGGCAAGCATAGTCATGTGCTTTGCGAGCTTGTATCTATCTAAGCCGATGAAATTACATCGCCGTGGAAAGTAAACAACCTATGCAGGGACGCGGACACTATGGCGACAATCCCCTAACTTTTCTTAAAGTTGCCGCTTTCCACGTGGACGTTGACTGGAAAGAAGCAACCAAAATGGCTATCCCCCAACTTAGGAGAACTCCCGCTGCCCCTTCGCCTATGCGGGAGCCGGCTAGCATCCTGTGCTGAGCGCTGGTCGTGAATCTGTTGTCTGTGAGGTGTTAGCACAGTGTTACGGAGAGCGGAATTAAGCCAGGCGCCAAAGACCGGCGCCAAAACACAGTCAGCCATGAGCCAGGTTCACACGGGCGGGCGTGCTCCCCATGAGACTCCGTATGCATCACGGTCTGCGGGTCCGCTTCGTCACGGTTTTTTTGAAATTATGCTCAGGTATGGAGTAAATATAACTATTGAAGCGCGTTGCCATCCATATGAAACGCTCACAGATTCATCAGCTGTGCCGCTAACGCTATTCCATGTACAAAGAACGGTGTCACAGGTACATATCGTGCTCTGCACCCCAGGTTAGCTTTCTTTAATTGTACCCACATGCCACTATTGACGCTTAACATAGCAAACGCGCACAATAAGAACACAACTCACGTGGCTCGACACTCGCGATGACTATGCGGACGGGTAGGGACTAAGCACTGTCGGCCTTGGGCACTTGGGCCGAGCACGGCCGGCCCCGCAGACAGGTACAGACTGAGCACGCCGGAACGTAATCAGGTACGGACCGATCACGACCGCCTCGCAGACAGGCCGGGACCGAGCACGGTGGAGTACAGATAGGCACGGAACGAGCACGGCGACTATGCATATAGGCACAGGCCGAGCCATGCGGTATGTGCATATTAGGCTCGGAATGAATGCGGCCGGCCCGCAGACAGGTAACGACTAAGCACGGCGGTCCGTACTGCAGCAGACAACGAACTCGCCACATTTATCACTCACTCGCGCCGACGGCGGCAGCATAGCTACGGGTTACGAGGCCGTATAAAACCGAATTGCAATGTAAAGGCTTGCCACTTAAGATTGTCTCGTACATCATCATCCATGTCGTTAAATTCTACGCAAGCGGTTTGCCAGTCCACACGTCCTGCCACCGACAGTTTGTTCGTTTTGGGTACGAAGACATCCAGATGTTTCTGCCGCCCTATTGCGAATAAGTCCTGCTGTGTACGTCTTCAACTGTCATGCTATTACATTTTAAGGGCCTGCCGCGTATGGTTGCAAAGCACATTGCCATATCCGCCTTGAAACTCTACGTAATCGGCTCGCTGGTCACATACACCCTGGCTTGGCCACCAATGGGTTTTCATAACATGTACGAATATTTTGATGTTCCAGTTGACCCTTAGCACTGCGTCCAGCGTTTAACGGCCCGCCGTGCATTGAAGTCTCGGCCCCAGTGACCTCACGATGAAGTTAAGCGAAGATGAAGCGAGAATCACAGAACGGTTTTACCTATTTTGTACGGCCTTGATAAATCCGACGATCGTCACGTACGCGTGTTTTGGTCCTTTCTCGTGGTGTGCTTGTATATTAGTCAATAATTTTATCGATTATTCCTCGCGCCCCTTTCCTGCGTATTCCTACTTCCAGTCGCCTTCTCGGTTACGAATCTTTTCTCAAGTTATTCGATTCCCAATATAATGTCCGTCGTAGCTAGAAGGACCGCCCAATTGCCTGCGTAATGTAACGCAAAACGCGGCTCATGATCGAAACCTTTCTTTAACGCATTAAGATGGCTGGAGGTCAACTGCTGTCCGAGGATGCGGCGGTTCGTGCTGTCGCACTCCAGCCACAAATAAGTCAACAGTCATATTTGTATTGACCTTGAACACAGCATGGCCAAGAGGTGTCGTAATTTGCCTGACGTCTCTATGGCATGACACATCTCTGGGTGTCTTCAAAATAGGCGGCGCGAAATAGTGTCGCAAGTTTGCGTGCGCCTAGCTCAGGAACGAGAGAATTTCAAGTCTTAACATAGCTTTGAACTGTTGAAAATGCTCGTGAAAATGGCCATCTCAGTTCAAAGCCTCATACAAATGTAGAATAATCCCTTCAAGGATGCGCTGAGAATGCCAAAGGCCAGAGGGCTTCCACACCAGTGCACGACCAACTGACGCGGATAGCAAGAGCGAAACAGTGAAGCCACGGATCTTGTGAATACGTTCAGAAATTGCCGCCAACGTGGCTCAAGGCATCCGCAATGCCTTCGGCGCCGCCCAATGGGGTAAAGGACATACAAGCCGTATCTTGAACAGTAGGACACACAGACATTTCTAGAGACGGTCAGAGGATCCGCAGAATGTCATAAAGAGCACTATGTAAACGTAACCAGCTAAAGCATGTCGTCTTGACCGGTGGGCCCATGATCGTCATGGCGGCGTCGAGACGGTTAATGGCTTGATATATTTCTCTTTTAACTTCGACAAACAACCACCAATGCCTGCTCTCTCCCTTTTCACAATGCAAGGATCTGGGGACCAGGATGTGCACCGGACGCATGCGGTGCATCGGTGCATCTGTCGTGCTATTCGCACTCCGGCCAAATCGCCTGTGTCGCCCGGTCGGATATGCCGGCATGCTACAGAGCTATGCTCTGCGTGTTTGATACGCAAACGAATGTAGCCCCACACAGCTCCCATCTGTCACTTGAAAGAAGACAAATAGTGAGCGGCAATAATCGAACTCAAGGGCTGATTGTAGTCATGAAGTTGGAAATTGCTATCATTCGAACATTCGAAATGGGCCGCTTAAGGTCTTGTGTGCATACGTCGCGAGAGCAGAGTCGTGTGAGAGGGGCCGGGTGAGCCACAGACCTTCTAGGGGAACAACCGGCGAGCAAGAGCTAAAAATGGATGGATTGTGAATGTTGACATCGGTGGATATAGGGTCTCGGCCGCTATCTGCGTTTCCGCCCAGAGATAGACGCCAACCGGCATCACCTGGGGCAGTCCGAAAACGGATCGCGTCCTGTGGACGCCTGCGGACAGAATTTCAGGAACCGGTGGTCAGAAACTCGTGACGCGTGGGCCTACAGCCCTCAGCCGAATAGCAAACTGCATCCGTTCTTAGGATGTTGGCGTGTATGCATATATTCAGTATCAAACTGTCCTATGATACAGCTATTGTGGGTTGACGTCATAGACAAGTCACGTCAAATCTAAAATGGTGAATTACATTGAAATGATATTACAAGATGTAAGTACAAGGGAGCGCGCGATGTCTTCCGTCTCGTATGCGATATGAGCGTGAAAACATCTGTGTAAAGATCATTGAAAATAATCCCCAATCTGGAAGGCCCGTGTAGCGGCGGAGGAGCTTCGGTGGGGATGCAACGGAATCTTAGGGGAGCGGAGGGACAAAATGGTGCGCCCAAAATGGGCAAGACCCTGACACTGTAGACCGTAGACCCTGACCCTGTGTATACGCCATATACGTGTATACGCCATACCGCGTGTATACCTATACGCGGTCGATTTGTCGTGAAATCATACATTAGCCAATGAGGAACGGCGTACAGCTGTTTGCCGTCAAAAGCCAGCGAAACTTGCTCTCGTCCTGACGCGCGTGAGACGAGTGCTGTCGCTGTTGGAAGGGAGGATCGGCTTGCGCCGTGTTGAGTGTTTTGTGTAGTGGCCAGCTGGGGGATGGATGCGGGTGGGTTTTGCAACGAGTCGCCGATACTTGGTGAGTGTGACCCTGTTCTGCAGCGACATCCAAAAAGGGATGAGAGTGAATCAGAGGAGGTCGGATGTGGCACTGGATCTGTGGCCATTGGAACGCCCCCGGAGCGGAGAGGGTTTGGATGAGGTCGGCCGCGTGATCTGAGTTTAATATGTGTATGGTGGCGACATGGGGAGAAGTGAAAGCTAAAATTGTCCACGATAATGACATAAAATTAATACAAATGGTGATGCCATTGACAATATTGTAATGAAAGTGATGTGAAATGAACCATTGCAATGATGATAAATGAAATTATAACTCATAGAATACTAGCATAAAATTTACCAATAGACATATGCCTGCTATGCCTGCATGCCATGCCTGGGTACAAGGCTGGCAGCTCCATACAGCCTCAGCAACTGAGTGTCATTTAGTTCCAATGGGCTTTTATAATAAGGGGTGATAATTGAAAATGATTAATGAAGTGAATGCTCTGCTGAGAGAAAAACATACTTGATGTCAGTTATGCTAGTGTATCTAGGAGCCCATGAACCCATAAACTGCTGATAATAACAATGCACACACAATTGCTACAGGCCATGGAGGCAAAGTTGAGACATTTTTGAACAGAACAGCAGAGCAGGTCACAGTATCCCTATAGTCATCAGGTACTCATTAGCACTAAAGGAAAACAGGTGATAAATGGATGAATAACATCTAATTTATCAGCCACCATTGTCAACATGCAGACTTCATCCATCCTCCTGCTGAAATCCATGTTTGATTTTGGAGAAGGTAGGTTGAGTTTCTTGGTGGTCTGAGGTGAGTTTGGAGGAGGTTAAAGAAATCACAGGAATGATCATATCATTTATGTGGGCATGGAGGCTGAATGTGGCCACATACAGTAACTGACCTAAACTAATGTGTTCCAACCCAGTGGTGGCGGGAGGCCTTTAATTGCAATAGCATAACGTGAACCCAGTAGATGATTGAAATCTCACAACATGGCTCAACTCAGCAAGTCAAGTCTTTAGTAGGCTGGCTACCTAAGCACTGATAGATGAGGTAGTTTGCTGTACATAGGTATAATTATAATCCATAATCTATGTAGTGTCTTGCCCTAGCAACCCATTCAGTGAACCTTTGCTCTGGCTTGTCTGTTATGATAATAGATCATCCTGATGGTGATAATTCTTTGATATTAGTTAATGCTGCATTTTTACATCCACACTTCAAAGGAGAATGCTGGTATCCTGCATTCAGTTGTTGGAAAAGTTAAACAACATGTTGCCTTTATTGGATGTTTAAGGGCAATGTGAAAGCAATGGGAATGTTTGATACAGAGTATGGTTTGTATAACACTAAGCATACAAAGTCTCATGCATTTTAGTAATGGGGAAGTTAGATACAGAGTACAGCTTGTATAGCACTAAGCATACAACATCTTATGCATTTTAGTCATCAGTACTCCATGTGCTTCATATATTTTCATCAGCTTCAGCATTTTGTGAGGTTAGAATCTACTATGAAATCTCCAAAGTTTATGGCCAAGCACCTATTTCATCCCATGCATCACCTTGGGTTCAAATGCTGCACTGTCATAAGAAGAGGGAGGACCATGGTGTGCTGACAGTGCCTTCTTCCCCTGGTGTTTGTGTTCATGTAAAAATTACAGGTAAGTGGAGCATGGCTGGTATTATATATCCACCATCAGCATGGGTATACTTCAGTATTTTTTTATTTTGGCTGTCACTAAGCACAATCAGGTTTGAGGAATTGTGTATATTAGTAATAACCAAAAATGTCAAATACATTTAAATATTCTGCATACTTTTCAGTACCATACCATCTACCAATACCTGGTAGAAGTCATCAAACATCAAACACTGATGTACTACAAACTATTATGTGGGCTGCAAGAGTGGCATACTGGAGTTGCATCCATGCACATGGACAGAAGACTAGTGTGTAGTTTATGGGATGAAGCTTAAAGTTAACAAAGCATGCTTAGAGTTAAAGGGATGGTCAATCAACCAGGTTTTTCAGTTGTCAATCCAGGCATTTGATGTAAATGAGCTCACTCTTCAGGTGTGGAGAGATGCTGTGTGTTTGTGGTAGGAGAAGGGTTGTAAGAGCTGCAGTTATTTGGAATACAAATGTGCTAGATCAGAGTTGTGAGGTGTTGGGAGATGCTGTGTGCTTACCCTTGGTAATGTTTTGTTGTTTTATTTTGTTTCATTTTTTCCTCACTGCAGTGTTTGACCATTGCATTGTGAAACGTTCCTTTGACTATTATTTTGCTGGTAAATTTAGCTAGAACACTATTGAAGCCTGCAGTGGCTGCCACTTGTGACATTAAGGCATTGTGTATTGCCTGGCACGTGAGACAAGGGTTAAAGGCAATTTTTTCTTGTTTTTTTCAGGACATTGATAAAGGACTATGATCAATCCATCACCAAGTGCTGCAGAATGGAGTGTAGTCTTCTGAAGGGCCAACTTGTTGTATTGGTAGACAAGCATTTGTTAGCTGTTTGATTGACAGAGACTACATGATAGGTGGATACCTTTGCCTCACCAGGAGTTTAGATCAGTGATGGTGAAAAACACCTCAGCTGTATAGAAGACTGAAAATGGCTGCCACCAGCGATATCCTACCTAGGTTTGTGAAGAATTCCAGTGCTGCACCAGCCAGCCCAACGAGACAAGCATGCAGGCTCAAGGAAAGACATTTACTGATGCTGATTGTCGTAACATTTATTCTTATCTGTTTCGGAACGATCTTTTTCGCACCGGACTTCGGCGAGAGCCTGCGTAAGATCGACGGTCTGGGTGGCATGCAGAAGCGGGTCCAGGACATTGGCCAGGACTTCCTGCTGCCTCCCCCACCCCTGGCCAACGGTCGCAGAGAATCCCCGCTGCGGCACGATGGAGACCAGATAGAGGACCCGCACGTGGCCCAGGACCGGGAGAAGCTCTATCACAAGGTGAAGGCCGCCGGAGACCTGCCGCCGCCGCTGGCGAAGCCTCGCCTGGGAGCAGACGCCGCCGCCGCCGCCGCCGCCGCCCAGGAGGCGGGTGCGGACGCCGGCGGGGCGGCGGAGCAGCGGCCGGCCGTCCGCGTGGCCGCGCTGCCTCCCGTCATCACCGGCGGCGAGGACGCCGACCCCGTCATGCAGTTCAGGCGACGCAAGATCAAGGAGGTAGGTGCGGCTGCTCAGATGGTTCGAAGCCTCTGATGCTGAACTTATCGGGCATCGTTGACATCTTGGCGTGGCTTTTTGCATGTAAACGGCGTAGCTTGTACCTGGGTGGAACAGCTCTTTAGTATATGGATATGTCGATGGCTGCCAAATCCTCGGTGAAGGTTGGAAATGGTTAACTGTGGTTAGAGGTATGGGTGTAAGAAACGGTACAGACGTAGCAAGAGGTCTTGCTCACTATCTGTTTCGAGCACATATTTGTGATCCTGAACGATAGTTGACCCCTGCAGCTGGCTTTAAATCAGTACAACTCCATGTCCTATGGGGGCGGAGAAGCGCGCAGGGGTCGGTGCGTAAACGGTGCGAGACTACTGGATGCCGTATTGCCTAATCTTGCGTTCTTAATGGAGTCTCCTCGCTCCCTCGCTCCCTCGCTCCCTCGCTCCCTCGCTCCCTCGCTCCCTCGCTCCCTCGCTCCCTCGCTCCCTCGCTCCCTCGCTCCCTCGCTCCCTCGCTCCCTCGCTCCCTCGCTCCCTCGCTCCCTCGCTCCCTCGCTCCCTCGCTCCCTCGCTCCCTCGCTCCCTCGCTCCCTCGCTCCCTCGCTCCCTCGCTCCCTCGCTCCTCGCTCCCTCGCTCCCCTCGCTCCCTCGCTCCCTCGCTCCCCCTCGCTCCCTCGCTCCCTCGCTCTCTCGCTCTCTCGCTCTCTCGCTCTCTCGATCTCTCGCTCATCTCACTCTCGCTCTCGCTCTCGCTCACTCTCGCTCTCGCTCTCGCTCTCGCTCTCGCTCTCGCTCTCGCTCTCGCTCTCGCTCTCGCTCTCGCTCTCGCTCTCGCTCTCGCTCTCGCTCTCGCTCTCGCTCTCGCTCTCGCTCTCGCTCTCTCGCTCTCGCCTCGCTCTCTCTCTCTCTCTCTCTCTCTCTCCTCGCGCGGCAGAACGAAAACGTGAACGTGTTGGGTATTGGATTGCCGTAGAGTTAGGGCGTCTTTTATTGCAGCAGTATTCAGTGTTGGCTCGTAACTAACGGGGCAGGAAGTGACGAACAGCTCGAATGTGACACGCTACCATTGGGGATCCGTTCCGGTAGCGCCTCCATGAAGGCTTTACAACACGTCATTATGTTGACCCGGAAATTAGCCTCCCGGTTTCAAACCGCGAAGTATTCAATTCCGGTCGTCATTCGACATAGGTGGATGACCGTGCGGTTTAGCGTTGCTGTACCCCACTTTTTGCGTTTCGTTCGTTTGGTTGCAATACTGTGTCCATTGCCAACAAACAACGGTGTGGGACGTTGGTAAACTCGCGTTGAACAGGCTGCCTTTTTGAATGATACAATTTCGGTAGTCAATGGCCGAGTTGATTGCGGCGTGGCTGACGTCAGCTGTGTTTTTGTGACGCCGACGTCAGATTGCGCTGCGGATTTAGCCACTGAAGATTAGCGTTATAGAACGCGTCGGCTTCTTTGGCTGTTTCGTGCGCCAGGCACTGAAGGAAAACGGTTTATGTTCATGCTAGATAGCCAGCATTGCGCGCTGTGCAATTTATTTCAGTATTTTGTTCAATTGGAAAACATTTCTTGGCCAGAATTTTCATAAGTGTTGTGTTTTTATTTTTGTGATTTTTCTGTGAGGTTAATGCAGTTTGTCTGTACCCGTTCCGCTTGGAACTGACCTAACGATATTCCGTGTTCAGTCGCTAGCTCGAAATTTTTGAAGTCCTCAACGCCGACGCGCCCTTTAAGTCCAAACCACCACCGAAATTCTTAAAGCTCCTTACGGCACTTGTTACATGAGACCCATTCATGTTTGCGCTGGACACCTCGTTGTCAGACACGCACCAGAACGGACGCATTTGCATGCTATTGTGTCATTCGATGCTATTGTATATATATATATATATATATATATATATATATATATATATATACAATAGCATCGAATGACACAATAGCATGCAAATGCGTCCGTCTGTATATATATATATATATATATATATTATATATATATATATATATATATATATATATATATAATGTATATACAATAGCATCGAATGACACAATAGCATGCAAATGTGTCCGTTCTGGTGCGTGTCTGACAACGAGGTGTCCAGCGCAAACATGAATGGGTCTCATGTAACATATATATATTATATATATATATATATATATATATATATATATATATATATATATATATATATATTGGAAATCCTCCGCGTGGAGGACCGCAATACAAACTCTGGACATGAATGTCAATGCGCAGTCGATGATTGACGGGGAAATGAGGGCGACATTTTGTGTAGTGACGGAAACGGGAAATGTTGCAATGAGTGGAAATTGGTGAAAATAAACCGGGTTTACACCCTTGCCAGATTCTTGCCTCCGTGTGCTTAGTTGAGGCGCTGGCGGGTTGTGCTCAGGTCTTCTTCTCTCGAAAACCTCGACATTGACCGCTGCGTGGTCGAATGCTGGCGTCTCTGTGGGCGGTGTTGTGAGCAGTGTTGGGCTGACTGGCTGATTTGAAGACGATGCGTGCACATGTACGTTGCACTTTGTTTCATGTCGTTATCTGCTTGGGTCACTGAGATCCTCTGACATTTGGTTTAGAAAACCCTCCAAGATCGTTTAATCTTCTGTTTCCGCACGAGCGCACTTGCGCGACCGTCTACATCGATTCACACTTTTGCCAGTGCGTTTGCCCGTTGTTTTAAGACTCGCAAATGTGCCGATCGCTTTTCGCTGTGATCCCGTTCCCGAGCTATGAACCGAGCTTCGAGGCTTATCCAGGTCATGCTGGCTACTTATGAACTTTGCGTTTCCTACGGTAAAACAATGGACCATGTTTGTAGGCACCGACAGCGTCCCACCGGTCAGATCCGGTCCCAGCCATAACAGCAGCGCGCCCCTGCTGGCCTTGCGGCATGCCGGATATCACGTTGCCAGATGGTTCTGGCACCAAGCCTGGACGGCTTAGTGCATGACCGATGGGCAGACATTACGAAAATCCCGATTTCGTAAGGCGGCTAGCATTGTGCAATGGGTAATTTGTTTAAAGGTATTCGTTTCATTTTGGAGTGTTTCGTGGGGTGAAGCTAAGTCACGTGCATTTGATCGCCTGATGGACGGGTGGACACACATTTAGATAATGGTAATAATGCTAGCAGAACATTTGGTGGAAATCTCAGAGCGCTCGAAATTCTGAAAGATCACCAACCCACGTGCTACTGCCACGCGATCCCATCTCGCGAATCTTCTCGTGCCATCCCACCGCCAACGAGAGGGTTACAGAGTGCGTAAACGGTAACGACAGTGAGAGGATATCCAATACTACTGATCTTCATGCCATTGAAAGTTAAGGTCCGCCAATACACGAGCTATTGACATGAAGATGACCGCGAGACCAGTTCGTGCCTCTTGGAGTTTCGAAGATTGCACGCCTCCAAACTATGCAGAGGGTGTGCTGTTCCAAGGTGCATATTGGGCAGGTGTGGTGTGGTGCAAGAAGTCGTGGTTGCAGCCACGGTAACTCAAATCCATCGCAGCTCTTGCAGCTCTTGGTTTCCGCAGCCCTTGCTGTTTATGAGCGGCGAACCAGCAAAAGTTGACGGGATGTGCACACGAGCGCGTGGTTTATAGTAGCATAGACATTTGCATCATTCTTACCATTTCTATTCAGCTGTGCTACGTCTACTCAAACACCAGCACGGCACGGCTTTTGCTTTTGTGGCTATTTTTAGAAGGCAGCTTTTGGTCTCATGGAAACAGTTAAATGAACTGTGTTCATTAGAAGATGTCTACGAACATAAATTTGGGAAGCTTTTATGTTCTAGCCTGGCATGGCCCTCGCCTTGAATGATCGCATCATTGCCATACGCCCAGTGCTTTGTGCTCGTGCTTGAACAGAAGCAGGGGGGAGGGGGGGGGGGGGCTTATATGACGGCTGCTGTAAGATGCTTCTCGATGTGACATTTACCTTGAATCGATTTTGCAAGGCTTACAGGCAGTGTAGAGATTGGGCTTGCGAAGAGTCACTCCATTTGTGTTATCGTCCACGTCGTCACGCTGTAAGGATTTTGCGGGGTTATGGCTCTGAGACGGATTCAGTGGAAGCGGGTGCCGCCTGCAAGTACTTCTCCACGGGAGTGTTCATCGTTTCGACCGAAGGCAAAGCACAAAAGTGGCAATATCTTAGATGTCCCGGATGTGCTGATGCTCTACAAGTTAAGGGCTGTCAGAATCGTCCTCCTTTGTAGGAAAGGCGAAATTAGGAAACCTTTTAGCAGGCCGAGTTCTTTTATGGCGCGACCAAGACCCTTTAACATCACCGTAGCTGCTGGAGAAAAAGACCGACGCGCCCCGATTGGTTTGATTTGAAGCAGATTTGACGCTGATGAGCGTCGATTTGTCAGAGTTCCGCTGTGACAGGTCCCAAAGTTCAGTGTTACAGTCCACCAAACGGTTCAGTCGATAGTTACGAGTATACTGAAGAAGTTGCAGTAGCATACACCTGACGCTGGCGGAGGCTTGGGTAGCTATGCTCGGACTTTCACGGTCGTATACCCGGGCTAGCTCGGCATTTATAATTGGCAATCAGCGATGAGAGAATGTGTCAAATGGTCTCTTTCCAACATTTTCCTTCGTTTTTTTTTAGCGTCTTGTGGGGTGGGTGGGGCACGGTCATGTCTGTTGATAGTTAACCCCTTGTTACGCCACCTTTTAGTACATAGTAAGGCCTGGAGCCACAGATACTGCCGGCCGCTGGCGCCCTTCAGCGCGCCCTGAACACCAATGGTCAGCTGGCAATGACTCGGCACCACCTCGCTGCCGTCGGAGCTTCCGTGGATTTCCCTACACATAGCTGTCCGCGTAGGTTTCTGAAGCGTTTTTATGGGAGTTTTTTCTTGTGTCATTCACTGCTTACCGCTCTCACATGCATGTCAGCAAGAGTCTTATGTTTTGAAACTCGGTGGGCAACATTTTGACCCCGTCATTCTATGTTTGTGAGCGCCATCTTGGCCCATAATTCTGTCGCTTGCCCGGTCCGCCCCTTCAACCCCGGTTGGTTCCGTCTGCCCGGGGTCAGGGGTCAGAACCGCCGGGCGAGAGGAAACAGCACGAGCGTCCGGCTCGCGCCACTCGTTCCAATCCTCTCAGCCGACGCCCTAATCCTAATGAACGGCCGCTGCTGCCGTGAGTGGCTGAATTAGTTTGGGAGTGTGGTTTGAACTGGGTCACAGACAGGACGCCGCAGTGCCGGACGAGGCGCGTGGTCAGCTGGCACTGGCGCTGCGGAAGATGCTGCAACGTGGACAAGACTCAGACTGTGTACCTGTTATCAGGTCTTAACGCACTTTTTACACCTGCTCTGATTGCACAGAGGGGGAGGGTCACCAGAAAGGTATGTTGTCAAGGTTCCAGTTGTTGTTTTTTCAGTTCGAAGGCAGCGACGGTTGGTAGTGCACCAGAAAGGGTCTTGTATTATCCTGCCCGATTCCCGGAGCGATCGGATAGTGCCGTCAAACCCGGCTGGGCGCCCCGCCCGGTTCTCGTTCCAAAAATTCACAACCATGTCTAGGTGCGCATTAGTATTGACGCTGTGTTAATGACACGCGCATCATTATACTGTCATGCATTGTAGACTTACACATGGAGGTACCGGTAGTGTAGTGGTTTACCACTGCACGTCTGGGAAACCAGAGGTACGGGGTTCGATTCCCCGCGGTGCCCGCCCTTCCTGCCAGGGTGAGAGGTAGGCGACGCCATATAGCCCCAGTAGCTGAGTGCGTCGTAAAGCCCCAGTGACACACACAGACTTACACATGCTAAGTGCACAGATGATGTGTAGGCAGTCGGACTGGCCAAAAGCAGGCTTTAAGTGGAACACTGGGCTTACCAAGGTAGTGCTTGGATATTCATCCGCCTCCAACTCGGCGTTTTCAACTTATGTGGGGAACTTTTTCTACGCTTAATGGACGTGTGTGTACATAGTACGGGATGAACCTACCTGTTCGCCCAAACGAACGGTATGAGAGTTGGGCTGTTTGTGCCCACACCGTGTTGCTGTTCTTTTCATGCCTCGTTAACCGGGGGAGGCGAAAGCATGAATGCAGTATATCACGTGCCAAAGCGTTTCGTGGAGCCTTCATGCAAGGAACACGAGTTTGTCCCATTCAAAGCTGTGCAGGAATAGGCGCGGATGTAATGTCGCTGCTTAGAAAGCCATTCCTGGATGAAAGTCGCTGTAGCCAAAGCGGTGATTTTTGTTTTTCTTTTGATTTTATTTTTTGTTTTGTTCTGTTTAGACGATAGCACCATTTCTACGTTTCTAGTTCGACTAATATCCGTCTTCTTTTAAGTGTTGTCTCATTTTGCTATGACCGGACTCTGGCCAGACTCAAAATCCTTTACACGGCCGGATAATGCATTGGTCTAACAATACCAGCGCATTCTGTTGTATTCTCTCTTGATTTGCTAACTAGCTCCACCATTACGACCGCCATCCAACTGCGTCAGACACTAGCTTCAGAGCCGGCCCGCTCCTGCCGGTCGCATCCCATCAGTCCCGGTTCCTCCCGCCTGGCGGCACTTCGTTGCCACGTGCCGTCACGGCCCGTCACGTGCCCTCTCGACCCGTCACGACTTGTCACATGCCTCGACCCGTCACGACCCGTCACTTGCCCTGTCTACCCGTCCCGCGCCGTTCGGGGGTCTGACCCACCACCCGGGCGCGGCGTGCCGGCAGATGATGCAGCACGCCTGGCGGGGCTACGCCAGCTACGCCTGGGGCGCCAACGAGGTGCGGCCGGTGAGCAAGCGCAGCCACTCGGCCGGCATCTTCGGCCGCCGGCCGATGGGCGCCACCATCGTCGACGCCATGGACACGCTCTTCATCATGGGCATGACGGACGAGTTCGCTGAGGGCCGACTCTGGATCAAGCAGCATCTGGACGTGTCGCAGGTGGTGAGTGAGGCGGGCGGTGGCGGGGTAGCGAGGTGAAGGAAGCGGGTTAGACGTGAGACTGTCTGGATGTGTCGCAGGTGGTGAGTGAGGCGGGTGGTGGCGGGGTGGCGAGGTGAAGGAAGCGGGTTAAACGTGAGACTGTCTGAATGGTTCTCGGGTGGTGGGCCGCGGGATAGTGTCGTGCGTGTACACGCGTGGTTGCATGCAGTGCATACGATTTTGCACAGCAGCGACGGCATACTGATATGGTCGGCGCTGCGACGGCGCAAAGAGCCGAACCTCCGCGTATCTCCCCGAGAATTGGCATTTATGAGCTGTCAGAGACTGTTCTTTTTCCCACACCGATGTCAAACAGGCCTCTTTGTCCTTACGGAAGATAGTCCAGCACATCTCCACGAGCGTGAGTCATGAGCGCAGAATTAGGTCGCGCAGCCTGTACCGTTCGGGGAGGGCGACCGGGCAGGCACACCCCCTGCGTGCGGCGCGAGTGCCGCGTTCACCGGCCCGTACAAGCCCGGTTACCGTTGGCGCCGCCGCCGCCCTTTTGGGTCGGCGCCGCCCAGCGGACCGGCACGGCTGGATGGCGGTCCGGCGCTGCTGTCAGTGACAGGATGCAGCCGTGAATGGACCGGGCTGCTGGGTGGGGTCGGGTGGGGAGGGGATGGGATACAGGGCTCGGACCCGGTGGAGATAACGTCATTAATTAACGCCCGGGAGCAGATGGGTGTTGACCGCCGTGCGTTTCGCTTCCTCCGGTGCCGTTTGCTTCTATTGTGTTGTTTGTGTTTGTTTTGCATTAGTTCGTTATATTTGACGCTCTGTTCCTGTCCCCCTGTTCGTGATTTCTGTCCATGTCCCTGTTCCTCTTTGTCTTCCGCCGGCATCCTATATCTACCCATCTGTCTCTCTTCCTTGTTATTTCTCGGCCTTTCTGTCCGGTCTTCTATTTTTCTCCTTGTTCTGCCTCCCCGCACCTCGTCATTTGCAGGCGGTCTCCAGGCGGCCGCCCACTGCGTGGGCCACTGTGAGCCCTGCCCGTCCCTCCCTCATCATTCACAGGCGGTCTCCAGGCGGCTGCCCACTGTGTGGGCCAGTGTGAGCCCCGTCTCTCCTCCCTAGTCATTCGCAGGTAGTCTGCAGGCGGCAGCCGACCGCGTAAGCCAGTGAGGCCCGCCTCCCGCGTCTGCCGGTGCCCACGTAAGCCGATCCGCCTGTTTGCCTGCGCCGACCCGGCGGCAGCGAGCGCGACCTTTGGCCAATCTGGGCCACGTGACCGCCGAGGCGGGCCGCACGGCACGGACGTCGCCGTCGGACAAAAGAACTCCGTGGCCGACCTGGATCGCCGCCGTGGAGGCGCCGTTGTCGCGGCGATCTGGGCGTCGACGCGCGACAGTGTCGCGCCGTCGGGCCCGCCGCACGCGCCGGTCGGCGTCCGCAAGCGTGATAGGACGCCTCCTCGTGCGTGAGAGCGCAGCTGTGAGGCGCAGGCCTCGCCGGCGGACAGGGCGGCTCCCTTGAGCCACCTGCTTCGCGCGACTCTGGGCGAGGTGGAACCTTATGGGACCGATGGGCACCGACGTACCTACCAGATATGATGATCCTCGAAAACCGCGCATTTAATCCGTTTGGAGCATGAACCAATCTATTCAACATGATTAAGTGAGAAGTCAGGACTAAGTGTTACGGATTCCGTCCTGCAGTTGCGAAAATGGTTACCTTGGGTCGGGTCAGAAGTTAGTTTTGACGAATTCTCAAAATTTTGCTTGCGGATAACTCAGTTCTCAGAACGCATGGTTCCGATTGCCATAAAACAACCACCGCCCGATTAGGCTTCGTTGATTCCCTCTCGGAGTTTAGAAAGTGGTGACCGTAGGTCAGGTCAAAAGGGGTCACTTTCGCTGTGTGCCAATTTTGTTTTGCTCGCATGCAACTCAGATCGCAGTATTATCCCTATGATCATCGCAAGCCCTCCACCACTTGATTTATCATGATTAATTACCATCTGCCTGTGCGCAAGTAGTGACCCTAGGTCAGATCAAAAGTATGTTTTGAATATTCCTTTGATCATCACAAGCTGTCCACCACTCGACTTATGATGGTTGATGTCTTCCGCTTTTGCGAAAACAGTGACCCTAGATCAGATCAAAAGTATGTTTTGATAACTTCCAAACTTTATGCTTCCTGACTTCTCAATTCTCAGAGCCGGCTGCTTTAATCGTCATAAGCAAAATCGTCGCCATTCGATGCGTCATTACTTCGCTTGATGCGCACTTGCGAGGTTGGTTTGCCACATTTCCACCCCATACTCACGTCATCATGCTAAACTGATTGGTAAGTGTCCACAGCGATGGGATGAGCTGTTCCCAAGAGCGGGCATATCTGCTAGACCTGTCGGTTTGTGAGTCCGCCTCGGCGGTGCGGCGATGGGATGAGCGGTTCCCAAAAGCGGGCATATCTGCTAGACCTGTCGGTTTGTGAGTCCGCCTCGGCGGTGCGGTGATGGGATGAGCGGCTCCCAAGAGCGGGCATATCTGCTAGACCTGTCGGCTCGGATTCCGTCTCGGTGGGGCGGTGATGCGCCGGTCCCGCGCGCGCCAGGTACGGCTGGCGAGCGCCGGAACTAATCAGCGCTGGCGTCCGGAGCTGTGACAACGCCGCAGGATCAGACCGCGGATCCCCGCCGGCGGCGTGGCCGATCGGAGGCTTTGCCACCGATTGGGCGATGGAATCGGCGTGGAGCGGCTCGCGGCCGGCGACCGGAGGGGGAGGGGAGGGGCTTTCGGCGGGCGTGGGACGAAGACGGTCTCGGGTCCGATGTGCAGCACGTGCCCTCGGTGGCCGCGGTCCCAGTGGAGGGGCGTGTCACGCCAGCGTGTCTCATTCAGCGGCGGCCGATCGGGCCGTTTTCTGTAACGCGAATCCAGCTGTTACAGTTAGGTCGAGATCGTTCTGAAACCAGACACATTCATCATTGTTGTTCTTTTTTTGCCTGACAATTTGATACGAACAGGGCGCATATAAATGCCCGGCAGTGATATCACGCTGCGCATAAAGGGTTTCGGAATTTCAAGAGCGAATTCAGCCACCAAGTAAAGCTGAAGAGCTCATAAAGGCTCTTCAACTCAGCGAGGCTCAGGCTCATTGAGGCCTCCTTTACGGTACGCATGGATGCAGCTCACGTATTCGGGCTCTAATTAATTGCACAAACGAACCTTTGTAGCTGAGCAACCGCCATGAAAATGTGATCTAAACCATCAGATTGCTTAATCCGGTTGTAAACTGGATTGGAGCTGCCCCTGCTCCGTCGCTGCGCAGTGGCTTTCGAGACAGTTGTTCGGATGCAACCGTATGATTGTGCTTTGTGCTTGTTTTATATGTTATAACCGGATATGTCTGTTGCGATTTTACACGAGTTGCTGAGATATTTTTTTGGAAGTCGTTTTGTGTCAAATGTCAAGTCCGCGGCACGCTCCCTCGGTACATTAGTGTCGTCTTTTTCCATAAGTGGTTGAATTATGTAGCAATAATTTCGCATGGTCCCAGTCTATGCCTGAGCCTTATAGGAGGCGCTTACGCATCAGCGGAACTCCCCATTATGACAGAGATCTTAGTCCGTGTCGCCACGACCGAAGGCAGGGCGCGGAGGTAGCGGTATTTTAGTTTTGTATTTATCTATGTTGGCAAGCTTTGTTTTGGGCTACGGCCGCTTGGCTCGTTCGTTTGGATCACGGTCTTGGCTTGGCTCGTTTCGGGAAATGAATTGAAATGTTTTTGGCGTGTTCAGTACCTTGTCCTAGAAGAAGCCAAATTACAACACATTTTCTGATGACCTGAACCCTTCAATGGGCGTTTCTGATAACAGCAATGACGCCGTTGCCAGCCAAGACATCCTGTTGACGGTGGTAACGCCTAGCGCCGTCCGATGTGCCTCCTTTGTTCACTGGTCCACGTGCGCTGCTCTGCTGCACGACTGGGAAGTTGTGAAGCTAGGAAGAAGCCCCAACACCTGTGCTGTGCGATCATCGTGCGGGAATGGGAAGTGTCGATACTCGAAATGCTCATTCGACGCTGCAATCCTGTCGCAGGACTCCGCAGCTTGACTCTGACTCGAGGTGTTGATGCTCGAAGTAAACATTCGACACTCCGATCTTGTTGCAGGACTCTGCTGCTCGACTCTGACTCGACGTGTCGTTGCTCGCAGTAAACGTCGGACGCCGCGCCCCTGTTGCAGGACTCGGAGGTGTCGATATTCGAGATGAACATCCGGTACGTGGGGGGCCTGCTGTCGTGCTTCGCGCTGAGCGGCGACACCCTGTTCCGGGACCGGGCGCTGGAGACGGCGCGCGCCCTGCTGCCCGCCTTCGACACGCCCACCGGCATCCCCTACGGTCTGGTCGTGCCCACCACGGGGGTGAGTGGAGGGACGCCCTGCGCGGTCTAGCGACATCCCCTACGGCCTGGTCGTGCCCACCATGGGGGTGAGTGGAGGGACGCCCCGCGCGGGCCACCGGCATCCCCTACGGCCTGGTCGTGCCCACCACGGGAGTGAGTGGAGGGACGCCCCGCGCGGTCTAGCGACATCCCCTACGGCCTGGTCGTGCCCACCACGGGGGTGAGTAGAGGACGCCCTGCGCGGCCACCGGCATCCCCTACGCCTGGTCGTGCCCACCACGGGGGTGAGTGGAGAGACGCCCCGCGGGTCCCACCGGCATCCCCTACGGCCTGGTCGTGCCCACCACGGGGTGAGTGGAGGGACGCCCGCGCGGCCACCGGCGTCCCCTACGGCCTGGTCGTGCCCACCACGGGGGTGAGTAGGAGGACGCCCCTGCGCGGACCACCGGCTATCCCCTACGGCCTGGTCGTGTCCACCACCGGGATGAGTGAGGGACACCCCGCGCAGTTCGGATGCCGCCCACAGTGGCATCAAGCTTTCTCTGCAGCTCGTTGTCGGAGGGAGCTAGTGCTGAGCTATGCGGAGCTAATACTGCAGCACATACGACCCCGGGTTATGTTTCATCACAACCTCGACCACAACGCAACACCCCATTGGCATGAGGGAGGTGTCTGCGTTGGCAGTGAGCCGCCCACATGGCAGACCGCAGGCACCAACCGCACCAGATCGACGTGCCGCAGGCTGGTGCTGGTGACGCTGCTGACGATGACCCACACGCTCTCGGGCCCCGGCGTCCGGCACTGTCCCGCAGCCTCGCGGTGCTCCGCCGGGGCCACGCTGGGCCAGGTGACGTCACGGGTCGTCACCGTGCCCCGGACTCGGACGGAGCGGAGGGAGGGGATCGTGGGGGGCCGCCCCACGTGGACCCGGGATTCGTGACTGTTAAGGCGGGCGTGGGGGCTACAGGCACTAAATTGTTTCGGTCCGGTGAAGTTGCCCGGCAGGATTTGTGTGATTGGATTGAGGGGAGGGGTCGTGAGAGACGCAGAACGCTTTGGCTGGCTCACTGGCACGCAATTTCAGGCAATGCACGTCTGCGGTCACGGTATATTCGCATATTTGCAGTTTGTCAGCCAAACCTACGCATGGCGGTTGATAAGGCGGCGAATGGCGCACTGTGTTTTGTATCTGGAGCAGCGTGACCTAGTTTGATGTTTGTGTGAGTCTGTTCTGTACAAAAGCTTTCCCTCGCGATTTATGGGCAACGCAGGCCTCGTAAAGCCTGAATGATGAAACACCACACGGGCGGCTCCGAAGAGACCTGGCTTAGGCCATTTAAACGGATTGCCGTGTTCCCGTCCCATGCAAATTGCTGTGTGCAGTATGCAAAGTGCACTTTGGCGCAGTATGCTTATCGCTGCTGTTATTTGTGGCTAAAGCGTTGGGGCCCCCGAATCCAGCTGCCTTTGTTGCCCACAGTTGCGGTTTCCTTGCCGGATTTGTCCAATAGTCACGGCACATGTCCATTGCTGGAGCAAATTGCCGGCGACCGAAGCGGCCAATGTCGATCATTCCGTGGCTATTGCATTAGCGTATTGGCGAGCTGTCGCGTCCCGGCAGCGGTTGGTGTGCATTAGCTCCGCTGTGCCGATATTTCTGCACATTGCTTGCGCGATCATTTCATGTATTTCCCGCGATCACGAGAAAAGTGACGGCTGATCTAATTGGCGCCGTCTTGATGTCGAGTCCTGCTGGACTCACTCAAAAACCTACCGCGGCGCCCTTAATGAGGCGAAACTGTATATCTCACTTGGAGTCGAATGTGGAGCCGGTCCATTGGGTCCCCCCCCCCCCCCCACCCCCACCCACACTTGTAAGGCGATTGAATATTAACCCCATGAGAGGGAGCGGGGTCAGAACTGCGGCACATTGCGTCACCCCACTCCCACCCCATCGCCTGAGAGAAGGTGCCATGGCTGCTCAGTGTGCTTTGTCGCCGGCCCTTACAGGGAAGTACCAGAGCCGAGGGGTAGCTGCGCTGGGGATGAGTTTCCATAGTCGCGCATCAACAGTGTCTAAAAACATGAGCAGACTGATTTACGGACCTATGCGATAAAGGGGATTTTGCCGGGACACCACTGGTTAATCACACCCGCCCGTGCTGCGCGCTCAGCGCGCGTGGCGTCCGACGAGCCGGTCGCCCCGCTCCGCGTGCCCTGCTCCAGCTCACCTGCTCACATGACGCCCGTCTCCGCCGCGCAGAAGGCCAAAAACTACGGCTGGGCGTCGGGCGGCAGCTCGATCCTCTCGGAGCTCGGCACGCTGCACATGGAGTTCAGCTACCTCTCCGACGTCACCGGCGACCCGCAGTTCCGGCGACGCGTGCAGAAGATCCGCCAGGTGCTGGCCGGCCTGGAGAAGCCGGGCGGCCTGTACCCCAACTACCTGCACCCCAAGACGGGGAAGTGGGGCCAACGTGAGTGAGGCAGCGGCGGCGACGGCCGCCGCGGCGCGTGTGGCGTAGCGCGTGCTGTGCCGTCGGCGGTCGTGACGATGCGGAGGCTGGAGAGCGGACTAGTGGCGTGAAACAGTAAAACTTGCCTGCAGACGGAGGCGGACACGGTATTGGCTAAACGCATTGTGTGACCGCCTTGGTTCCTCCGCAGCTCAGGCACGAGGACAAGTAGCAGTGTTGGTGAGCGGCTGTGCCAGAGCGCTGGTCAGTTTAGCGTCATCGGTCACGGAGAAATTGGCAAGCAAGTTGCGTCATTGCACATAATTTGTGATTGTGCCACGATCATTTTTATCGCTTTTACCAGTTGTATCTTATTTCTCACATTGTCGCACCTTGAGTGGACAGCTTGTGATTGATACCACAGCACAGCGACAGTGGAAGCATTCTCATAGCTTATTTATTTGCCCATTTATCACCCCGCGATCACTTGCGTTGCCAGCTCCTGGCAGAGATGTGGCCAGTTCACGGGGTCTCTCGAGGCGCCAATCGAGCACCAGCCCCTGCTCACAGACGGCCGCCCGAGCGTCCGCGACACACGTCACCGCGTGCGAGGACTGCGCTCAATTTTCTCTGGGGCGTCTTAAATCACTCGGCCCGCCATAAAGCATCCTATCCCCACTGGCAATGGAGTTGTTAAGCCCACGATGACGCCGAGGCTTAGAAACGCATTGTCAAGGGAATCGTAAGTATGGAAGCGAGTGCTGCCCGCGTCATTGTCTGCTTAACAAGCATTGCGCTTCGGGGAGGCTTTCGGAGGCATGTTAGCATGGGAATGGCGAAGACACTACGAGCTTTTCTGTTCGTGTTGAGTGACTTATGCAAGTACTGAGTGAGACCGAAACGGGCAGATATGAACTTGCCGTAACCTGCCTCACGGCGCGAAAACGCCAGGTCAGGCCCGCACGATGCAAATCGGTTGGAACAAGCACTCTAACTGAGTTAACGGCTAGCAATGCCTCAAAAGCAAATATATCTATTGGAGCGATGACCACCGTGCCCCCTGTATAGCGTGACCGCTGTATGACTTGAAGCCGTGATTCAGTCATCTGATCCTCTTGATATGCAGGGGTACGACGAAACCACACGCATATCTCACCTGTTCAGTGGTGTAAGCCCCTGGGGACCATATGAGGTGATACTGGCACCTCCAGGATCGGAAAGCCCATCATTGGGTTCGGCTGACGGCTGGTCTCCCTGCTAACCCAGCTGAGCGGGGACACCAGCTGTGGACACCACCAGCCGCTCAACTGAGCTAGCGGCTGATATCCCCGCTAGCCCACCTGAGCGGGGACGCCAGCTGTGGACACCACCAGCCGCTCAGCTGAGCTACCGGTTGATGTCCTTGCTAGCCCAGCTGAGCGGAGACACAAGCTGTGGACACCACCAGCCGCTCAGCTGAGCTAGCGGTTGATGTCCCGCTAGCTCAGCTGAGCGGGGACACCAGCTGTGGACATCACCAGCCGCCCAGCTGAGCTAGCGGTTGATGTCCCCGCTAGCTCAGCTGAGCGGGGACACCAGCTGTGGACATTACCAGCTGCCCAGATGAGCTAGCGGTTGATGTCCCCACTAGCTCATCTGAGCGGGGACACCGACCGCCGTCCACACCAGACGGACCCGAGCCTTGCTGACTGGGCGCCCCCCCCCCCCCCTCCCCCAGGCCACATATCGGTGGGTGCGCTGGGCGACTCGTTCTACGAGTACCTGCTGAAGGAGTGGCTGCGCTCGGGCGGCGCCGACCGCGAGGCGCTGATGCTCTACCGACACGCCATCGGCAACGTCACCGAGCGGCTCGTGCGCACCTCCAGCCAGGGCGGCCTCACCTACGTGTCGGAGCTGCTCAACGAGCGGCCCAACCACAAGATGGACCACCTCGCCTGCTTCATCGGTGAGCCGCGCGCGCGCGCTGAGGGCGAGGTACAGGCCGACGGCGACGACGCACACGGGGTTCAGGTGGGAAGTGGCGGCTTCGCGAGCTCTCCTCACAGCGTCGTGAGGTCGACGATGGCCACTCGAAATGTCGTTCAGGTTTCGAGTGGCTAGATATGGATGTCCCAAAGCGGCCAGTGATTCCCCAGACGGTCCGTTTCCCGCTGAGAGGCGGCGAAGCGAGAGCTGCAAAGATATGTCCTTGTATACCATAGCCCCTGCTATATGGTTGCGGTATGCTTCGCGATATGTGCAGCCCCTGCGCCAAGGGTGGTTAGTTTCGATATTCGTCGATTATCTCGGACGGTTAGCTGTTTTTTTTTGCGAAAGTGCACATGAGCCCGCAATATACGCTTCCTGTTCCCATTTGCCAACCAGTGTGGTGTTTTTATTTTTACATGTCATCTGTGGTGATGTCCCAGAGGATGATTCCTACGCCTCCCCCCCCCCCCAATCAATTTACATTCGGATTACTTTGCAGTCAGTTGTTTGCATGTGATCTTCATTCCTGCGTGCTATTTCTGGTGGTGAGGCCTCTTCGGCACTCTGGAACGCGTATAAAGTAGGTCGATGAAACCTTACGATGTTCGTGCCTGGGCGGAGAGTCGGCAATGCAGTCAGTGCGTCCCAGAACACCATCAAACAACGCAAACAACAGAAGACGTAAAATATTCGGGGCACGTTCCATCGCTCTGAAAAGAAAGAGTTGCGCCGTCTCGAGGCGTCTCGAGCGCCTCTGTGCCGCGGACTGCTGGCGGGGGTCGGTCCGTGAGCAATGCGACTGCTCTGTAATAAGCTTAAGTACCACCTTGGCGTTGAGTGTTTGGATAGTGTTCTCGCGGCTGCATTTGTCCCCGCAGAACCAGTTTAAAATGTGGGATTGGTTCGGAGCGTGCTGTGGGGCCTCGATGTTTGTTAATGCGGGCCGATCTGGGCCATCTGAGGCCGACTGATCGAACCTGTAGTGCTATCGCTGGAGGCTGCGGCTTTGTCGAGTCCGTTAACATTGGCATCGCTTTCAGTGAGCTACCGACTGGGCATCCGATGAGGATGAAAGCAGTTCTGGAAAAGGTTTCCCTCTGGGTTGAGTTCTACGCCCTCAGACTAAATTTACCGAAATGGTCTTTGTTTCTGGAGCAGGAGTCTGTTTTAGGAAGGTCCACCCGGTCACGTTTATGGAGCTAATGGAGCATTGGGTTGACCTCTGACGCACATCCCGACCACAAAGGCCGCCATAGAAATCCGCGTCTGCAAAAGGATGACGTCAGAGGCAAGAGACCTTTTAGAACCCCTTCTCGCTTATATCAAATGCACCCGACGCAACTGGTGTGTTCTAGGTGGGCTGTACGCGCTCGGTGCTGCCAAGGACCCCGACAACAAAACAGACCGCTACCTGAAGATCGGGAAGGAGATCACGCGTACCTGCCACGAGTCATACGATCGCACTGTTACCAAGCTGGGACCGGAGAGCTTCAGGTTCGTGCCGCTACCGGGGAAGATTTTTTCTACGGCTGAGAAGACCTTATGGAGGCAATGTGACTTAAACTAGGGTTTTTATGATTATTGTGTCCCAGAGGAAAATAAATTCGTCTGGGCACGCGTGTAGGGATCTTGATAACAAATGTTTCACCTGCTTTAGGTGCTTTCCTCAATCATTCCATTTAACGCGCGCTCGGGTGGGGGTCATAATGTCTTCTCCCTCCCCGAAGCTTTTTCAGAAGGGTTTCCGAATGGCGCGGCGCAGCCGCGCCAAATTTTGCATAGCTGCAGACAATTGAGTAGCGGATCGTGATCGTTTGGTGTTAAAAATTTATATTTACCTTGTAAGATCGCTCACCTATGGTAGGTCAAAGCCAGCGAAGGCAATTTCTAGGGAATCGTTTAATATGATGCAACAACGGAACGTTAGACGAAGCTATACATCTCTGGGATGCTTTCTTAGACAACACAGTAATTGAATGAGCAAAATACATTGAGCTGAGGTCAGGTACAAAGGTCAGACCAAGGTCAAAACCAACCTGTTCTTTTTCCCTAGGGCTTGCTGTATGGGACAGTTTCTGGTGCTCATTTCGAATTTATTGATAGTGGGAACCGCATTATGCATCTTCCATGGACTTCTTAGAGAGCAGAATAGTTCGTTGACCTAAAATGACCCAGGTCAGCCTTTTGTGTTTTAGGAACATACTGCCTAGCGTAGTCTTTGTCGCTTATTCAAATGCAAAACTCAGAGCAGTCTTGCATCATTTTGTTCACCATGACCTTCAAAAGGTCAAACAACGTCACTGACATTAAATAAGCATGTGGCCTTTTGCATAGAAACAGTAATCTTCGTTCTGGGGGCACTTTTGAGACCAACCTGGAATTTGGCCTTGCTTGACTTTATTTGACCAAAGGTCATGACCTAGAAACCTCAAACTTTGACCTAAGTGAGTTCACGTACAAGTCGACATTCTGTTTGTAGCTTAGTTGCCGAGACCTTAGGGGGGTCAAATTGACCCCCCCCCCCCCCCCACCCGAGCGAAGGGTATCTAGGCGGCTACCCGGGCACGTGTTAAGGGATTTTTTCTCTGGTAGTTCTGGGATGCGGTAAAGCTCCTCACCGAGCCTGAACAGAGCAACTGGAACGTCACCTTCTGGAAAAGATTGCAGCGGTTTAACTGTTAAGTCTCGGTGATACCTTAGGGCGTTGTACGTCATGCAGAGATCACCATCAATGACATCTGCGTGGCAGATGTACGGGAGATGTATTCCCGATGATCAGGTCGTTGCTGATGGGCATAACAACCATGCTGTTTCAAACACTTAGCATTTCGTCAGGGTCATCACTTGTGTCATCTCATGTGTGCCATCCGCCATCGCATGCGGGCCATCAGTCACCACGTACGTGCCATCAGCCATCACATGTGTGCGGCCATTACCGCGCCGCACGCGTGGACATTGAGATCGGTCCTGATGGCCTGGGGCTGCTCACTTAGGTTCACCGACAACCTGGAGGCGAAGGCCATCAAGCTGCAGGAGAGGTACTACATCCTGCGCCCGGAGGTGATCGAAAGCTACTTCGTGCTCTGGCGGCTGACCGGCGACAAGAAGTACCGCGAGTGGGGATGGGAGGCGGCTCAGGTACGGCTCGTGACGGCGCCACTGGACGCGGTGGGAGGCGGCTCAGGTACGGCTCGTGACGGCGGCACTGGGCATGGACAGCCATTCGCACCATCCCCGCTCAGGTGGTCAGCTTCAGTACCGGATTGCTGTCGGCTTGGAGTTTTTGCTACTAGAAGTGGAGAGGCCTTTGTTGTATGGAAAGATGCGTGTGGGCCGGTGTTGTGCTGGCCTATGCATTTGCTCTATTTTACGTGATCGAGTCCCGTCTCGAGCGGACGCCGTACACGCATGTGTTCCGATATCACGACTTAGCCTTCCGCACATCGATGGACGAGTCAACATTGTGGTACCGTCTTCATCCCACACTTACATAGCACTACTCTTGGCTGGCTGTGGTCTGACGTCGTCCGTCGGCGCGCGCGAGGCCGCCTGTCGCCCGTCTCCGTCAGCGTGCGCACCTCCACCGTCTGCGTGTCCATGGCTCGTGTCCGTGCGTCAGGCGATCGAGCAGTTTTGCCGCGTGGAGGCTGGCTTCTCGGGCATCCAGGACGTAGAGTCGCCGGCTCCGCGCCACGACGACGTACAGCAGAGCTTCTTCCTGGCCGAGACCCTCAAGGTGGGGCCAGCAGCCGGCCCGCCCGCCCACTGGCGGCCCGGGCGATCCGACCGGTCGGGGGGGGGGGGGGGGGCTGGCCGGCGGAGGGCCGCCGCCGGCCGCTGGTTTGGACTATGTGTGGCCGAGGAATTGTTGGCCGTATGGGCCTCGGTTTCCCAAAAACGGATCCCAGGAGCGGGTACTCGTAGCCTGATGGGAGGCGGTGGGCTCCCTTTGGTGGAGTCCCCAATACGCATGTCTTATTTACGTGTATGTTTGTATGGAGATCGGGCACCTTTGGGTTCGGGTATCTGATATCGGTCTCCGATCTCATCGGGAGAGCTGCTTGAGAACGCCGATGTGATCGTCAAATATTTGTGTGGCGATGAGATCTTTGACAACCACATGGATTATGATGTCACGTTTCTGGTGCTTGTCGGCACCGAAACCAGGGGCTCGTCGAGTTGCTGCGTTTTAGCCTCTATTGTTGTCCTCAAGCCAGTGATGTTGCGTAACTGCCGTCCAGTGAGCGCACTCCGTGTTCCAGTACCTGTACCTGCTGTTCAGCGACAACAGCCTGCTGTCGCTGGACGAGTGGGTGTTCAACACGGAGGCGCACCCGCTGCCCATCAAGGGCGTCAACCACCGGTACCGCCAGCTGAGTGGCAGCTAGGCGGCGCGGCAGCCGGCCTCGCCCCATCCTTCCGCCCGCTGGGCGACGCCTCGTCCCACCCGACACCCGCCGCCGCCAGGTGGCGGGCCAGGCGGCCGGTCCGCTGCAGGGGCGCTGCGTGCAGCTGTGCCGGGCGGGCGGGTGTCAATAGGCGCAGCAAGAGCTGGCGCTATGTTGGGAGCAGTTGTGAGAAAGTTTGTGCTGTTTCTTAGGTCGGGCTGGACGCACCTGTTTTGCCTTGCACTTCATGTTACGGACCACGAATAGGACGAGTTTAGTGATGACTAGTCAGACATACGCGACACGAGGCGCACACGACGAGGAATGCTTTGGTCTTGAAAAGTCTCGTTATGGTGGCTATTTGGCTTTCACTTTTTTCATAACGTTTTTTTTTAGCTGCATAGCTGTTTTGAGCCAGATATGCCTTTCAAATATTTTACATTTCCCCAATTAATATTTATCCAGCAAACAGGTTGTCCAGGGAATTTGTTTCAGAGATCCTTTGTAGGTGGTCGGTTTATCGGATTTGATGTAAGCTACGTTTTAAAACAAGGCGCCGCTCAATCTTGCATTGAAACATACAGTGGATATTTTAAAAATGTAAGTAAGCTCAGGGTGCAAATGGTCAACAGTGTTGACGTGTGTACTGTATGACGTATGTACTATGTACGCACGGAAACGAACACTGGCCGCATTATCTCGGGACTCGCCGGCGACTGATTCGCGCCGCATGCGGTTGAAATGGCAGCTATCTTAGGAACACAAGTGTTGACCGATCGGTCTGGTCAAAACGCGCGGTGCTGCGTTTGTGAGCTGCCTGATGCACGCCGCAGCATACAAATGGGGAAGGCTCCGCGTGAAGGTGGCAGCTCTTGAGACCAATGTCCGGCTGGACGGCTCAGTAGAGCTCCGCCTCCCGTCTAACGGCGGCGCGTTTCAGACCACTACTGTCCATATGCACTCTGTTGTGTTCTCGGCGATGTGGCTCGTCGGCTGACATTCCGGGCGTGGGCGCCCGCCTGGGTACAACACATGGTATGGGGTGTGGGGACGCCGCGGTTCAGTCAATGTCTCGGCTCACATGATCGCCAGCGTCCGTCCCCGATGGTTCCTCGCGACTGGCACCATTCCACGACGCCGGCTGGAGCTTCGGGCGGTGAGCTGCAGTGGCGTGCCGTGAGCAGGTAGCCCGGGACGTGCAGTGCCGTGGAGCCTCGAGCGGTGGGCTGCAGTAGCGTGCCGTGAGCAGGGAGCCCGGGCCGTGCAGTGCCGTGGAGCCTCGGGCGGTGAGCTGCAGTAGCGTGCCGTGAGCAGGGAGCCCGGGAGCCCGTGTAGTGCCGTGTCTCGCCTGCTGACGCGACATGGGAGCAGCAGCGCTTCCCTCCGCACGCGCCGTGGTCGCGCTTCCTCGGAGACTGCGGTGAAACCCGTCCGTCGCAGAGTGGCGACTCCGGCCGGTCCTCCGCACCGCGTACTCTGTGGCTGGGATTGACACGCTCCCTCGCTGGGGCCCGGCTGAAGGGTATCTGGGGAGTCGGGTCCGTCGGCGCCGCGTGCCGTCTGGTCCCTGGCGTGCGGGTGTGTGCTCGGGGTATGTGGGACTTGGGAGGGGAACGTTCCGGACCGGCCGTTGGCACTGGGTGTGATCTTCCGCGCCAGGGGCGTCTGCGCGCCCCCCGCTCACGGGATACGGCTATTATTTGTGATGCGAAGATGCTCTTTTCGTACGTGATTATATCGTGTTAAGAGATTGTGACCACCGGTAATATATCAGGAATTTTCACAGCTGTCTGGTATGTCTTTGATTTGGGTGTGGTTTATTCGGTTGATGTTTCAGAAACGATCTTGGGAACGGTGAATGTGGGTTACACTTGGAGTGCATGTCGCCCATTGGGTGGATAACCCAGCGAACGGCACTGGGCAAAAACATCAGGAGGTCGTAACGGGACGTCAGTTCTGACGAGCGCACGAGCCGGACACGTTTTTCAGCGACGGTTTCCTCCCGCTTGGCAAACCAAACACCTTGTTTCTGTAGTCTTTGGCAAACCATCGCGTGGTTAATACAGAACCGCCGTCCCACGGCTATTCGATGTGTGCTCCCTCAAAAAGATCAGTAGTTAGATGCGCCGTGAATAACTAAGGGTAGATAAGAACTGCCTTCGTAAGATATGAATGCATGATTTCCAGGCAATGATTTCAAGCATAGAATTCCTTTCAATAGAATTTCTCTGTCTGGAAAGATGCCCTTCAATATGTCATTATTTGATTGCGTCATCGTACCCTGCACAACGTTGATCTAGACGTCGTTGACGGCCGTTATACTTGGAGATCACACTCACCAGCGCCAGATATGTACGACTCGACAATTATATCTGTATCGGCCTTGGCCGCCGCATGACCAATAGAATGGCAGGATTTGAAAGACGCTTTAAAGTCGTCATAGATGCCCGGGTGACCTCGAAATAGCCTGCACAAATAGCCTGCATATCTTCGCGGGCGTGTAGCTCAGAAACGAGAGGTATAACGGTCTTGCGAAGAGCAGGGCTGTGAACTGCACCGAATGATCTTCAAGATGGTTATTTTAGTTCAAAACCCCATACAAATGTGGAGCACTCCCTTTCACTCACGTGAATAATCTTTCGGAACGTTTAAAATGTTTGAAATTTCACTGATCACACCTTTATGAACCGGCTAATAACCTCAGTTTTGTACGCATTGGTCTACGTCCAAGCGCGTGAGTTCCGCCGAATTAAGCCGTTCTTTTGCGGAAGGGCACGACGATGGTTATTAAAACATGAGAACGATGCATGTAGATGTCTGGGGGCAGGGTTGGCCAAGGTTCCATGTGGCCATCTCAAATAAAGCGAGGCTAATGCTGTAAAAAAGTGCTGTACACCAATGAATGTGGGCTATGGTGGGAACACTGCTTAAGAGACCTCATAATTGTGCAAGGATTTACTTTCTTGCCTTTCGGCCGCCTTGGCATGCTAGCTGATGTTCCCCGTGTTCAATGTTGCCGCACATATTCCTCTGCTGGAGTTGCCCGCTCACAAGTACCGTGATACCTCAGGTCGCCGTACAAACAACATCTCTACGAGTTGTCATGTGTTTGGTTATCGTTTACGTCACTTCACCTTCACCTTCTTTTCTCTTGACGAGGGTCTGACAACCCTTCTCACCGTAAATACACAAACGAACACGATCAGCGAAACGACCGCCACGAAAGCAAGGCAGACATCCAGCAGGAAGTACTGCATCCAGTTGAGGTTGCCGTCCAGCACGCGCAGGTGCTCCGGGGCGCCGTGGGTCGACAGAAACTCGATCCAGTGGTGAACTCGGTCGGTGGCCGTCTCTCTCTCTGACCTCCAGATGGCCGAGGCGCGCCGGGTGCTCGCCCGGTAGCTGCGAGCAGGGTCGGTAACGCACAATATAGCGGGAGAGACGACGCGCAAACACCGGTTATAATTCTTACGCCAGCAACTCAGTGCGACCTGGCTCGGTCTGTCCCTGCCGGCCTACTCTACTTCGACCTGACCCCACCTAACCACATCCAATTGGGCCGGATCCGATCCGATTCGATCCGATCCGATCCGATCTAGTCCACTCCGATCCAAACGGAGCCGAGCCATGCCAAGCCGAACATACCGCTCTTTTGGCGGGTTTGTCTGTTTCAGCTTGCCGAAAACAGATGCATGTGTATTCCGGAGGAGCCAGCCGTGCATAAGGAAAGAAAGATCGCAACTTTGTGGCCTTCACGAGACATTGTTAGTGACATCTGTCTCGTAGTATAACATACTAAATTTGGCATGTACCAGCAACCGAAAGAACTCACCGGAAAGTAATACGAATAGAAACAAAAGCGCGTATAATACGATAATACGGCATATAAAGCGCGTATAATACGATATTTACCTATCATTGCTGAGAAGTTTGTCGATGGCCGCTTGGAGATCGCTTTCACTGGCATCAAAAGTGTCCATTGCTATTCCATATCCACGATAAGCCATGAACTTTGCGTTTTCGAACTGATCGCCAAATACTGGAACGCACACTGAAATGAACGGCATGGTCAACAATCGTACAACAGTCAATATATGCTTGAAGACGCCAATTGCAGGCATGTCTTAATGTGAATAATCTTAACTTGCGGCTTAAATACGCGTCACGCTATTTGCATCAAATAAATGGTAGAACGTTGGGTAGTTCCATGTTATCTCATTTGACTCATATTGTGCCTGCCTATTTTGCCAACGATGCCCGATTTTTACTTCCTTTGCACGTTTAACGACATGGTACATTGCTAGGCTTTGAAGAGCACAAAGAGCGCAGTGCTATTGTGCGGTGCAAGAGCACAGCTATTGATTCTATGTATAAAGCTGATCAAATTATATGTAACTACATAAATTTGATGAAATCACGGAGATTCGCAGGCACGGGTGTGTCGTGCGCAGCCATGACGGCAATGGCTGTGGTACGGGCGTGGGGAGCGCCTTACAGAGCGGTACGCCGCAGTAGACGGCCTCCATCACGCCTCCGATGCCGCAGTGGCTGACGAACAAGCGAGCCTGGCGGTGCCCTGCAACACGGCCCGACCGGGATCTCACAGGGGCTCCTGGTGCGCCGGCCGGTGCCATGGCGCAGCAGCTGGCTCTCACATTGTCCGTTCGAACTCAGCAGCGACAACGGAAAAGGTCAGGAGCTCTGGAGACCACTAAAAATGGGCGATAAAAATCACAGCACTTTGTTTGGGAACACTACGCTTAATTCCCGGCTGCCCAATGTATCCAGTTTGGCTACGTCGCAGAGCTGGCGGGCAGTGAGAGTCGGTTTTGCTTACCGAGTGTGTCAAGCTGAGGAAGCCAGTCCACCAGGAGGACGTTGTCAGGGACGGCGATGTGTCGGCGCTCGGTGGACAGGCGGAGTCGCATCACCACCTACAAAGTGGACGCAGCATGCTGACCAGCGTGCGCGTCACCACCTACAAAGTGGACGCAGCATGCTGACCAGCGTGCGCGTCACCACCTACCAAGTGGACGCAGCATGCTGGCCAGCATGCGCGTCACCACGTCAAGTGGACGTAGCATGCTGACCAGCGTGCGCGTCACCACCTACAAAGTGGACGCAGCATGCCGGCCAACGTGCGCGTCACCACCTGCCAAGTGGACGCAGCATGCTGACCAGCGTGCGCGTCACCACCTACAAAGTGGACGCAGCATGCTGGCCAGCGCGTGCATCACCACCTGCCAAGTGGACGTAGCATGCTGACCAGTGTACTGACCAGCTTGCGTATCGTTTCCTACCTGCATGCTGACCAGCGTGCCCCTGTTGAGAGCGTGCGATGCTCTCAGGCAATTATGACAAGGCAATATTGCTCACAGTGAAATGCTTGAATCGAAAAAGATTATTTTCCGATAACATTTGTGGCAGTCATTCGTTCTGGATGCAGCATCTGGCATTACACATTCAGTGGTGGGGAGCAGGATTAGATGCTGTTTTTTGTTCACGCTTGGAATGTTTCCTATTATTGCTTAAATAATGCCAAAAAGCTGCGCACTGGCGTGCATGTGCTAGGTAGCCAAGACCTTTTGCTCCAGTCTGGAGAAGATCCTCATGAATCTTTCAATAAACCGGACGGGAATAAGCTCCGGGTCATACAGTGTGATGCCCATGCAGAAGATAATGACGCCGTGCTCCCCAGAGCTCTTGAAGAACGTCTCCAGATTCTGGAAGTGACAAAATTGCGAACTTCAATGGCAGCGGGTCTCCGCCTGATGCAAGAGTTAGACAAAACAAGGGTCCGCATCAAGCAGACCTGGCATAAATTCCATGCACCTTTTAAGACTCATCGGATCTCGCTGAAGTCTGACAACAATCCATGTTCATTTACAATCCTCACCTGATGCAGAGGCTGGGGAGGGGTGCTCTGAACACAGCCATCCTCACCCGAGCAGAGGTCGAGGGTGCACTGGACACAGCCATCCTCACCCGAGGGAGAGGTCGAGGAGGAGTGCACTGGACACAGCCATCCTCACCTGGGGCAGAGGTCGAGGAGGGGTGCACTGGACACAGCCATCCTCACCTGAGGCAGAGGTCGCGGAGGGGTGCACTGGAACAGCCATCCATCACCCGAGGAGAGGTCGCGGAGGAGTGCATGGGACACCAGCAATCCTCCACCTGAGCAGAGGTTCGAGGAGGGGTGCACTGGAACAGCCATCATCACCCGAGTGAGAGGTCGCGGAGGGGTGCACTGGAAAACAGCCATTCCTCACCCGAGGCAGAGGTCGGGAGGGTGCACGGACACAGCCATCTCACCTGAGGACGGAGGTCGCGGAGGGTGCAACTGGGACACAGCCATCTCACCCGATGGAGAGGTCGAGGAGGAGTGCACGGACAAGCCATCCTCACCTGGGGCAGAGGTCGTCGAGGAGGGGTGCACTGACCCAGCCATTCATCACTGAGGCAGAGGTGTCGCGGAGGGGTGCTGGACACAGCATCCTTACCTGGGGCAGAGTTCGAGGAGGGGTGCACTGGACGCAGCCAATTGCCTGCATGTTAGGCGGCAGCAGCAGCGATGGGTGACCAGAAGTTGGGGTGTACAGCGCCATGGTCAAGGTTTCGGATCAGGCTGCACTGGTCGGCAGCTCCGGGTGGTAAGTCTGCGCGGGAGAGGGACAGCTTCTCAGCGGAAGCATCGATGTGGGACAAGGACCAGAAGGTAGCTCTTTAATTTTCATCATGAGATTGGAAAAACACAGCATAGGTGCGTGTCATTTCACAATGAGTGAGGTGTGCACATATCTCCTCGAATGTGCTTGGGGTTGTAATCTCATGGCTGGTGTAGGACCCGGATTACACATAGTACACATGTAAACTACAACTTGCAAATAAACACCCCGATCGCATGACATACCAAATGACCGTTGTTTTAACCTCAGGATTGCTAATGATGTTACGCGAAAGTTCAAGCCAGGCGTTTCGGAAACGCATGAGGTGCTATTCGTCACGCGAGTAATGGATTTATGTAAGCGGACTGTTCCACATTCGTCTGGGATTTTGAACTGACTTAGTTATTTTCAAGATCATTTCCTGCGGCTCACAGCCATGCCATTTTTAGGATTTAAACTTTTTTGTTTCTGAGCTTGAAACACGCAAATTTGTGTGGTTTATTCCTCGCCGCCTATTTGAAAATTAACCAGACACGTATGACGCCTTAGAAACGTCACATGAATATTCCCACTTAATTGACAGTTGTGCTCACGGTTAAAATAAATATACCACTGAGATGTTCGAGTAGCAGTAATTGACCCTGACCATGTCTCAACCATTTAATTTGATTAATTTCGACGCATCGTCATTCTTCGTGATCGCCATTTCAAACTAACGAAAACTTAGATACATTGACAACGGCCAGTGCAATAGATGCCGACAGAACGACGTTCGTGCATAGATTGAAGTATAAAGCTAAACATAACCTGGGTGTGCAATGTAGGATACGTCGCTTAGCGTATGCCATAGATTTGGTGATCGGTAACTGAACTCAGGGAGGTGCGTATGATACAGCAGCGAATGCGTTTAAGATTTAAATGAATGCTATGTTCAGTGTAAGGAATTCAAGGACTTGTATTGCATTCCGCTGTCAGAATGTGTTGGCTGTTAGGAAACAATGCAACGTATTCTTTAGGGAACTAGTAGAACAATTCTACCACGTCCCGGCTTCGAACGCGCGACCTTTCGATTTTAGAGCCGGGACGTTACTGATTGAAATGCTTGGACCATTGAGCATGCCTCGAAAGTCGGAAAATTCGCGGCGTACTGTGCATGAAAACTTTGACGCAGTACGCCGTGAGATTCTGGCTTCTGTTAACAAAGCGATGGCTAATGGATCGGCGCAAGATAATTAAACGACCTTTTTTGGTGCCGGGTTAATCAAAAATCGAGCGATAGAAATAAGGTCAACACGTAAACTCTATGGACCAGTCGGAGAAGTACGCCGTAGAGTGGTAATGCTACAAACGTACTTCGGTGCGAACTGGATAACAGCAGCCCCCGGAGAAATTGCAAGACCACGAGGGACAGATGCGCTCTCTTCTCAGCCCACTATTTTAAGTGCACCCGGACACGCATTAGAAGTGCCCGTAAATACGCTCTGGCGGTGACTGAAGATGCGATACGCGGTCAGATACTTTCTACCAAGGATTACGTACAAATGCGTTACATTTAAAGACACTTTACCTGACGCTTAACTTTCAACTGCTCGCATTACAAGCATGACGATAATATTTCTTTTCTGCACGCTTTAAAAGGAGTGCCCAACATTTGCTTGGGGTTTTGGACTGCAATAGCGATCTTGAATGTTATTTAGTGCATCTCACAGCCCTGCCCTTCTTAAGACCTAAACCACTCAAGTTTCTGAGCTACATGCACACGAAGATGTGCAGATTATTTCAAGGTCACCCAGGTACTCATGACGCTACTATCATGTCATTTAAATCCTGTCATTCCGCTGGCCATGCGGCGATCAAGGTTCAGAAAATATAATCGCCGAGTCGCTTATATCTCGCGTTTGTGAACACGATTTCCAGATATAACGGCGTCAGTTGGCGCTTAATTAACGATGCGCAAGGTACGATGGCACAAACAAGGACATATTGAGAAACAAAGTTACTAAAAAGAGAAATTGCGTCGTCAAGAGCAGTCTTTTCCCTTTTCCACTTAAGATGCGCTCGGGTGGATGTCAAACTGACCCCTGAAGGTTTTTTTTCTCCAAAATGGTTCCCAAACGACGCGGCGTAGCCGCGCCAAATTATCCATAGCTACAGACAATGGAATAGCGGATCGTTTGACATGACAAATTTAGATGTACCTTGTAAGGAAAGGACACCAAACTAGAATTTGACCTTGTACGACCTTATTTGACCTGAAAGTCATGACCGAGGAACCTCAAACTTTGACCTAAAAGAGTTCACCTACAGGTCAACACACCCTGCAAATTTGGTGTTTCTAGCTTTCTTAGTTCTTGAGATCTCAGTGGGGGTCAAATTGACCCCCACGCGGGCGAGGTGTATCTAGCCGGCTACCCGGGCGCGTGTTAATCATACCAATAGTTACAACTGAGATTATTCCATCACATCTGGTGCTTTCTACAACACCTTCAAATGCGGAGCGTTCCCTTTAACACGCGCTCGGGCGGGGGGTCAAATTGACTCCCCCTCCCGAAGGTTTTCCAGAATGGTCTCCGAACGGCGTGGCGTAGTGGCGCCAAATTTTGCATAGCTGTAGTCAATTTAATAGCGGATCGTCTGACATAAGAAAATTGAAGTGTACTCTGCAAGGTTGCTGGCCTATTGCGGGTCAAAGCTAGGCCATGGTTTCAGCGAAGTCAATTTATAGGGAATCGTTCAATCTAATGCAACAACGGAGTATCAGACGAAGCCATACATCTCTGAAATGCTTTCTTAGTCAACTCAACAATTGAATAAGCAAATCACATTGACCTAAGGTCGGGTATGACCGTCAGACCAGGGTCGAAACCGGTCTGCTTTGTTACCCTAGGGTTTGCTGAATGGAATACTTTCTGGTGCACATTTTTAATCTATTGATAGCAGGAACTGCATTCTACATCTACATCTTCCATGAACTTCTTAGACGTCAGAAAAGGTCATTGACCTAAAATGACCCTTGTCAACATTTTGTTTTTAGGAACATAGTGCCTAGCGTAATCTCTGTCGCTTATTCAGATGTAAAACTCAGAGTAATCTTGCATGATTTTGGTCACCATGGCCTTCAAAAGGTCAAACAAGGTCACCGAACTTAAATGGGCACGTGACCTTTTGCTTAGAAACAGTTATCTAGGTTCTGTGGGCTCTTTGGAGACCATCCTGGAGTTTGACCTTTTTTTACCTTATTTAATCCCGAGGTCATGACCTAGGAACCTCAAACTTTGATGTAAGTGAGTTCATGTACAGGTCGACACACCCCGTGAATTTGGTGTCTCTAGCTTTCTTAGTTTCCGAGATCTCATAGGGTGGTAAACTTGACCCCCCACCCGAGCGAAAGGTATCCAACCGGCCACCCGGGCGCGTGCTAAGTTACGCTCTGATCACAGCCGCTGACCTGCACGTAAATGTCGGAGACGGCGAGAAGGTAGCGAGAAACCAGCTTGAAGCCGAGGATGACGAAAGCGTTGTGCAGTCGCTGCAGCAGACTCATGGGCGGCGTCAGGCCGGTAAACTGGGCCACCACCGCCGACGGCATGTTCACCAGACCCATCAGGTTGCTCTGAAAGCCGGTCCGGTCAGCGCAAGCGGCCCGGAAAGACCTCTTTGGGACTTTTTTGCGGTCTCGTATTATAAACATGTCGCGTGCGTGCTCTGTAGTCAAAACTATGGTCTTTTGACTCTGCCTAAAAACTGTTGCATCTGAGGCTTATGTTGCTTTGTTCCGCCGACTTTTCGGAATGTAGCTGGTCTGAGAGTTGTTCTCATTCCAGTGTTGACGCGCCTGGGTGCGAAAAGTTTCACGCCCATCAACACGTCGACCCTTTCGGCGCACCAACATCGTTTCACGCAATGGAACTCGGCCCTACCACTCGAAGCGTAGCCATGGTGTGCCCATTCCTCCACCTGTACAGTCCTACCCGATAATCCACGGACGAACCCATGCCGTGTCTCCATGGCATTGAAACTGGTTGCCATACCTGATAATATAAGCTTTACTTGTGACATGCATCGAGCTTGAAAAAGCGGCGTCAAAGACGTACAAGCCAAAGTTAACAGTGTCTTGCTCTTATCCATGGCCAGCTCTCGGCAGTCACCAGCCTATCTGCCGCCATCCAATCTATTTCCCTAAATGCCTCAGCTCAACTCCCTGAGCTCAGTCTGCTATGTGTGTTCTGGAAAGCTGTGCTGCCCACCCTGTCCAACTTTGTCGTTTTCACGCGACATCTGTCTAGGCGGCAATAACTGCGTCGTTTTCCCAGTAAGTCGACAGATCTCCCAGTCCCGTTGCCGTAGTCGCCAGCACAGCGGCTAGCAGCCAGTGGCGCCTCCTCCGGGATCGTATCCGACGTTGTCTTTGGGGCGGGGTCAAAGGTCACATTTTTCGAGCTCCAGTGAATTTGGACAGGATTCATGCGAAATCGCCTAAAATCTAACGTAAATCCCTTGGTCTAAGAGGAACATAGCCCCCCCGTGCTCTCCCTCCCCCCCCCCCCCCGTTCCAGCCAGCTCGAGTCACGTGCCTGCTCGCTGCCGACGACGCTGACAACGTACAGCCCGACGACGGGCAGCCGCAGCGCGCGCGCGAACGCCACGCCGCACACGTTGCAGTACACGTCGACGATGGCCACGTCGAACCGCCGGCGGCGCATGCGGCGCAGGAGGCGCTGGTCGCCCAACAGATCTTCGCAGTAGGTGTGCGGCTGCTGGGCTAGGTCGAGCGCCACGCCCAGCGAGCTGGCGCCGCGCCAGGCGCCGCTGGAGACCGGCTGGAACACGCCGGCCGCGTCGAAGCGCCGGTGACGTAGCGCGGCGTTCTTGACGCGGCGGCTGATGATCTCCACGCTGGAGTTGGCCGGCACGAGGTCGCTGAAGGCGTGCAGCCATCTGCCGGCGAGAGGGAAACGCTCGCCGACGTCGGGGAAACACAAAGAAGCAAGGAGGTGGGGGGAAGGGGGGGGGGGGGTCTGTTCGCGTCGTTTTGACGTGGGGGAGTCAAGCGGATAAATGTCATGCAGCCGATGTGCTTGCTGCCTTAACATGCAGGACATTGACATCGCAAAATGAATTTCAAATTTATGCTATTTAAATCCGCGTGCATTATCACTCAAACAACACCTGTCACCTGGCAAGAGTCATATGAGTCTAGGCCAGGCTAAGACCGTTGTCAAATCTGGGCTCTACAAGATTTCAAAGTCCATCAGGCCCTAATAGCATGGCATCAGGCAGACACCCAGACTCTGCAGCTGACCTGAAGCACGTCGGTAAAGTCTGACCACCGGTATCCCCACTCCGGCGTGCCGCTGACCTGACCTCAGTCTTCACCGTCCACAGATCTGACCTCAGTCCACACCCTCCACAAACCTGACCTGGGTGATGTGGCACGCTGCACAGGACCGACCTGACCTCTGCGCGTGGCCACCGACCTGACCTGCCCTGACCTGACCCGCTCTGACCTGATCTGGGTGACGCGGTGTCCGCGCTGCACCAGCTGCTCGCCCAGCCGACGCATGACGAACTCGTGACTGCCGGTGCCCACCATCTGCACGAGCAGCACGTTGCGCGCGGCGCACGCGCCCAGCACCAGGCTCCAGAGCAGGCCGGTGTGGTAGAGCCGGCCCGGGTCACGCGCCATCTCCGCCGCTGTCGGACCCGGCACACGTGGATACGTCGACAGGGCATGTGGTGGGTCTGTTGGGGGCTAGCGTACGGAGACCGCGTGATCCGTGCCCTTGAAAAGTGGCCCCGTTCTGGTGCCGTGAGTTTAAGGAGATGCTTGCAGGGGGGCATCCAGGATGTCGTCAAGGGAACAGGGACCCTAATTATTATTGGTTGAAAGTATCTGTCCTCTGTCAGTCCATGAGTCACTGGTGTTTGGGCCGACAAATTTTGGGACGCTCTAATGCCCTTGCATTACAAAATGCCTTTTGTGCACGTGGTATAATTACCTGCAATGCCTTATAGTATGGTGCCATTGTGATATGATGTAATCATACAGTGTAATGATTCGATTCAACACTCGTTTGATAACTGTCATATAAGTGATAACTATCATAGAGACACGTCGGTCACCCCTGACCATGAGCACAGCTGAAAACGTCGAGCATTCTCATCATGTATCCCAATGTTTGTTTGATATCTGTATCTAACTAGTACCTTCAAGTAAGTTCGTTAATTTCAGCATAAATGATTTTTTCAGCATTACGTGTGTGTCTTCGTTTTGCACATCCTGCACAATGGGCACAGAACGCAAGGCCTTAGTAACATCGCAAAACAGGTCTGCCCAAAACGGGTCAGTCGGTTCTTGCCGCGTTTGACACACATTTTCATATTTCTGCAGAAGCCTTACTCGCTTCCCCTTCGAAGGTTGTATCGGCTATTGAGCTGGTCACGAATATCCTCAAAATGTTTCTCAAATTTTGGGAAAGATGTGCTCCTTGGTCACCTAGCCCAATTAACTTCACGGCACCACAGCGATAATTCCCGCCGCACAGCACAGTTTGGACATGTTTAAACTTCATCCTGAGTGGCGAGTGGACGCAAATAACCATGGCAGCTGATTCGCCCTTACAACCTAATATCTGACCAACTAGCAGGGGAGATCGATGCGAGCCCCACATTATTTCTGAGGACGTCTCTCCGTCATGTTGTACAATCGTGTTCAAATTTCGACAGTCTTTGAAGGCATTTATTGCGCGTGTTTTGACACCAAAAACGTGTTCCTTGCCCATCTGGTTTCCGAGCAGTGACGGATTTTTAGGCAAAGAGCAGAGTAATCCACGGCAGGCGCGGGCGGCCGGCGGCGGGCGGCAACCGACGAGTTCGCTGACCGTGCGCCGCGGGTCAGCACCGTAACATTAACAGAACCCTACATCACGAGTATAACCTCAATGCATATTAGGTGCATTAATGTGGTCATAATTAAACAAGCAACATGCCTCCGTAAGTTTCATGTCGCTATGTGCCATGGTTTCGCAATGATGGGCGTGTAAAGCTGACAAACTGCGATTTGGGGGGAAATTGTATCTTGACCTGACCACCCGCCTCCCCACCCGTTTCGCGCCGTGAGGAAGCTCAGCTGCCGTATGGATAGACTGCGCCGCCAAACGAGGGTGGACCAGGTTTACTGGAGGGGACCGGCTGTCGATGCATAGGCTGTACCGCAACGCAGCGACGCCGCGGGCCGCCGGTGCTTGGCCACCGCCACTCGCGAGGCGGGGGCCGCCACATTCGTTGGCTGTGCATTTACATACGGCTGCATGGTATCCACGAGCAAACGCATTGATCAGGTGGACGGCTGTGTGCACCTGTACAGGAGACATCCAATGATTCCTCTCATCACTGATATTCAATGTTCCATCGTCGCAGAAAACCAGGCGGCTCAACGCATGTAAACGGCCTTACCGAACTGGATATCAAGGCATGCACACCTAATCCTTGATGCGTACAATTAACACGTTCTGTTCTTATATATTCTGTTCTTCTCTGCTCAGGTGCGCTCAGGGACGGGTTGGCCTCAGCCATCATGCTTGGCTGGGTCTGATAATGTCCTGTGTTATGCCAAGCTGTCTTTTCTGTTCTGTACTCCTGATCTGCAGAAAAGCCACCCAGCAGACGGTGGTGCGTGCCCAGCTCTGTACTCGTGCTTGAAGCTGGATGCAGGGCGGTGACAGAGCGACCATTTCAGCCGATTGTCATCACGAAAAATCCAAGTCTTGGAACGCTTTATCTTTTTGCAAGCAAAAATATTCGATGGTATTTAGGTTGGACAGTTCTCCAGTAGGAACGGCTAAGCGTTAGGGGGAAATGTGTTATTACCCGGTCGCAATAACATAAGTATCATGCAAAAACACGGCCTGGTGACTACGTCACAACCACTGTTATCCGGAACCCGTTTCCTACAAGGGACATGGCTTGCACTCCTATCAACTACTGGAGAAGATGCGCACCTATATGAAGGGCAATATTAAAATTGCTGCGCGAACTGTAACCAAAACATTCGCATACACCATGTTGAACGTTTTATGCGTTCGTCCTCACCAATACCTGATGAAAAAGTCCGGTGTCAGAAAACTGGTAGATGCTTGGACGACACTCTATTTGAACATACCACACATGCAGCTCGTCCTGAGGAACGTTAGTTAAGTGCATTCGCGAAGAACATAATTCACATAGATAAGACAGTGGTAATAGCCTTATTCCTCGTAGAAAAACCAGACTAATGGGGATATAGATACGCAGATATTGCGGCAGCATGCCTCTATCGAAACAAAGAGCAGAAGTGGTTTCTAATTTCTGAATCCACTTCTTTAAATTTACCAAACTCACAACTTTGAATCCACAAAACCTTGATTTCACTTCACAAACACTCTTCTGGTTACAATGTAAAAATAGCAATGACAGGAAGTGCCCCTCGTTAGAAAGTGAGCTATATCCGGCAATTTTGTGTTGGAAGGGACCTTTCACCATAAGGAGGCCTTTGTCAACCCTGTGCTCCCCCGACAAGGCTCGTTAACAAGTGAGCTATATACGAAGGCTTTCTTCAGGGGTCACCGTCAGGGGGCTTTTGTCAACGCTGTGCTCTCCTTGGCAAGGCTTTGGCTTCGTTTCTGCCTACATACAAAAGCATATCAAGTTGACTACGTAGAGTGAGGGGCAAATGAATGTCCGGTGGGCAAATTCATGCCTAAGGCGGGTAGCTTCCCGAAAGCTTGTTTTCTGCTGTGGTATAATGTAAGGGAAGGTAACCCGAAAATAGAGACTGTAGCAGGTTACTAATCTATGCTCTGCCCACCAATAAGTAGTGTTGCGTACCTACAAACATGCAGTAAATTAAGCATGCGATCAGTTTGTAGTCAGCTATGCGGGGACAGCTGGACTAGGGCAGGCACCGCCGACGGCAGACCAAAGCAAGGTTCTGATAAGGGATATCCGAAAGAAGGACCTTCATTCTGTGACTTGGTTTTTACAGGAGAAACCCCGATTTGATGGCTTTCGTAACATCGTTTTTGTCTGTTAGCTTTTGAAACTTCGGAATTTTCTCCAACTAAAATGCTGCAACAAATCTTACATCTTGAAAAATCCGGCGAAATTTGTGCACATGAGAACTCTGGCGCACTACGAGCAATGGCCCGCATTCTAAATTCTGATCAGTGTGCCTGGATCGTATTTTGGCACCTACCCTGTGTTGGCAAATGCCCTCCCAATGACCCAATATGGCTACCCTGCCGTGAATTTTCACTTCCTCAGGGAAAACATTGTTTGAAAGGAAGAGTAATCTCAGGAAGCTGGATTGTCTGATACTGGATGGCTGGATTACTTGCCAAATGGCATAGATGGGCTGAATAGGCAGCTAGTGGAAACAGCTGTAGATGCACATCCATCATAGCAATCATGCCATTTAATTGCTTCCAAAATGCGTTATGTGTGCTACGTGAATTAAGAGCGGACAATGCCCTCCATTCTCATTCCCTCCTCCCGGCCATCTGGCCTCCTTTCCAGCAAAAGTATATCCTGAGACTTCCCCGCACACTTTTTGAAATGTTCCTACGCTTATGCAATGGATGAGCCTATTTGACCAGACAAATATCGTGACATCACAGCATTTGCGTTCAATAACTCCAACGGTGTGGAATTTCAAAACGATGAAGAGAACTTTGAAATCGTTCAGCGTTTACATTCGCTCAAACATAGAGGCCTGTGTGTTACATGCTCCATGAAACATACGGCATTGCGCATAGTAATGAAAGGTGCACTTACCCTGTTTCTACTCCTCGCTGAAATCTTGAAATGCTGGTTTCAACCTTCAGACGTCGTTGTCCATGTTCGACCCGTGCTGTCGGAGCCGCTGTCGGTGACCAAAGGCCGCTTTCGCGCCTGCCAAGGCCGGCGCCGTGTCGCCCGGTGCCGGGCCCGCCTGGCTCCCCGCCCCGACCGTGATCTACGTGAGATTCAGGCACGCTGGCGGCCGGCGGCGGCCGATTACGCAACAAACGCAAACTGCGTCAGCTGATAAACTGCGTCCGCGTCCAAATGGCGTCATTAACGTTTGTCTTCTTTGCCTTATTTTGTGCGAACTATGCCCCAAGGCGTCGGAAGCAATGTAGATGCGCTGTTTGTTTGCGCTCTTAATTGGAGCTCGAGTCGGAAGAGGACAAATCAGGTTCTTCATGTTTCCAGCTCGCGTATTCCAACTGGTCGTTCAGAGAACTGTTTGTGATCCTGTCTGATGCAAAGTCAGCGAGCCTCCCTGTTGTCAGGTTACCTCTTTTTGATAATTTTATTGCTCCACAATCGGTATGTCCAAAAGACTACACCGATCAAGGCAAAGAACCCTGGTACCAGGGAAGCGGATTTCGGTAAAACATTTGGAGATGGAGGCGAAGACGCGACAACCCAGTTCCACCTTCAACAAATGCGTGTTTCTCAACGGTTCCAGTCCATTTGATTTGTATATACGGCAGATTTTAATCTCAGTTTTTTTTTATTTGTCGAGCAGTTCTTTATTTGGTCAGCTCATTGAGTGTGTCCATCACGGGATGCACAAAGAAGGAAAAATTTGTGTACGATTTAGGCTTTCTTTAGCTTTTCTGACATCCCAGCAAAGCAAAAAAAATATAAAAAAATGGCGAGCCCATCCCATTACTTGATGGCCTTAATCAACCCTGGACAGTCAGATTCCCCATAAACGAATGCAAACTGACACTGTTTCCTGGTGCCTTGTGCGCGTGCTCTAACCCCCGGCATTGCTCCGGTGGTCTGAAGTACCTGTGGCTACCGGCTCGGCGTGGAGTTGCCCTGAGGCGCTTCCCGACATCAAAGGAAAGGAGCGTCTGCACTATCACAACGGAGGGCGGCGCCTGGCGCCGACCGTCAGGGGGCGCGCGGTCCGCCGGGCCCGGGCCGCGCCGCGCGCCATACTCCTGAGATCCACCGATTGGCGGCAGCGTGCCGCCGTCTATAAAGCAGCCGGCGAGTCGAGAGTCGACGGCCTGCGCGCCCAGAGGCGGGCGAGTCATGACTCGCTCGTAGGCGCTGCCGTCGGTGAGTCAGGTGTCGCTGTCATTTCTGTCTTGGTGGAGTGGAAAAGCGTCTATTGAGGTATGACTTGCTGCATTTTTAGTCAACAATGACCAGTGTGAGAAAAGCAAAAGATTGTGCCACACATTTATATCTGCGTCTGTGTGTTTGTACGCCTGTATGCCTGTGCACCCGTTCTGGATGCCCGTTGTGTTGCATGTTCTGTGTATCTGTTCTGTACGTGTCTTATGCATAGTCATGAGAAACACCGTGCTTTCTGGCATTATCCACGTTATGCAGACGAATCAATGTTTCGAGTTACCATGTAACTGAATAACCCAAAAGGCGCAGCTCAACAGCTGTGTTGCGCATAAATAACAATGAGCCTTTTTCGAAGCATTGAAGGGTGGGGGTGGGGCTGGTAAGTACTAGAAGCTTGCCTCGGACTCACCATAAGCAAAGTGCAATTTTCGACGCATGAAACTGAGTGCGCAGCCTCAACATGTGTAGCAGATGCCATTTGTGTATGTACTATGCACCCTGCTACGGAGCTTGACGTGCGCAATGTGCTCCGTGTCTGAAGGCTGGCCGTGAGCATGCCATCCCCACGGGAGCCGCTGCTCCCTCGGCTCTTGCCGCTGCTGCTGCTGCTGCTGCCAGCTCCGCTGCGCGGGCACCGGATCCTGATGTTGCAACACCTGGGCACCAGCAGCCACGAACTAGTGCTGAATGACCTGGGGCAACAGCTGGCCGAGCGGGGTCACAACGTCACCCAGCTGCGGTAAGCACTGGCCTGGTCCTGGTACTGCCACCCAGCTGCACTGAGGCGCCCCGTCCTGGTCCCGCTGGTGTCAACCAGCTGTCGTGAGGTGCCCCGTCCTGGTCCCGCTGGTGTCATCCAGCTGCACTGAGGTGCCCTGTCCCAGTCTCGCTGGTGTCAACCAGCTGCACTGAGGCGCCCTGTCCGAGTCCCGCCTGTGTCACCCAGTTTGGCGAGGCGCCCCGTCTCAGTCCTGCTTTAACATCTCCTAGTTGTTCCAGCGCCAGCGTCTAGCATCTCTCAGCTGTCCCAGCGCCAACGTCTAGCATTTCCTGACTGTCCCAGTCCTGTGCACCGCTTGAGATAAGGTCGCTCAGTCTGGTCAGGGGTTCTGACCCGACCTCATTGCGACATGGAAGTCAGCATCCTTGACCTGCGGCAAAGCGCCTTAGTGACTCCAAGGCATGGACGGGCTTCAAGCACGCGTCGTCATGCCGCGCGTCGCAGGGTGGAGCACTTCGAGCACTCGCATGGTAGAGCTGAGAGCACTCGCTGAAAGCACTCACTCGCAGAGCTGAGGGTACCTGGCGCACTCGCTATCACGAGTGTTTGGCATTCGTTCGGCACATCACGGACGCAAGGACGGAGTCTGGTGAAGAAACATGACGCACACACCTCCCTAGAAAGGTGACAATGGTTTTTGAAGTCGTACACTCCTCAAAAAGCTGAAGTATATTTTATAGCGATACTTGAGAGAAACTAATCTTAAAGTGGTTCGACCAATGCTTTTTTGTGGCGCCCATTGCTTCTCCGGGGGAATAACATGACTGGAACTGCTCTTGATATTTTCCACAGGCATGTATATTAACGGAAGTGTCCCAACTTTAGAGCATATTGTAAGCACATATTCTGGTGAAATCCCAGGACCATTATATCTAATAATAGCACAATGGATAATGCCACCGCAGCACCATCAAGATACGATGAGGAGATGAATTTCCATCATTTTCGAGTCTAAATTACGCTGTAAACGCTTTGTACTAACACTGCAGTTCTTCCTCCGTTCGTAAACCCAGAATGTATCCCGAGTCCGTGACAAGTGCAGTTGTCGCGAACGCCGTCGTCATCACGACGGATGAATGTGGTGAGGGCCGTTGTCAGCTGTTACGGGTCAGAGGTGCCACTCTTGAGGTGTTTTAGCGCACATTGTGGGTTTGTGGGCTAAAAGGCGGCACCTGTACTGGTAGAGATGACGCCAGTACAAATGACTGTTTGTGATTGGCGCAGTGGGCGGAGAGGCCAGTTCTCGAGAAGCGCATCGGATGAAGTTTGAACCAGTGCGTTAATATAGGCCATGTGTCACTCCGTTTCCCACAGTCATAGTGCGTTTCGAAAAGAGCCACTGTGCTAAACGCCATAGACGAGAAATCAAAGCCATAGTATAGCGTTCCGTTGCATTCGCCAGACAAAAGCCTCATGTTTGCTCATCTTTGTTTTCTAAAAAAGTGACTCAAGCTTTAATGGCATATATTTTACATCTTTTTAATAAACTAGTGTGTTGCAAACATTACAGAACACACAAGCCGGAAAAAGCAAGACAAATTAAATGCATTGCTCTCACAGTGATGAGCATGCAGTACTACGAAATTTCCACCGCAGGAGCGGCTACTTCAAATACAAATTCCGGGCTATTCGGATAGATTTCGAGAAAACTGTTGGTACGGATAAAATCGGACGTCCCTGATCTAACGATAAGTGAAAAATAAAAAAGGTGGCATGTTCCCTTTAAACAGCGGGCGGGACGTCCGATTCCAGGGATAAACTCAGCAAGAATCTCCTCACGGTCACATGATTGGTTAGGTAAACGAAACAGGGAAAGTCCGTGCTGTATAGTTTGGGAAGCGCTCACAAGGCAGATTTCTGTGGTCTGGTCTGCTTGACGGGAAAAAGATCAGTTGCCGTACAACTTGCCGTTTTGTTTTGTATCTGCAGTCAAATTATATTACCTATAGCACAATGACTGCAAAATTAAATACCCATCGGCACCGAACAAACACAGCAAATTAAACGAATCGAATGCAGCACCCGTTCGTAGCTGCTTTTTGCCGCATCTACAATTTATCATGGTAGTCGCAAAATGACGGGAAGTTGTGATGCCTGTACGCCCGTGCCGGCTGTGTTGACGCCCAGGTTTATCTGCTCCACCCAGGGTAAAGTGTACCAACTCTCGGCCTCTGCCGGCCGGCGGGGTGGAGGTCATTGACCTGCCGGCGCGCACCCGCGGCCTCGGGGGCGCCTACTTCGATCGGGACGGCGTGTTCCGCGCACCCGTTCATGACGTGTGGCGCCGCACCCGGCGCTGGTACAACATGCCCGCCAGTCAGTACGTGTTCCAGATGTTCAAGGTGAGGCACTGGTACAACATGCCCGCCAGTCAGTACGTGCTCCAGATGTTCAAGGTGAGGCGCTGGTACAACATGCCCGCCAGTGAGTACACGTTCCAGCTGCTCAAGGCGAGGCGCTGGTACAACATACCCACCAGTCAGTACGTGTTCTAGATGTTCAAGGTGAGGCGCTGGTACAACATGCCCGCCAGTCCAAGCCTGCTCAAGACGCCCGAGATGACGTACTGGCGTCACTGCTCGTCAGTCAACAATCCCTTCCGACATTCACGTTGAGAGGCATGTTCAACTTGCCAGCGGCTCAGCACCTGTCGCAATACTGCATTATTCGCTTACGGTCCCCAACAGGGGCGCGGGCAGAAGACGCAGGAGCACGTGTCCCCTCCTTAGGTCTCCGGGACCGACGGTAAGCGGACCGATTGGAGGGTCTAGAGGACCCGAAGAGCCGGCTGGAAGTCGTATTAACCCTCACCCTGATGGAGGAGGGCGGTAGGCACGCCTCCGCCCCCCCTTTCCCAAGGTTTTCTGGGGATATTTTTCCGGCACCTCTGAGGATATCTATCTCTCCCCTCTGGCATATTCACCTATGTTAATACGTGGTTCTCGCTTAAGAACCGGGTTTTGGCATCCTAGTCATAGTACTCCAGGTAAGTACAACAATAATGCGGATATCTATTTTGTATAAAATAATGTTGGACAGTTGACCTACCAGATGCAAAATTACTTTGGCATTGTATTTGCAGGTTCTTCTTTGTTCTCTCCCTTTGTTAACCCTCGTTGAAACTGCTGGTTTTCATAACGCGAAATGATAGGGGCGTCGATGCGACCCTCCCCTCCCCTCCCCCTCCGCTCTACCATTTCCACACCAAGAACCTAGCAGAAAACAACAAAAGACTGGCCTCAGCCAGATTTGGCGGTTGGCCATATCTTTGTGCTTCGCTTTCTATAATCGGTCTCCTTATGCCAGGTAATTATGCGCGTGAAATTCGTGACATTCTTCGAAAGGGTACCCCACACCAACAGGGGACCCTACAAAGTAACGGTGCCCTCTTCTTATCAAGTCTGGCTGCGGTCCTGCCCCCCAGCATACCAATCGAGTTTCAACTTTGACCGACAGGGCTACTGTCAAACCCTGCTGGACGACCAGCAACTGTTCCATAAGCTGCAGCAGAAGCATTTCGACGTCGCCCTCATAGATCTCATGGGCAATGGGTGTGGGCTGGCTCTGGCGCACAAGCTCGGCGTCCCAGTGGTCGGCTTCTGGGTCATCAGCTTCACCGGCCCCGAGGTGGGTGCAGCAGCTGAACAACGTCTTAGAGGCGATTGGACAGCTCAGGTTATCTCTAACCAATTAGAGTGCAAAATAGGTTGCATAGGTTGTGCTGCCTCCCACTGATTTGTCTAAGTGGCATCGGACACTAAACTTACTTAGATTGGCCCAGACCTAACATCGCGTCCGGCTAAGCTTTGGCCTTTAAGAGGGGGAATGGTAGTAAGAAAAGTAATTCCAATAAGACGTCAGGAATTTAGCTGTTAGCTTGGACGGGATTGGTTAGAAGTGCCAATGCGCCTGGAACAGCAATCCAACGCTGAGAACGGAACTCGGATTCCTGTTGAGTTTGGACATAAATGTGGTGTCGTTAGGGGGACCGAACGTGACTAAGATACCACCAGTTATAAAAAACAAACGATGGTAACGTCTCCAAACTCAAAGCTGAGGACGTACCTACGTAACCTTGAGAGGGGCCTATTTCCAAATAGAGTGCTAATTACCCGAAAATTAAGCCTATCGCGGGAAGGCTCTCTCCTTTGTACCACATTCAAAACGGCTTGGCCACTGCCTCACCCTTCTTAGAAGAAAATTGGATGGCATCCGAACCCGAGTCACCCGCTCGTGGCCATGTTACCAAGCATGACAGTAACCATCACGCTACTAGACATTGTGATCGACTCGCGACTCCTCTGATATGTTCTACGGCTGGAAGGCAGGTGTTTGATTACTTAATGGTAATTGCATTTAATAACCTGCCGGCATCTATCCGTGCCAAGCGCGTTTAAACATCGGCTTCCGAAACCTCATGATACGAGGACAGGGAGGTGCCGATAAGACGAAGGCTGACTGCATACCACGTATTTTGCATAGCAGGCAAAACAAATCGCATGGTATGTGTATACCTCTACGCAATATAAACACTACTCTGTTTATATTACCATGCATGTCCGCTTGTGTGCTTTGTGTTGTTCGTGAGCGTTTCCACCTGTCCCACCGCTTTATGTACTTTTTCTGACACGAGACTCAGAATAGCTATACTATGTGAAGCCGTCTCACGGTGAGCAAATACACAAATGCAAACAAACGAACGCGGCTAAGAAAAGCTGGTGCAGCACAGATGCCTCAACGAGGGTATCATAATGGAATGTCGTAGACGGTTGACGTAATCCGACATTTCCGGAACATTAGGCGTTCCATGCAATGTCGGGGTTCTGAGTAATCTTCGTAATGCCATTATTACGCTGTCTGTCTGAAAGCTTTAAGCGTCACTGCAATCCCTATGATGCCAATGCTGTTTCGAGTGGGTAATCATCACTGTTGTACTATTTGCCTGTGAAAATACCCTTGTTACACTGACTTAACATTCCAAACGTCAGTGGAGATCCCCACGGCATCTCTGGCATTTTCTGTAATTACCATTATCATGCTTTTTGCTTGACAGCTTTGCATCATGAGGCCCGTGTTATGTTTGATGATCACTATACGACCAACTCATACATCGTGCTTTCGCCTCAGAGGATCATGATAGAACTAACTGAACTAACTCCTGTTGCGTTGACCACGTGGTTCTTACCCACCTCAAGTTCACGATCCATTAGTCAATCCCTGGGACGCATATTACCCACGCACTTCTATTTATGCCGGTTTCCGTGCAGCCGCCGGCAGAAGGTTCAGACGCCTAACTGCAGTATGTGACTGACCCATGGTTTAAGTTTCGGAGGCGGCTCATTGTTTGGCCGGTCAGACACCAGGTGGCGGACGGCTCTCCATGGCTGTGGAGTATGGCTGTGTCAAAGCACGGGCTGAAATGCAAATATTCCCGTAACAGGCGCAGGCAAAATTGTTTGTTCAGTTGCGCAAACCTGCCGGCTCAATCAGTTAACTCTTCAAACCGTTGGGACTGGATCAAAAAAGAAAATACTGCTGTACTTAAAAGAGCGTCACGTATTTCGTGGGCCAGCACAGGTGCATTCGGGGCCGTAGTGAAAGGCGTTCATGCCTCGTGAGCGTCATCCATTGTGAACTACTTCAGGTTGTGACGCAGAAGGACCAATATCAATATCACGAAAAGTCAAGCGACAAAAACCAGATGCAAAAAAGCCAAACAAATTAGAAGTCGAAACCAAGAAACTTGGCAACAGGATAAACGTAAAGAAGACGTAATGTTATGGAAACCAAAAGACACGGCCTTTAAGTCAAAAGCCTAAGCTTTAAATGCAGAAAGTTTAATAAGAAAAATCCAAGGAAATAAAAGTTAGATATATAAAAGCAGACCAAAATATAAAACACATTGCGAACGTTTTTTGGACAGAAGCCTTGATTATCATAGTGCGTTCGGACACGGTAACCAGACAAAAAGCTCAAATTGAAGAGGTCAAAGGACAAAAAGTAAAATGGCAAAAAGTCATATATAGAAATCCCAAAGGGGATATGAGCTTGACAAAAGAGTTAAAGGGATAAGGGATTCCCCTGCCGGCAGGTAGGGACAAGAATATGCATTCACCACCCCATTTTGGGAGGTCACTTTACCCTAAGCTGAAAGTTTTGCGGTCATACCATGCTTTCAAAATTCAGATCAAGGAGGCCCATCGCTGAGCCAGAAGGCCCTTAATTGGGTTCAGGAAGTTTTTTCTGCATCAAGATGGCGCTTTTCTGGACCAGGAAGCCTCTTTATGAATGAGTCAGGTCCTGCTTTGGATCAGGAGCCCTGATATTGTGTTATGACGGTGCCGGCCCTGGAGGGTTCCTTTATGAAATGGAAGGCTCTTGTTCGGGATTAGAAGACCCTGGCTAAAGACGATCTTTACTGGATTGCCTGCTCCTAATTCACACCGGAGCTCGCGATCATTCCACCTTTGGCAAGACACGTAGCCTTGACAGATCATTTTTGACCTGAGCTCCGGTACACAAGCTTTCCTCCGCTCCAAAACTTTCTGATCAGACACCATGACCAGAGGTGGAACTTTTGTTTCCTTGGGGGCATGGCCACCGCAATGTTGGGCTGTCCCTCCCCCCCCCCCCCCCCGATATTTGGCTGGGCCACCACTTTTTTTTTTGCTCGACCCCATCATGGAAGCTCTGACACCCGATCACTGTTTGAAGCAAAGATGATTTAAAACTATTTAGGGGTTCACAATTTGGTATTAAAAAAGACACTTAACACGTAGCAACAATAGCATCATACCCAACAGCATAATACCCAATAAATTACACAAAACGAAGCCCGAAACGAGTTGCATTTTGTAAATCGCTAATCTCACATTGAATGTTTGTGCGTCATTGGGGCCTTACGACGCTTCTAAGACTTAATGGCAACATCTGTCTCTCATCCTGGCAGAAGGGTGGGCACCGCAAGGACTCAAACCCCACAGTGAATGGTTCAACGCAGAAGTAATAAGTTGTCAACATTGCCTAATTCGTAACGCCACTCGAATGACATGCCATGATGCGAATATCTAAATGTGGGTGATGGCAGTAAAAAACGACGAAACTCTTAGAATTCGTTAACTTTTGGCCAGACATTTAAAAAAGTACATATGCCAATTATTGATGTATATATATATATGTGTATATATATATATGTATATGTATATATATTTATGGATATTAGCAATTTATCAATCATTTTTATGCAATGTCAACATATAAGCATAAGTATATCATTTCAAAGAAAAACGTACCTCCGGCTCCCTGAAATGTGAGTAAAATCCTCTGTGTCGTTAGCATGACAATATTCAAATATTGTCCTGCATGTTCTGAGCGTCTTGAAGGGGTACGCAAATTTCTTACATTTCGATTGAGGAATATGACACGAGCTATAAATAAACAAGGCGAGCTTTAGACATCAAAAACAAGAATATTAGGCATGATGTGCACCCGACTCGTCAATTCGTCTTTGCTTCAAAGTATAGGATCTTGTAATGTATAGTATACACGATACGCAATATGCAACACGTACGTATTTTGCACACACTTGCACACTTGCACACTTGTGTGCACACTTGCACACACTTGCCTAAGTATTTTCATATTGTTTTAGCATGTACAGCACCACGCACTCATGACGCGATAGTATAATGCCGGTTGCTCGTGATTCTGCTAATTCCGTTCTGAGAATTCGGTTAGGAGCTGAAGGAGCCGATGGTTAGCCCTTCGCCCCAGCCCGGGGTGACCAGTAACAGCTGTTCTAGCGATACGGGGACCGGGGTGCCCTGGTCGATCCGGAGAAACTTGAGGGATACATCATGCCCCGATCCCATCCCTCATGAGGCAGGCCCCCTGACCTTGGCATCTCGGCATCTGACTCAGGATCGACGCAGAGACACGTCAGTAATGCAAAATAATCCCTTCCTGGTGCAGGGAGTCCAGTGCGTAATTGGTGCCGAGACACTAACTCGGTTTATTGACCCGTGCCTCCTGGTTGAAACGGTGCGGAGCGCCCCACGCCCTCTGACTGGTTCTGTCACATCTAACTGATCACTGCCTCATTGTGAATGCAAATAATCGCATCGTCGTTTCTCAGAACGTCAGCGTCCGCTTCTCAGACTCGGCAGGCGTTCTGCGCCACGACGGGCAGGCCGCACTTGGCGGAAGTACGACTTTTCGTCAATATAATCCCAAAAGAAGGGGGCAAGACATGTTCTTGCCCACTGGCAGCGTACGAACGTCCCCCCTCCCCTTGGCACACCACTCCTTATTCCGCCTACAACGAAACGGGCTGCGCTGTTCAATCTGGCCTGTCCTTTTTACTTCTATACATTTGACTTCCATTCTTTTTATTCTTGCCGATTTGGCTCCTCGAGTTTCACTCTTTCTTGCCATTTGACCTATTGACCCTTTGCCTTGTTGCCGTTGGTCGTTTATCCATTTCACTTCCATCGTTTCCACTTAGCTCGATTTGACTCATTCACGTTTGAGCTTTTGTTCTTTGACTTCCTGGCTTTTGACTATTTCGCCTGACCCACACGTGCCTGATCCAGTCCCCGCCAGCAGTTTTTGTCTTCATTCGCCGGCATTGTCTGTGCTGCCGCAGAGTTTTGTGCTGTCAGCGGTGAACCTGCCGTCAGTGGTGGCCGCCAACCTGTCGGACCTCGGGCCTCACATGAGCTTCCTGCAGCGCATCACCAACACGCTGTCGGCGCTGGCCTACGCCATCGGCTTCTACATCTCAAATTACGTCGCCGACCAGTATATCAAGGTCGGTAGCGCTCAGCGGCGTCGGCGTAGCCAGAGGTGAAGACCAGTGGGGCGCTTCCACTAAGACACTTTATGCCTAACAAGATTTCAGAGTCCACCTCATCATGTTTTCAAAAGTATTGCATTGCCTTAGGTGGCGACAGAACACTGTCTATTACGACATATTTTAAAAATTTGATGTCGTCAACATATGTAGTTCTACAAACGTCTATGCAGCCGTTTAGGTTTGCTTTATTTTGTATAACAATCACTTGTCGTAGCGTGTTATAGTAGCATTATTCTCTGATTTACCCCAATAGAAGCAGTTCCTGACCACACGCCGAAGACTTGGGCAATCAAGTATGCTTGACCCAGTCTAAGCCGAAGGGTTTGGCTAAAAGTTTTGCCTTGGAACTAAAACTTAGATACCACCTTATCTTGCCCAAAGATTCTGGAGGCTCCTCTGTGCGTCAGAGGCTTGCTTAGTGCATGTGGGCAGGAGGCCCTGTGTTAAGTTTGGGAGGCCCTTTCGTGTATCGGGAATCCCTCTGCATTGAAGGGAAGACATCTGTCTGGGACTTTTGAATTGCCGACAATTATTCACATGGATATGTTACGTATGAAAATTATAAAATTATAAGACGGCACATCCCCACCCCTTGAATACAGCAATAACCAGGAGGACTCCCTGTGAGGTGGCCATATTTTGTCCAGGAGGCCCGCTGGAAAAGCACGCTCTCTCAACTCAAAATTTTAAAAAACGTGGCGCAGTCCCTGATAACCCGCATTGGAAACTGACGCATGCCACTGTTTGTGGCGTTGGGACGAGTGAGACAGTGAATTCACTCCCAGCAAGCAGGCATTAAATACCAGTAGCAAGTCGTCACTGCATACTGGTGATGCAAATACGATCATGAGTTAATTTCTCGCATCTTATGGAAGTAACGTAAGTGTGTAGCTTAAGGGTCAATTGGGAATGCAGCTGTACACAAAACATCTCAGAAACTTAATATTAGGTTATACCATCGTAAGGGAAGAATTGAGCCCCAAAACAGCATCTGCATCCCTAACATTTCTGGGTGGAGACGGGAGCGTTTCAGCCCTGAGCCAGCTGAGAGCCTGGCAGCCTAGGCTCCCCAAATGTGTGCGTTTAAGAGCCGCAGTTTTTCGTCTTAATGTGTATCACATATCACATCACGCACGCTCAGCCTTCGACTGCGCGATATATGCGTGCGACTAGAGCACTCATGTTTTAACTTTGCATGACACAGCTAAGGTCATCATGGCCGTGACGTGTCACGCCGCGGCTGACCGAAGCGACGAGGCCTCAAGCACGCTGATGGGAATCCTCGAATGCACAGTCCTGCGGATGGGGTCAAACATGCAGTCCATCCTCCGAACCCCGATAGATGATGTCTACTGCACAGCGGACCGCCATCGATGCTGGGAGCGAGATTGTCGACCTTGTTTGTTTAAGGCTGCTTGAGCTCGCTCTGTGTATTGGGTGGCGTCGGTCGGCGGCAGCGCGGTGTGTACGCGTGCGTGTGCGTGTGCGTGTGCGTGTGTGTTTGTGTGTGTGTGTGCGTGTGCGTGCGTGTGCGTGTGCGTGTGCGTGTGCGTGTGCGTGCGTGTGCATGTGTGTGTGTGCGGGTGCGGGTGTGCGTGCGTGTGCGTGTGCGTTTGCATGTGTGCGTGTGCGTGTGTTTGTGCGTGCGTGTGTGTGCGCGCGCGCGTGCGTATGAGCGCGCGTGTGACTAAAGACGGCGACGCGGCCGCCGCTGTTTCAGGAGGTCCTGCCGAACGGACCAGACGCGCTGACCTTGCTGCGGGCGGTGGACATCACGCTGGTGAACAACAACTTCCTCTCCACCCAGCCGCTGTTGTTGCCGCCCAACGTGCGGTCAATCGGCTGCAGCCAGTGCCGCGCCGCCAGACCTCTGTCAAAGGTGATCCTTTGCGTCGCACCGGTGACCTCGTGTGCGTGCTCTTGTGGCTATTTGCTGATGTTGATGAATGGGATGGCCTATGGATTTTGCGACGTCTGATGTTTGGAAACAGCTGATCTGGAAAATTGTTACAAACATGGACAAATATAAAGTTAGAAGCATGTTGCGAAGAAAAGCATCGTTCTCGTAGGCTCCTGTAGGAGCAATTTTGAACAGCGACCTGATCTGACCTCATCCATGTGGGGGAGTGTAAATGGTCGGAATGGACTTCCCACAGCCTTAACGTTTATTTTCATGCCCTCAATATCCATCTAGCCGCATAAATATAGGTTTTAGCTGTATCTATCGAACCTTCACCTTTCGTGAACTCCGGTGACCTCACATCTGGCCCAAGGTCAAAAGCTTGGTATATATTCTTCATGCTTTGACGAGTCAATCAAAACGGTACCTTTGTTTTTATCATACGGCAACCGGAAGTCAGAAACACCAGGAGGGGGGGGGGGAGTAAACTTGCCCCCGGCCGGCTGTGGTTGTCTTAGACACTCGGTCGCGCCCGGGTTAATGAATTCGTGTTGTGTACCAACCAACCCAGCACACAGCATGTCAATGTGGTCTGGAAGAAAAACATTTCTAACCACTTCCCGTGATTGCCTGTGCATGTCTCGGCGGACCGCATGGTACAGGGCCCAATGTGCAAAGTCTGTGGAGGAGTTATTTTCGGTGCTGAGGATTCATTTACGGTATTTTCGCTCGAATGTCCCAGATATTCAGACATCCGTATTCACAAAGTGATGCAAGACCGAACTTAAGATCAGGAATGTCAGTGTTCGTTGATTTTTCGTTATACACATGGATTAAGTCACGTCAGGGATTCTCGGGGAGTGCAAATCATGGTTGGCAAGGGGTGGGTCAAACTGAAATCCGAATTGAATAACCTGGTCTGGAAACGATATTGACCGGAAATCACGAGCAGATTCTCACGCGATGTATTTTTGGCAGGATCTGGACGAGTTTATGCGGAGTTCTGGTGAGCACGGTGTGGTGGTGTTCAGTCTGGGCATCACCATGTACGACCCTGACGTCATACCGTCAGAATTCATCGAATCATTCATCCGGGTCTTCGGAAAGCTGAAGCAAAAGGTAAACGCTGGGATAGCTTCCCTGATCGAATTGTTGGCGATTTATACTCCAGTACACGGTTCTCATACACAGCCATTTCCGTCCGCTGTTGGTGTACGTCTATACCGCATGTATCTCGATAAACGGGCACTTTGGAAAATGCCTAGCCATTTCCGGTAGCACTGGCGAATTGCGTGATCCTCAAAATAGCATAAGTGCTGTGGCATCATCTCCATTAAAGCTCCAGACATTTCGGAGCGTGACCAGCCATGGTCAGGAACGTAGGGTAAGGTCAACAATATGTCGCCATTGAAACACTGCTATGCCTTTCAGGAATTGTCTAATGCATGCTGGGCTTATGGTGTCCCTGAGTAGATTTCTTAGGGACACACGTTTTGACATGCTTTCGCAGAAGCTCCATGGTGTGCCATTTCGTTTCGCACCGTGACGGCAGCCAAGCGACAAGCGTTCTTATATAGCCCCTGAAGGTTCACACAGCTGACCAATCTCGTCGCGGTGTCGTCATGCTCACCACCTTCCCTGCGCGTGGGTCGAGATCGCAGCATGACAGGCGAGGCAGCCAGCATGGCAGACAGCATGACAGACGAGCCAGCCAGCCTGACAGACAGTATGACAGACGAGACAACCAGCTTGACAGACAGCATGACAGACGAGGCAGCCAGCACAACTAGCAGTCATCCGAGATTATCCCCAGTCAGTCAGAGGTCATTACCCGTTTTATCGAGGATAATTCGGAACGGAAGGATCTGACACATTCCGAGTACACCTGACCGTTGCGTCGTGCAGTTCACGGCAGTTTATATTAATCCGCTGGCTTTTCCTGTGGCCTCCTCCTAAATTGTCCCTACCGTTTCATAGAATGCATGCTGATCAGCATTTTCTTTTGGTCAAATAGCGTAATCAGGAAAGCTATGTAGTAAAACAACAAGGTTGGGAGACTGGGCAGGGAAAAATGGCTAAATCTATTCCGCGAAGATACAAAACAGGGTTTTCCCAAATGCAATATATTTTCTCTCAAATTTGCTGGGCTGGGGTTGGGCTTCCAATCCCCAACTAAAAAGAAAACTGCATATATTACTGAAATACTGTCAAAAACAGAGCCCGACCGCGGCGACCCAAACATTTGCGACCCACCTGAGCGCATGGTGGAGCAAACGTGACCATTCTGCGTCTGCGGTATTTCCCGCATGACGTGAGATTCCAAGAAACGACCCAGTGCGACCAAATGCGGCTTAATGCGGCGTGCGGCCAAATATCACGACGCACATGCGGCCATGCCGCTGCGGTTGACGAACAAGGTTTTTGACAAGATTTTGGTCCCAGCGTTAAGACATATGTCAGCTTTATGCTGTGAATTGGGTCGATTTTTCCACTTTGCCCTAAATCATCAACGGTATTCTCGGAGGTGTGGAGCGGAAAAAGGCTATCGACGTCATAGCCTAATTTAGAAAAACCGTCCTCAACCAAAATTGGACTACCGAACCGCTTCACTCTCCTCTCGCCTTGTGCGATGTGGTTGTGCCACAGAACTATTTCCACTGAGATGCATCGTGCGCCCGCCCAGCTGCTGCAATGGATGTGTATTTTCGATGCGAGCCATTGTCCGCCTTTCCCTCTGATGGGCAGGTGCTGATGCGGTACCACCTGAAGTCAACAGCCGACGTGCCCGCTAACGTCCACATGGTGGACTGGATGCCACAACGGGACGTACTTGGTGAGGCAGCCCGCGAGGCGATGGATAGAAAGGCTGCTTGGCTTTCCGCGCTTGAATGTGCTTCTGGATGAGCTGATCGTGCGGTGCATTGCATTATAAAATCGGTGTAACATAAGTCTGCTTAAGATCCTACCTGGATTCTACAATGCGCGATTCGGTGTATGCGTTTGGGCTGTTAGACAACACAACCCGGCAGATTCTGGACGGTAGTTCATCACGGCTCTTTCCATCAAATGACAGCCCTGAGCCCGTTACACTGCCACGGTCTTCCAACAGGTCACCCGAACACGCGTCTATTTGTGAACCACTGCGGGATCAACAGCGTCATGGAAGCCATTTATAACGGCGTTCCCATGCGTGAGTAAATGAATGGGCACGCCAGTCCGCCATGCGCTCCAACTGCCCAGAGTGCATGCGGTCGGGGACAGCCGGTGACGTCGAGATGTGACGTCAGTGACTGAAAATTGGCGCCGTTGAACCGGGCGACTGAAGTCGAATTTGTGCAGGAATCTGGTATTGAATATAAGTACACCCGGCCCATTCCTGATGACTCTTAACTACTTTCACGTGAGCAGCTGATGATCAGTCAACAAGCGTATCATGAAGACTGTCGTATCATGACTACAATATCATGGTTGCTGTTGTATCATGACTATTATCGCGTCATGAATGCTGTCGTGCCATGACATATGCTGTGTCATAACAACTGTTGTGTGACTACTGTCGCATCACGAGTACTGTATCATGGCCACTACTGTACGATAGACACTCCTGTATCATGAAAACTGTCGCATCATTACCGCTGTTGTATCATGACTACTGTTGTGTGATTACTGTCGCATCGTGACTACTGCGTCGTGGTTACCATTGTATCATGGTCACCATTGTATAATGAACACTGTTGTATCATGATTGCTGTCGCACCACGATTGCTGCCGTATCATGACTACTGTATCAACGCCACTGATGTGTCATGAGTGCTGTCGCATCATGACTACTGCCGTGTGATGACTTCTGTTGGCTCATAACTGCTGTTGTACTTTGACTAGTGCCGTATCATAACTGCTGTCGCATCATGGCTACATCTGTGAAACTGAGGTGGCCTGTTCCCAGTGGGCGTTCCCATTTTTGGCGATCAAGGCGAAAACGCCAAGTTCATGGAGTATCGCGGCCTGGGTATCGCGGTGGAGAAGGAAAGCATGACCGACGAGGCGCTGCTGCGCTCGCTGAAAACGTTGCTGTACAACCAGACGTGAGGAAGGCCTACAATCGGTGTTTCTCCCTCCTGCGCCAGTCTTACGTCCATTACAACTAGCAGGGATCGCACAAGCTGATACCCGGACCCACGACCCGAAAGGGCGCTGACCTTATGTTCATGTTCGTACTGGACAGAGCTTTTAGCAGGGAGTCGTTAAGTTCCCAGGGAATACCTGTGGCTAGAGTGTGAAAAAGGACGGCGGGATGAAGAAATATCAGAATGATATCTGAAATATTCGATGATAGTTATTGACAGAAGATATAATGAACAAAATGTGAAAAATAGGAACGAGCTTTTTAAAAGTGTAAAAAGCTCGGCCCTATATTTAGGCGTGCTATTTCGTGTAGGGCTAGCGTGAATTTCATACCTATTTAAAAAACTACGATAAACTTTTTATCCCCAATGCCAGGTGAGCACTCACGGTAGCTCACTCGACACTGTTAATACACATAGACCAGAAGGCAGCCGTCCCGATGCCCTGCGTGCACTCCATCTGACGCTCCTAACCCCCGCTGTCCAGGTACCAGCAGCAGGGCGCGGCGCACTGCTGCCATCTGGCGGGCCGACGGGCAAACAGCGCTGGAGCGCGTCGAGCACTGGCTGACCATGAAGGTGCGCTTCGGCCGGCTGCCACACCTGCAGATGATCGACCGCCACCTCGGGCCGCTGCAGTACTGGCTGCTGGACGTGCTGGCGCTGCTGCTGGCCGGTCCGCTGCTCATCGCCGGCCTGCTGGTGCTGGGCCGCCGGGCGTTGGCCGGGGACGGCCGCCCGGACGGCGGCCGCAACCAGCACAAGCCGAGCGTATGCAAGAGCTGGTTAGATCAGCACAAGTTCCATCGAACCGGCACCGAGCCCTGGCGGGCAGCCAGCAGCCATAGCCAGCACAGGCCGAACCACAGCAGCAACAGCAGTTGTCAGCACGAACTCTGGCCCGACCGTGGTGGAGACGGCGACGGGCAGGAGCCATTGGCCGCCGGCCAGACGGTCGTCAGAAGAAAGTGTGCAGCCACTGGGAGCGATAGACGCGAGATGAAAATAAAACGTGTTGGATGACATCTGAAGTCAAGGTGCTATTTTTTCTGGTCACCCACGGGCCCAGTAGGGGCGAGGCTCCGTGGAGGGGCGGGGCTCCGTGGAGGGGCGGGGCTCCGTGGAGGGGAGAGACTCCGTGAAAGAGCGAGGCACCGTGAAGGGAAGAGGCTCCGTGAAAGAGCAAGGCTCCGGGAAGGGGCGAGGCCCCCTGAAGGGGTGAGGCCCCGGAGGGGCACGGCTCCGTGAAGCTCACAAACGGCTGGGGTAAAGCGCAGTCTGCACCCCTACAGAACGCACAGCCTCCGTTCGGCTTCATATTGGGACGAGTGAAAGCGACGGAATCGCACATACACGGAGGGAACATTTTCAAACCAGCTCTCTACCTCCTTGTATGGACCGTCATAGAGTAACGTTAGATGTTGTTAAGAGTTGGGGACAGTTTGGCTGCACCTAATCTAGCATCGCAAAACGGCAGTAAAAACTTGAAACCCTTCCATCTCAAAATAAGCTTTCGCTAGTACGCTTTTGCTGATATGGGAATCCGATGTTTTTTCCCCAAAAAATGTTGATTATCGGGCCTAAGCGTGATCTACTTCGGCGAAATTCATCTCCAGACATACCGCTACCGAAGAAACGACAAACTCGCACCATAGTCGCAACATTTTATCATCAACAAGGACAGCTGACTATCGGATACTGCGAACATAGTTATGCTATTTTGAGTGTAAACACGGTGCCAGTGACGTTTGCGCGCGCAAAGTGCCCCTGTTTGCGCGCGCCTGTTCCGTTTACAACAGTATTCTTTCCAAGAATACGGGAACCAATGGTTTGAAAGCTATTGCCAGCACTGACCGGCCCGCACACACATCCACCCGCACATTTGCAACTAGAAGCCGACCTTCACTGTGCACAACTGTATCGTGTGACGGAGCTTCTTTCCTGACAATATTACAATGTACACCTGCCACGTGACGAGCGGGTTCACATCGCAGAGGAGCCAGAGCGGGTCCACACCGCAGAGGAGCCAGAGCGGGTCCACACCGGCGGGTCCACACCGCAGAGGAGCCAGAGCGGGTCCACACCGCAGAGGAGCCAGAGCGGGTCCACACCGCAGAGGAGCCAGAGCGGGTCCACACCGCAGAGGAGCCAGAGCGGGTCCACACCGCACGGGACACATCTTGCTCCTACCCACGTCGTCATGCGGCGAAGCCAGACGCCCTCCCCCCCCCCCCCCCCCCCCCCCCCCCCCCCCCCCACCACCACCAGACAACCGGTCCGGCAGCACCTGCCACGACAGGCCGCCCCCGTCGCCACCGGCGCCTATGCGGCGGCGGGCTGACCAGCTGCCAGTGGAGGTGCGGCGGCACCAGCGGCAGCGGCGGCGGCGGTGGCGGGCGGCGCGGGCGGCGCGTCGGCCGGCGGCGCGCACGCCTGTCGCACGCTCATCTCCCACTGGTGCAGCACCTGCGACACCGTGAACCGGTCGGGCAGCTTCTGCAGTCGCGACGCCAGGAACTGCTGCACGCGCCGCAGGAAGGGCGTGCCGGCGTAGGCCAGCCGGTCGTGCACGCAGCGTGGCGAGCGGGCCGGGTAGTCGGAGGGCACCGCCAGCCGCACGGCCGGCACGCTCGGCGCCGACGGCTCGTCCAGCTCCACCACCAGCCGCACGCCGGCGCCGCTGCCCGGCGGACACGTCGAGTCCAGCGTCACCTGACGACAGCGGCGCCGCCGGGGTCAGCGGCCGTGACACCAGCCCAGCCGCGAGAGCGCGGCTCGACGCCTGGCTGTACAGTGGCACTCATCGCCCGCACGGCAGGTCCAGACTTCATACGTGCACCCGCGTCAGCATGGCAATGAACTCGGCGTCAGTAAACTCAACGACGGCCGAGGAAGTCTCCCAGACCATAATTATACAGTTTCAGCAGGCTAAATTCTAGGTCGTCCGTATGGAGGAGTCCACATGCATGGGGTGCTTTCATCAAGCGTAACCGAGGCGTAACAATGGAAAGAGTGAGGGGACTGGACAGCACGTTACGCTTATATGTGGTTGCAAATAATGTGTTTTGAAACAAAGCCACCGTTGGCTTCCCATTATGACTCGCGACCCGTCCCTCTTCGTTTCGCGCCTCAAGCTCCATTAGGGTCCAAACGGACATACGCGCTTCCGATATTATGCTTAACATAGCACAACCAGGGAGGGCAGGGGCCACGCAGCGTAATCACTGTAACAATGGGGGAGGAAGTTCAGAAGCGAGGAAAACGCGTGATGTAATTTATGAACGGCCTCTTTATCCTTCCAACAGATCTTTGTCAATGTCCGTTGTTTCCCACTTCCACAGGAACCAATGGCAGCTGGACCTCGCGCTCCAGCTCGAAGTGCGCCTTACGAACCGCCACACACCATTTTCAAGACTCGTCACCGAACGCAGATGGTGCCGCACCCAGCGCCGCTTTCCACCTCCGGCCACTGACCTTGAACCGGCTCTCCATGCCGGCCACCTCGCGCTGCAGGGCGCGGGGGATGGGGCCGGCGGTGGTGGGCGGCGGCCGCGGCGGCCGGCGCGCCGCCGGCAGACGCAGCGTGCAGCCGCGCAGCGCCTGGTACGGCGGACCGATCGTGCGGCCCAGCGTGTGGTTCAGGTACGGTGACTTGCTGAAGCCGTTCACCGTGTCCAGAATCACCTGCGCGCACGGGGCGTCAGCCGCGCGGCGACAGCGAACGGCGGCGGACGGGGAGCGGGCGGACGACGGGGGTGGGCAGTTTGCGCGGCGAGACCGGAGCCCGCGCCGCGGGGACGGTGGTGGCGCCCCACACCAGAACATCAGAGGCGGGCTGAGAACGCACAGTCCGAGGCTCACACTGGCAAAGTGCATCCACATTTTGACATATCCGAACAAGACGGCGAAAAAGACGGACTCGAACCCGGGCACTGCACACTTTGGGACCTAGTACTCCTTGTGTATGGTGTGCTGCTGCTGAGAATGCCCATCCCTGTTGTTCCTCGTGCGTGGTGTGCTACTGCTGGGAGTGCCAGAACTCTGTACTCCCTGTGCGTGATGTGGGACTGCTGAGAATGACCATACCTGGTACTCCTTGTGTGTGGTGTGCTGCTGCTGAGAATGACCGTGTGCCGCGTCGCTGTGCTGATTGATCTCCAGCTTCTCCAGCACTTGCTCGCACTTTATGAGCAGATCCACCGGGAATTGTCGACTGGGGTTCTCCAAAATGTCCAGCAGCTTCTTCATTTTGCTGAGCTTCGCTGTGTCCTGCTGGCTGGTATTCTCGATCATACGCTTGATCGGCTCTATGTACTTGCTCAACTGAGAAATATCACACGACAGGTCAGAGGGAAGGGCCCGCAGAAGATGTGGCAGTGTCAGTAGCTGGAGCGGGTGAGCACCCCGCCGAAAGCTTATTCGGCGGCCAACATATATATATATATATATATATATATATATATATATATATATATATATATATATATATATATGAACTGACAATTATCAAGGAAACGCGACTCTGACTTCACCCGATATGAACTGCTACCACCGACAAGACACCACAAACGTGCTGGCGGTTTTACCCCAGTCTCTCCATGGCAGTCTTCACGGACCAGCACTCGCCCCGAGCGGGCCGGCGCCCCTGGGCCGCTCACCTGCTTAACCTTCTCCATGTACTGGGCCTCGTCGTGCTGGTTGCGCGGCGAGGGCGTGGCGTTGGCGGGCCCGGCGGGCGTGTGCAGCTGTGGCGACGGCGCGCTCATCTGGCTGGGCACCTTCACCGAGCCGGGCGCCATGGGAGACTGGCCCAGCCCGCCGCCGGGCGACGGCGCCGGGAACGCCGGCGACGGCTGCTGCTTGCCGGCCATGGCGGCCAGCGCGCCGGGCGACGGCGCCATGCCGCGCGGCCCCATCATGCCCATGCCGGGCGCCTGCTGGCGCACCATGCCACCCATCGGCAGCATGTTCATCTGGCCGCCGCCCTGCATCATCATCTGGCTTTGCATGCGCTGCTGCTGTTGCTGTTGCTGCTGCTGCTGCAGGGCCGACATCGGGCAGCCCTGCGGCTGTTGCGCCATCTGACCGCGGGCCGCCATGCCCTGCATGGACAGCATGGCCGCCTGGTCCTGCGGCGGCTGCTGTTGCTGCTGCTGACCAGCCATGTTCTGCAGCGCGTTCATCGGATCACCGACCTGCTTGTACTTGTTGATGTGCAGGATAAGGCGGCTGAGGAAGCCCACGTACTCCTCGCGACTCTTGGCTCGCTGGAAAACGTGGTCCTCCATCTCGGCGCTCGTCTTGTTGGTCGGGTTGCCGGACATGCGGATGGCCTGCCGAAAACAGGGAGAGTTGGCTGGGGGACTGGCCTCGTTGCAGCACGGTGCCTTTCAATACGGCTAGTAAAGAGCGGCCAGGTCGTACACCGCTCGTTCTTGGAAGGCAGGCTGACCGTCCGCAGCAGTCAGGAAATGGTAGTCATCCGACACGGACCAGCACTCTAATCATTACGATACCGGCGTAACGGCCCAAATAAATTACAGCATGGCCGATGGCCATGTCTTGCTTACCGCCGACACCAAAAATTCCAACGGACGACTGGCCTGGCTTGGGAGGTAGAATAATGCCAACAGCATTCCGAAAATGCACGCGCTCTTAATTCAAGTGTAATCGGAGCGCCGTCGTTGGCGCACTTCAGAAAAAAGTAACCAATACAATGCAGTGTACAGAGCACGCATAAAAAGCTGCAGCTGGGTGCTGACAGCGCAGTGGTTAAGGCGCCTGCGTTAACCACTGCACGTCTGGGAAACCAGACGTACGTGGTTTGATTCCCCGCGGTACCCGCTCTCCCCGCCAGGGTGAGAGGTAGGCGACCACACATAGCCTCAGCAGCTGAGTGCATCATTGAGTTTCCATAACGACCACGACGCATAAAAACTGCACAAACTATTGATAGGGTTGTTGCAAATCCAGCCTAATGACTCTCCTTCACCAGTCCTCTTCAGTGCTCGCCCATCGCCACACAGAACCCTGGGAAATTTCACAATATATCTTAAGAGAGGCTCAAGAAACCCACCAGGACCTCCCACAATGGACTAGACTGGACCACTGGCACAAAATTACTGATGGTGCACCAGCCTCATGGAGAGCTTCAAAACTTTCAAGAATAAGCAAGACCTTTAAACTCAAGTAAAGGAGTCCTCCATCATAAGTGACTGTCAAATAGCAGTGATGCATTTGCAACAAAGATACCATGCAGCCCCCTTATGTTTGTTCAGAGAAGGCCAAACACCATCCATCCTTAACAGCTCATGGTGTCAAAATGAGCAAAAACTGACTTTCAGATTTGGAGGCAGTGCAGTCAATGGTGCAAGTCGAGTACACACTAGGCATTCTTCAAATTTGTATTTACGACAAGTTAAATAGAGGACCACACCTGGTGACACATAGGAAACTGAAGGCTTGCACTGACATTTCCTCATAAAAACACAACCCAGATGTCCCCGTATCTGAGTGTCACCAAGTTTCAACAGACCTTTTCTGATTTCAATCAGGCTTGGGACCAGGCACTCAGCCAATATTTTTGGGCAAGGTTTACCCCTCCATGGACACCAAGAGTTTCCACGGGCACCACTCCAGGTCCAGCCCAAAATCCAGTTGCATTGAAGGGAGGACATGAGTGGTGATGGCATTGCTGGATAACCAGGCACAAAACTCATTTCTACAATGTGCAGCTCTGGCAACTTGGCATAAGGAATTCACTGAGAGAACTCAAGATTAACATTGCTATGTTTTGCCCCAAATTCACAATAAACACTAAACAGAGCATTAGCCCTTGTCCTGATAGGGTGGGAGATTGATGCAACCCCTCCTTGAGATTTGCTGTGGATGCCTCCCTGGCATGACGTCCAACCACGCACAAATCTTCAGTAGCCTATGGGGCATCGATTGTAAGTTTCTGAGCAAGCGACAGGCAGCAACCAACCATGCCATGGGGCATGTGCAGCAGGCTGACACTGTTATATTTCTGAAGCCATGCATCATAAATGTATAGTTAAAACACACCAAACTATACACCATTGTACTCAGAATTTAGCAGGGAGCATGTCTGTTTGGGGGTAATGCCACTATGGCACATGGTGTGATATATGAGCATGTGAAGTTGGATAAATTTGATTTTTGAAAAATTGTTGTCTTTGACCTGGCATAATGGTTCAGATATTGAACTAGAAACACACAACTTAGTGTCAACAAAAATATTGCATTTATCATGCGGGAATAACACACAAACAACCATGGATGTAGTTTTCTGGGGGGCTGCTTGCTGCACTGCCCTCCCCCCTCCTCAACTGTCTGGAGAAAGTGAGCCTAAAATAGTGAGAAACATGCATGTTCACATATTTAGTGGGCAGGCTGAGTCAGCTTTTACCCTTCAACCCCCTCCCCCTCCCCACAACTCATCTTATGTAAATATATCATGCAGCCATCAAAATGATTTGGCAATTTGCATGCCTAGCTATTGACAGCAACAGCCAGCTTGTTAGGTCTTGATCACATGCATAAAGGATGCCATGCAAATGTGCATTGTGTGTACCTTATCAATGGAGTAAAGTAAGAGAAAAGTCAAAACTCTGCTATAATATTCAGATTGCTTCGGCACCAGCTTAAAGCATGGACATGATTCCATACAGTGTATGGAAGTATGCATATTTTACTCACATCCTCAATGTGCTGCCTGGCTTTCTGCCTGTAAGCCAAGCTTGTCCAGTCATTTGAGTCATCTGCCATCTTGTTTATATAACAGCCTGAAATAAATATACATCAGAAAACACATCTCAGCAGTTTTATTCAGTTCGCACAAATGTTTGTTCGCATGAAGACTTTAAGTCCAATGCACTCAACATAAATGATGATGAAACATAGTATACCCAACCTCTGCACCCAACACAATATGCATAGACTTTAGCACCACACATAGGTCATATCCTATCACATTGCCACATACCACACAACTGGATTGCCACCACAAAGAAGCACAGTTACAACTGTTTATGTAGTCCAAACTTGTACAAAGTATAAGACCACATGAGAGATCCTAAGAAATTTGTGTTATAGTGCTAAAAAGCATAATTATAATACAAGTATAGATGAATTTAAGAATTTGTATTGAATTGAAGCTGACAAGTAAAGGCAAATGCATTCAAGGGTGCATGCACACTGCAAAAAGAGAAAGTATTTGGGCTCCAAAATTGTTGTAACATTGAGGAATAACTCGCCATTTGAAGCAAACATGGTAATGGCAATATGATAATGTGGATACATGATCATGACATTCAGGGTCCTATGACACTCAAGTTTGCTTTTCACACCATACATTTTAAAATGCTGCTTGGTTTCACTGGACATTTTCTTCTCCCATTGTAGTCTCTTTCTAAAATTACTTAGGAGGTATAGACAATACAGAAGCTAACTAATGAAGTCCCCAGATGCCAAATTTTGCTTAGATTTCAGCCATCTTTATTCCCACCCTTCTGTCCAATTTATCCTTGGATTTCAGCGACTTTACTTTGCATCCTACTGTCAGCAAGGAAAGTAAAACAAACATTTGGTTGCCTCCATAACTGTTTCTGGTGTTGACGAATGACAGTCATGGTGTACATTGGTACCTAACATTGCGACGTTCAATTGTTCACTACATGTTGTTTTTAAGATCTACGACACCATAAGTAATCATAAAACAGAAACACTTCATGGACAACCTGTCACCTTGCCCTCAGCATACGATAATTTCGATAACGACGGTGTACGCCCGGGAATCTCACCCGTTAGACAGCCTTGATCTCACCCCAACAAACTGTTGGCACGATACTGACGCGTCAAGGACATCCCGGTGGAACAACCTCTGTTCTAGGGCCTTGGATCAACCTGGCCTTGGATCAACCTCTGTTCTAGGACCTTGGGATCAACCGAGGTCTGTTCTTTCAAGGTGAAGTTTTCCCTACTGTTTGTGCATTGGTCGAAAGGGCGGGCAAATATGACGGGTTAATATGGTAGAAGTATGGCATGGAATATGATCTTTGACACCATTGCCCGGTATATTCTTATGGTTTTTAATGCGCCGCAATGTTGTGATCACGCACTAATAACGTAGAAGTGGGCTGGGGTGGCGGCTGCTGTGTGTTTGCAGCTCTATATATAATGCGTTTTTGTCGAAGGAATATTTGTGCGTAAATAAATAAATATCATGAGTAATGTTTACCTTAATCAATCAATGGGTGACGATCGTGTATATATCTTCGTACTGTGGTATCTTTATGGAGTGAAATGTGAAAATAAGGTACTGTGCGAGGAGGGCAGGTGCCAAGAACTTTGCTGTTGCTGTGCTTTGATCTTCCTAGGTGTTGGTTAATTTGCAGATCTTTAATGCTGGATGGGTTGCATAAAAATGGTCCGCATAGAATAATACCCCCACCCGCCCTAAAATATACCCGTTAGAACAAAGGGCCGTTGTAGGGTAAGTCGATCGGAATTGTATACAAAATTAGCTTCAGTGCGTGTCCCCGTTCACTAACGACAGTCTCATGGCAGGGCAATGCGAATACACCATCAAAAATGATTATGTCCCAAAAACATTGTCACGCAAAATGCTCACATGCATCATATATGCTTACTTTGGATGTCGTGCCCACTGAATGTAAGGGAAATTGCCTGTTTGAGTTTGAGCTTTGCGAGCTTTGATGCTGTTGAGTTCGCCAGTGAGCAAGGAATTGGACGCATTTAGGATGTTACGGACACTGGATGTTGCGATTTAGGATGATAAGAACACTAGACCCTGCGATCTTGGCCGTTTTGATAACACCTAACGTTTGGAGGCTAGACGGAACACTGATTTGCACAAACACGATGTCTAAATGTTTTTTCTTGCGTGCGATGGGTGCACCCTTGCGCACACGATGTCATTGTGGGAGCACTGTCGACCGGTAATGTAAATTTGTCATCGGCCGTAAGGACCATATTTGTTCCATCACCCCTAGGCGGCGCATAGCTAATAGTGGTCTGTCGGCTTATGGAGTAATGGCACGGCCCACAACGGCGGCTCGGAAATAGATTTCAGGTCAAACCCGTAAATTGCGACCATGTGCATTTGATTGCGTTGGAATAGTGCTATCAGCTGACAGCATAACACACTGGTTGGATTTTTGATCGTTTTTTTTCGGTCGACCCCGACAGTGTTTCACTTCACTCTGGGGTGTGGGGGGGGGGGGAGGGGGCGGAGCCGTGATTTGCACAGATGCGATGTCCAGCCTGATATCATTTTACTTGCTCGCCAGACATGCAACTTTGCATGCACGATGAAGCTGCACCTGACCTAACCTAAATTTTCCCTGAACCTTGCTGGGCCCCCATTCCTGACATTCACTGCATGGTCCAAGATCCTCTAATTACGTTGAAATTCCTGTTCGATCTGTTGTTGTGACGCAGAAACGAGGGAACTCCTAGTCTTGCCTATTACGTTGCGTGTTCACAGGCTAAAATATCCATACAACATGCTACGCTGGCAAAGCCGGTGAAGTCGCTGTGTGTGATTAATGCTAATGGCCCTTTTTATTACCTGAACGGCAGCCCCTATTAATGACGATATCCGCATTCACAGCCACATGAGCAGTCTGCCTTTAGTTATTTGGTGTTGGTAAGGTCAGTTGCCAATACTTTTACGATATCCTGAGGCCGTTCTTTTACCGTGGCAACAGCTACGAGTTAAGAGGCTTCCAAAATGCCTACCGATGCAGAAGAGAACGAACCACATTACATGCATTCCTTGCCGCATGCGCATTATGATCCAGGTGCAGCTCACATGACGACAGGTGGAGGAGGGAAGGGTTCAGAGTAGCAAAGCTGGCAGGGGCTGGCTAACGGGTGGGCCGCCCGGAACGGGAACCGGCGCACCGCGCCAGTGCGGCCAGCGACGATCACATCCGCGCCGGTCCTGTGTAGCGACACCCATCGCAGCCGCGCCGGTCGTGTGTAGCGACACCCATCGCAGCCGCGCCGGTCGTGTATAGCGACACCCATCGCAGCCGCACCAGTCGTGTGTAGCGGCACCCATTGCAGCCGCACCGGTCGTGTGTAGCGACACCCATCGCAGCCGCGACGGTCGTGTGTAGCGACACCCATCGCAGCCGCGCCGGCCATATATAGCGACACCTATCGCAGCCGCGCCGGTCGTGTGTAGCGACACCCATCGCAGCCGCGCCGGCCGTGTGTAGCGGCACCCATCGCAGCCGCGCCGGTCGTGTGTAGCGGCACCCATCGCAGCCGCACCGGTCGTGTGTAGCGACACCCATCGCAGCCGCGACGGTCGTGTGTAGCGACACCCATCGCAGCCGCGCCGGTCGTGTGTAGCGACACCCATCGCAGCCGCGCCGGTCGTGTGCAGCGAGACCCGACTTTAGTGTTGACAGCTGCCGTTAGATATTCTAACAATTCCTTTAACTGAGGGTTTAGACGAATCAAGGGAGTCATTCAATTCAGAAATTGAGTTTGAGTGGTGAAAAACAGTAAGCCAACGATCCAATCAAACCATTTAAACTTTCTCCACCTCAACTCTTAGAGACATGTATTTGCTACGTCATGCAGGTTTCTGGTGAACAAAATATGCTATAGGTACGAACATATCGTTTTACTGCGCGCCTTTGCCAACTTGCGTGATATTCCGAAGTAAGCGTCAATGGAGATATTCTCGGCTCTGAGGTAAAAAAAACTTCAGAATCGTTATCAGAGCACGAAAAAGTGGCTTCAACCTGAGGAGAAATCGTAACTTAGAATAGGCCAGGCGAATCTACTCTGGGATCCCATATCTTCACAATTTCCTCTCTATCCGAAATTCCTTAAAAAGTTCGTGGTAGTCACCTACTGCTGTCCTCTACGATGACAGATGTTATTCAAATTTGCAAGAAATGTACACGCTTACCTATGGAAAATGCTCGTACCGCCATCATGCATTTGATGGAATGAGCTACAACATCCCTGATCTGGCGCACTTGCGCAGACAATAACTATTGAGCAACGCGATACACCCTGCGCCCCTAACAGGTCTGTGAGTGTGGCTAATGGCCTGGCGAGACAAATATGCGATTAGTTCACTGGCATGGCGTTTTGATTGACATTTGGCAAAGGTCAGAGAGGGGGGTAGGACGGCAATGGTTCGTTAACGTACTCTTGTGTAAATCATAGGTAGGTGTGGAAGTGCGACTGTAAGTTTGTCTTGCCTTCATATAGGAAAGAAAGCCTTTGAGCCCCTGGATTGCGGAATTATGCGTTGAAAGCTCCTAAAATGTTGAGTAGCTGGCCCTCGATTTACCAGGAGGTATTGATCAAACGTCGTTGTAATGCTGCTAACCATTTTTTTTTTTGACAGCAATCAATATTTTGAGGATGCAAAACAAATTCCGGATGTTCTTATTCAAATGCGATAAAGTTGCAAGCAATGCTGCAAAAACCCACACAACCCACTGCTTAAGACAACCTTTAAACCGTGCTGGTGTTTTGCGTGTTTTAAGTCCAAGCTGTCGGGCATGATTTTGACTGGATGACTAAGAAGCAGACCACCTACTTTATGTGTTCATAGATTGGGCCAAAAACACTCGATTAGGTGGATTACTGCTCTCAGGGTTCACGACAAGCAGCGCTTGTTGTGTGAACCCTGACTGCCCTATCCAATTATGCAATTTATTTTCATGCGCAAGTTTAGCGTGCCGCAATGCTTGGCACTGTCCGCCCAGCCCTCTGACCTCATACGACCTTGAGCGGCCGCTGCCAGTGACCGCAGGCCACCCTAGCCAGGGACGAACAGCAGTTTCGGAAGTGACTTGGGCTCACCCCAACGGCTGCGGATGGGATGGGAGCCAGGCGCTCTATCAAACTGTGCTACGGTGACAGGCAATGGGTAAGAACTGAGCTTGGTGCACACAAAGGTGATAATCAGCATGATGGGCTGCCTTAAGCATCAGGTGCATTTTGAAGAGCGCAGAATGAATGCAAATAGCATATGTCCGTTAGCGTGCTTTTTAACCGGCCGATTAGGGAATGATCTAAAATTGCCTGCGATTGTGTATCAGGCTTTCTCCATCCTGCCGCACACAATAACTAGACAACGAAGTGGTGACCTGCTTCCTGACGCTTCTTGCTTCTTGGGTGACGAGATAATCCCAAACTAAAAATCTGCATTCCGTCACCCATCCTCCATTACTTTGGTCGCTTTGCCTACCGGAAACACGAGCTATCGATTGCGTGTCGGCGCCGTTACGAAGCGCGCTGCGTGCGCGGCGGCACTACAGGCCGTGGCGGCCCGCGGCCGGGCGTCACGGCAGTGACGGCTTCCGCCGGCGTCGTCACAACAGTGCGGCGCTGGGGGCTGGCCGGCCCGGTCCGGACACTGCATGGCCACACGCCACGGGCGGGAAGCGGCAAAGTACCGGGGACTAGAGGCGCTCGTCCCCTTCCGCCGCGGCGCTGGCAGTCATGGCCGACCAGCAGCGGACCCGGCTGGTCAGCCTGCTGCTCTGGACCCTGCCCGCCCTCTGGTGAGTTGTTCTGACGCTGCAGTCTTTCACGGCTCTTCACACTCGATCGGCTTGAAGTGCTTGTCAGCAGTTGCTCAAGCACCTTGTGTCCGTCAATTAGAGATGGGGCATGTCTAATGACCGACCAAATCCCTAGGTCCTGAGATTTAGTCGAAGCAACGTCAGAAAACTGGCCCGCCAGTACATAACGTTCGGTCTCCAAGCCTTCTTCATTGCATGGAGCAAGCTCTGAGAATGACGGAAGTAAAGCAGAAGAACATGCATACCTTAACCTAGCCTAACCCAACCTAACCTAACCGAGCCTTACTCAACCCCAACTAACCACATGGCCTAAATATGCCATGGTCCGGTTGGCTAGCAAGACACCGTTCATAAAAAAGCAAAATGGGTGAAATCGACAGGTTGGTCACACAAAATGCTTAACACAAAAAAGGAATGCGGTCATATCGGCTGCATTCTCTACATGGCCACATGAACACCTTTCCTCTCCAATGTGGGTAGCGGAATACAGAGAGCGAGAGCCGCATTGTCAGTGGGGCAAGCGCTGTCAAATCCAGAGCCACACGGGACGCACCTGCTCATTCTGGTGGGACACGCTGGTCTGCACAGGGCGGTGCGCGCCAGGTGCTTTTTGGTGACGCTGAATTGGTCCCGGCAACTCTGCACATTATATGATTTTTTTAACGGATGTTCGGACCTTGCGGCCTAACTTGACTCGATGATGCTGATGTAAGGTGATGCGAAGTACACCATATTGTCATTTCTTCCTGGGGAATGATTGGGATCAGGACACTGATTCTGTAACTTGCTTGCCTAAGAATGAAATTAGCCTGGGAGGAAGTCCACTTTTTTGAAGTATATGTGCGATATGTTCTGTGCTGTGGTGGTAACAGCACGTCGTGGCTTATTTTCTAGTGTTTTCGCTTTTGTGCGTCTTGCATGTGCGGATGAAAGTGTAAGGTTGTACCAAACTGCGTTTCTTTAACGTAACGTTCTACTGATATGTGTTGTCTCGAGAGCTTGTCAAGAGGACGCCTAAGAACGGGATAACGGCGTGTTTATCTTGACGTTCGGTTGAAAACCATATGAATTGATGGAGAGACTTCATGTGGTTTTGAAACCGGCAGAATCTCTGGTCGCCTGTGTTCACTTCTAAAAAAGTCATGTAGCGCAAGAAAAAATTAGGACTAAGAATGGCATCAGTTTGAGCATATGGGTGATGCGTGCACAGCATGGAGACCGGAGGACCCATTTTGTTCCGCATGGCTACTCCCGCGCTTCGCGCATAGTAACCATCCTTCAGTTGAAAAAGCTATTCTTTGGGCATAATCTCATGGGGTTTTCGACATCACGCGCGAGAAGGCCAAACGCCTGAATGTTGTTGATAAGGCGCTGAAGCATATCAAATATTGCCGCGATGGCCTCATCTACAGGAGCATTGGTATGTAGTGGTGACAGATCCATCATGAAGAAAATGCGCCTGTAGGGAGTTCTGAGGCGTATTTTGCTCTTACCTTGTCAGGCAATTATCTTGAACTGGTCAGATGTGTTGGCACAAACTGAAGGAGTTGGGTGAGGACACGCCCCACTAAGTAGTTTGCCGGTGGGGAGGAATAGTTCGATACAACATGGCGCAAGGGCGTTCCTGGTTTGGGACCTGTAAGGAGGCCGTACCATCGTGCAATCGGTATACATTCGAATCGGATAAAATCCGAATTCAGATTAAACTTCAATTTATGTTTTATGGTTCGTCATAAAATATTGACCGTCGGTGCGCAGCTTCAAGCAAAGACATCAACAATCAGGTTGGACTTCATTTTCAGACCCATTACGGGTTTTCCTCCTGACATGCCAGTACGGGGAAAACATTGTACAAGCGTCGTGGGCACGTAAAAAGAAACTTTCAGAAGCGGTTTTCATTCGGGATCTAAAACCTTCCATAAAAATTATTAATAGCTGGCCGTTATTAGTGCAGCCAAGAACACTTGCCCGATATGGTCCTCAGTACGCCGCCTTTGTACGCCCTTATCTGTCCATCTGCCTTCATTTGTGTCGTCGTTGTATCGTCATCTGTTCGCTCTATTTGCTCTATTTGCTCTATATTGCTCTCGAGTCTCCTGTTGTCGGCAATGTACGAAATATTGCAAAGTTGATGTGGTCCAACCTGTTAAAATGTGTCGGGGTAAAACAAACTTATGCAACAACTGCGTCCACAAACGTTCCATGCTCCCGGCCTATTCTTATTAAGCTTTTGAATTATGTGTGATGGTTCATCATGAAATGCAGATTTTAAAAGTCATCTGAAGAGGGCATGCCTGCCGAAATATAATGAACTTTACAGCTTATTTATTGTATTTCTTGGAGTTTGAGACAGCAGCTAAAAGCGTACGGTATGGTGCTGGCGTTCCTACTGGTGCTGTTTTTTTTTTTGTTTTTTTGTTTGCTGGTTATGCTCTCACTGATGCTCTATCCTTGGACGGCGTTGCTCTACACGATATTTTAAAGCGTCTTCTCGATTAAGCCTTTTTACTGTGATCCTTAAGCCTTAAGCAAGCCCGGTATACATTTTCTGGTCAGCTGTCATTTCTGTCATGATCGGTCCCAAAGGCAATGGTCTGTGGTCTTTTGTATGTATTGCGTACCGTTTAAACGTGAGAACTGGGGGTGAAGGCATATTGTATGCGAGCGAATCAAAAAGGTCATCGGGCTACCTTTCAACGAGCGCGCTCGTGATTTTATCCTGTGCCCGGCCGGGGTTCTGAGACAACCGCGCCCGGTAGGGGAAGATGACTCCCTCTGGAACCTCCAACTTTCAGACATCGCACGAGAAATACAAATTTATCGTTGTGAACGTCTTGTCTAGTCCGCAAGAATGCACACCAACGTTTTGAGCTTTAGTCAGATTGGAGTCAACAGAGGTCACGAAAGAAAAAAACGGTCCGAAAGAAAAAGTAAAAAAGGAAAGGAAATGGGCATTGAACGGAAAAAAGGAAAAAAGGCGCCTTGGCAAACGCGGTTAAAACATATGTTACTGCGTCAAGACAGAAATTGAGGGCGCAGAAGTAATTGATAAAACTATGCGGAGTCATTCCGACTATTTTTGTCTCCCCACAAGGGCAAGGTCAGGTCAGGTCACCGTTCAAAACTGTTCTACCCGAACCCTACAAGAACGACCTTTTTGGTGTTCTATTTCACGATGTACTCCTAAGTTTATTTCATTAGGTGCAGCTGTAGAAAAAGTACTCCAGACACCCAAATGCCATCTTAGGCTTACCTTGAGGAAAGCTTAAATTCTTAAATAAGCAACTTAGGTTAAATTCATAAGCCATCCATCATAAAAAGTTAAAATGCTAACTGGATCTAAGTGACCAGTTTTTTCGTTGTCACAATAAGTGTGCTGTACATGTGCAGGTGCTCAAGATCGCATAGCTCCTGTGAACATCAGACATGGTCCCTTCACGCTTGGCAATGGATTTGCAACAAACTGGGAACAGGCTCGTTGGTACATGAAATTGCGCGTCATGAGCATTACAAACATGATAGAGAGGTGGTTACAAAAATTGCAATCGTTCATCTGGCTTCTCCGCCGCTGGCAACAAAAGACATTGGCATTGGATGACCTCATATGTACTTGCTTGTACTCACGTGACCTACTGTGACCTCATTACACATTACAGTGGCGTGGTATTATATTTTCAGTGGAATACTGGAATTCCACGACCAAAATTGACTAATGCAACATATTTTGAGTTCAGCATGTGTTATGCCGAAGGCACCCATACAAACAGATCATAACTTACACCATTGACATGTGCTCTGTGGTCGTATGATAGTTGCGTATTTGAGTTAATTGTGTTTTCCTTATATAAAACACAAAAACGACACAAAAACATGCACAAATTTGCATTATTTACGAAAAATAGCAAACATCATCCTTACTTCAGGTCACCCACATTGCCTGTCTTGAAAAATTTGAAATGAACCAACTGAAGACACAATTGTGTCCTGTTACTTTAGCAAGTTTGAGCGATGGCAAACAACGCACAACAAAGTTATGCGTGGTCAAGCTTGAAGTTGACATGTTTCAGGTGACCTGGGCCACCGTCCTTGGTAGATCTAACATTCAAATTTACACACAGGATGCCAAATTGATGGAGGAAGAAGCACTGAAAATTTGGTGCGGCTGCAAATCTTCGCTTTTTAAATGTGATGAAAAAACCGTGGGGGAAGTCAGCTCCCACTTGGCCGGGCATGGGATAAAGAACAAGACTCCTGAGAACCTCATGGTTGATAACTTTTTCTCTGTGCACCAGAGCTTTGAGATTCCGGGTGATGGGAATTATTTTGCTGTTCATAGCTTGCAAAAAAAAAACAGCTACCACTCCATCATGAAACATAGGTATAAATCATGCTATCAATCTTCATCAAGCAATCAATCAAAATATATCACGATAAACAATCATGATTAATCATAAAATCCACAAGAGCAAACTGAAGCCCCTGTTAAAAAGGAGCATGTTTTCGTGGCCAATCTCATCACCTGTGTTTATTCAGCGTCGTTGATATCCCCTTTTGTCTTATTTCTTGCTTCCTGTTGGGTCAAGCCTGGGCACTGGGTCAAAGCCATATCACCTTTCTTCTGAGAAAAACAACAACTATGGACGTGCCTTTTCAAAGCTGAATTGCATCTGCCGTCCTTTTATTCCTTGAATCTGTCTCAAGGTATGCTCCCGAACATTCATTCGAAATGTATTTTACTTAATATCCAAAGCGTAATTTATTACTCTAATGTCATTTTGATCTGATAAACATCTGGCATGTCCCACGCGGCACAAACCCTTACTATCTTCTTTTTTAGACAAAACTTTTTCGATTTGTGTCAGGCTCTTTAAATTGAACTGAATCTTTTCAATTTTTAGCGTAGACTTGAACACGGAATTGCTTTAAATTATACGCTATGTTCCCAACTTGAAAGTAAGCTGCTGAAGCATGCCTATGAG